GTCATCCTAAATTAAAATGTCAGATATACATCTCTCTTATTTATATATCTTTTCTGAAAGGAACATTGAAAGTGGTATTAACTGTGCTCTACTGTATTTTCTCTTTTAATATATGCAGTTTTCAAACACATCATAGGTCACAAAACATTCTTCCGAAAGAAACGCAATTCAAATAAATAAAATCAAATTCTGGAAAATTTATATTAATAAATATATTTAAAAGCGCAGTTCGGATGAATGAATAGAAAATTTTAAAACAATTATCTAAAGAGACAATGCAGTACAAACAATTAAAATAAAAGTCTAAGAATTTAAAAATTACCTAATAATAACTATGATTAAAAAATATGGTATAAAGAAAACTATATTAAAAATTAACAAACAATGCACCTTTTATTTGAACTATGCAATTTGAATGAGTAAATAGAAATTTTTAAAACAGTTATTTGAAAGAAGCCATGCAACTGAAACAATTAAAATGAAATTCAAAAAAAAAATTATTTAAAATGATAACAATTATAATTAAAAATATAATATAAAAAACATTATTTGACAGAAAGATGCTGCTTTTCTTCCACTCATGCACAATGTAAAAATGGAAAGGAAAATAGGTTGCCATATATTAAGAAGTTCGCCAAGTGAACTATTGTTGGCTCAAACTAAAAAGAAAGCAGCAATATAAATTTTTGAATTTTTCCATAAATTCCACACCAAATTTTACAAAATTTAATAGTTAGGCATAATTTGAGTCGTAGAATCGAAATATGTAAAAAAATTGGCATGTTATTTCAGAAAAAGTCCGATTTTGAGTCAAAATACCTATGTTAGAATAGTGCTACAGATAAATCTAATACATATCCTAAGTCATAAAAACACAATTTTGAGACATGAAAAACACAATTTGAATTTTGTCAATTGGTCTAGTAGAACAGGAGATACAGAACTGTCCCCCCCTTTTTTTGCTCAGTGTTATAATAAATTTACAAATTCATCAACTAAAAACACTAATGAGTTATGGTACAAAATTTAGACCAGTCAGAAACATGACTACAAATTACTGTTACAAGACTTTCGAAAAACACATCAACGAATTTATAGTTAAAGCAAGCTATCAACTGAATTTTCCCATAGATACCTTCTTAAAATGGAAAGCTAAAATTCTTCAACGCATATCCACAGAAATCAGTCACCTCAAATTTAAAAGTACACTGAACTGGTCGCAACTTACATCTGATATTAGTAAATTAAAACAGCTTTTTACTATTACAAAAATAGATAAAAGCAACTAATAACTTTAGCATTATATGAAAACAATTCTACACTGAGATTATTCATAAAGAACTTCTCAACGCAACTAACTACTTATCAATCAGCCAACCTTACAGAAACATCTATAATAAACAGGATTAAAACTTTTCATAAGAAACTCAATATTACTTTCAATGCAAACTACAACAGATTTACTAATCTTTATGCGATTCCCAAATTCCATAAAACACCATTAAAATTTAGATTTATAGCTAATGGAACTAATAATTACAAGAAAAATATAGACTATTATTTTTCAATTCAACTTAATAAAATCTGTAAATTTATTTTCAATGATTGTAACACTAATCATAACTATTGCTGGATCATTCATAATAACACTCCTGTCATTAATACCATTCATACCATTAACATCCAAAACATTAACTGCTATGATTTTGAAAACTTATATACCTCACTTCCTCTAGAAGAAATCTATACCAGTCTACTTGATCTACCAAAACTTTTCCCTAATATACTCAATATCATGACTCTTGACAAATGGAAAACCTACCTAAAATGCACACTTTTTTCATAACTACATCAAGTTTCAAAATCAACTTTTTTAAACAAGTCAGAGGATTGCCAATGGGCTTACATTCCAGCACCTCGATCTGTGTAATATCTTTTTATTTGTCAAAGAATTTAACTTCCAAAAAAATCTACAACCACAAGAGTTAAATTACTACAAACACACCTACAGATTTATTGATGACCTTATTACAATTAATAATTTTGGTAAAATTGAAAACTCCGACATTTATCCGAATTGTCTTAAACTTAATAAAACTAATAATTCACAAAATAGCATAGACTTTCTAGATCTTCAAATCATTAACTACAAAAAAATTTTACTTTTTGACAAAACAAGAAACTTCAATTTCAATACTAACAAATTAATAAATTGGAACTCCAACATATCCAAAAAAGTAATTAACAATACTATAATTAATCAAATACAACGAATTAAAACTATATGCACAGATACAATAGATTTACAACAACGCGAAATTTTGATCCTTATCAAAATTCTCAAAAATAATCTAATTCCCTTTCAATTTATCAACCATTGCCTTAAAAGAGCAGGCGTTAAATACTCACTCTAAATCATTTAACTGATAGGGATATGATAATTTATTCCTAAACCTGAGAAGGCGGTATAATAAGTTGGATGACTGTCAGTTGAAAGATTTGTATATAGTGTAATTACTCAATTGTATATATTGTAAAAAGCTAATTGTCTTCAGACATATACTGTTACTAAAAAAATGGGCCTATTTCCTGCCTTTAGACTGTCTACTAGCTCTTGGATAGCGAAAATGCCTTTTTCCTTTCTTAAATTCTTAATCATTGCGACACGACAATTAGCCAGAAATTAATTAATTTCCATTCACTAGTATTTTTAAAAAAAATCTTAACAGACGGTCTCTCTCAGATAAGAACTCCACAAAATACACATCCCTCAAGAATTCCAAGTCCCACCCACTACCATAAATTTCTTCACCCAAGTCTTACCGACTGATATAATTCAAAGCCCCTACTGCCGCTAAGAATTTTCGGACACCCTACACTTCTGAGTCAGACACGAAGAGAACACACTGCCAACTCCCCCCACTCCCCCACTAGAAAGAATGTAAGTTACTTAATACCTTTCTGGCCTTTATATCTTCATGTACATTCACTGATCTTATTTATATTATTTTCTATTTTATTTTTATATTATTTTTATGTTCTCTTTGATTTGTTTTTGCAAAGTTTGCATTATTTATCTTTTTTATAATCTTCTATGTTTATTTCAACTTTACTTTGATTTCGATTTCATAATGACAATTTCCAATGTTTAATTTCTACAAATAATATAGTACTCAAATACATAAAGATGATAGTGTCGGGGACGATTACTCGAGTTTTACAAGATTTCTCTACAGTAATTGATTTTTACTCCAAATTGAATTGACTAAAATGCTTCATGAGAATCAAGTCTTTGAGTAACAACTATTCGCGGAAATATTTGGCCTGACTAGAATTGCCGGTTTGGCTTTAATTTATAACTCGAGTAAAGACGAAACACTTTCATATTTACGTATTTTTATCAATTATTGATCATTGAACGGGAGTTGGTTTGTTCCCCTTGAAAAGTCAACTAATTTCCGATCAATGACAATAATTACATGTTTTAATTTTTACTTTTACAATTGTAATATTATTCTTCGTGATGATTTAACTCCAGTCCCCGTTAAAACATTATTAACATTTTGCTTTCAAATTACTTCAAAACATCTTTCAAAATATAACTTACCAGTATGGATGCACACTTTTAAAATAATTCTACTTTAATTAAACTTAGGAGATAATATAATCAATTAATCAATACGGTTTAGGAAATAAATTATTATTAACTAACTTTGCAGCAATTGCGCAAGTAATAATAACTTGTATTCGCACTAAATGGATTTAAGTTCATACAACATTATATATATATATATATATATATTTCCGAGAAAAAGTATAATAATTTTATATAAATTTTCCGAGATTAAAAAAGCAGCATCATTTCACTAAACTAAAAATTTACATATTTTAAACATAATTTCAAAATTAAAAAGGAACTCTCATAACAGAAAAAATACCTAAACATATCATAATTAACTAGGTTATATGTTTATTTAGAAGAAAACAAGTTACAAATAAAAAGAAATTTTCTTCTCTCAATAGATCAATTTTCATATCCGGAAACATGAAAATCCTTTTTTTTACTAATTCTTATTTTTACCAAAAATATTTAGCACAACCAATTAAATAAATAAACACAGCTAACTTGTTTGAATGCACACTATTTATTTACTTACTTATTTGTTTAACATATTTTTTTAATCAACAGAAAATTTCCATGGAATGTATATTTTAATTTTATTCAACTTTTCTTATTTTATTTTATTTGGTTAACAATAATTCTAATTTAAAGAGGCTAAAGTTCTGTTTCACTTCATTGAGACTTGCTTAACTATTAAAATTTCTTTATGTTATAATATCTGATCTTTCAAATATAGCATTTAATATTTTTAGTACAATTTAGCTGATTCCTAAACATTCTGAGTTTTGAAACAGTAAATACAAAATATTTCACTAACATGTATTTTTTATGTTCATCAGACAACAATAACTACGGACTGCACAGCAAGAATATTAATTACAGTTTAAACTCTGAGTTAGTTCCAACCTCTACAAGATAAAAGATTTTTAAAAAGTTTACACAAATCCATTCTTTATTAACATTTCAAAATTTACCAAGCAAATATATGGAAACATTGAAATAAATTTTCACTTCAAATTCTACAAATCATTTACAATACAGTTAGAGCAAATACATTTTAAAACATACTTTTTGTTGTTGCTATCTTTAAAAAAAAATTAAAACATGGTTCTTACAATTATTCCAACTTAAAATATATAAATATACATGATTTATTTGGAAACATTAACATTTTAACAGGTATAATGCTGTCAATTTCTTTTAAATGCCAAACAAGAAAAATGATGTCCCTGTCACAATGGAAAATAAATATATTTTAAAAATTGAGCAATGTGTCATTTTATACCTCTAAACTTCAGGACTGAATTTGAGTTTGAATACTACCAAGGTAAAATATATATGAATAAAATAATTTTTAAAATGTCAAAAAGATGATTACTTGAATCTCTGACTTTTGCTTTATAAGTTCCACCAAAGCACTCAGCTTCAAGGGTCATATCATTCATTTCAAATTCTTCAACAGTAATGTCATTAAATTTAAACCATTTTCCAGTATTCACACCACCATCAAATCTAAACAATAATTTATATCAAGGTATTAATGGATTAATTAATGGATATTATGCACAGAAAAGATTTGAATTTTATTTAAAATATCTCATTAAATAATATTAAAAATAATATGCACCTCCTCCCAAAAAGTAAAAAAATAAGTATTTCTGCACAACATGCTGCTGAAAATTGATCTGTATAGATAAAAGGTAAGAAATTTAGAACCAATTTCACAAAGACCCAAAAGAAGTGAAATTCAATACTATTAAATATCAAAATAACCTATATAGGTTTTAGCATTTCACATTTAATTCTTATATTTACATATTTATAGGGTATTTTGGAAATTAATGGTACTGAATTTCACTTCTTTTGGACTTTTGTGAAAGTGAGTCTAAATTTCTTACTTTCTGTCTCTCTTCTCTCTCTTCCTCTCTCTCTACACATACTATATATACACATACACATAGCATTAAAAACTAAATTTTGCTATATTTTACTGAATCTGAAAGGCAAAATTAAAAATACATCATTAATATATCAAAAATCATGCATTTTATTTCCTAATTATATTAAAAATGAAACTAAAATGCAGATAGGTATGTTATAAAATTCATATATAGAAAGAAATTGAAATGTAATTTTACATCCTAACCATTTAAGAAAAATGCAAACAATTACGTAGATTTTGCAAACAATTATGTAACAATTATGAATCCATTTAAGTAGCATTATCTTTTTTACCTTGATGTAAGTTTAGCAAATTCTTGACAGTTTTCACATGCAGTTATCATTTCCACATAATAATAAGTTTCAATAACCAAAAATATTATTATATTATGCAGTTGTCAGAGCACAAATAGAAGATATATTCTTTAAATTAAATCATAAGGTGTTATTAATTCACATGTATGAGTTTAATTTGAAAGGGTTTCCAATAGCAGGTTGTACTGAAGCTGAAATTCAGAGTTTACATAATAAATTTCTAAACAAGGCATTATACTTCATCCAACATTTGCATAATTCCCCGTTCCTTCCTCCCCCCAAAATTCATCAAACACTATGAATTTAAATTCATGACCTCATAATCCCAAGCATGATCCCATTTAAGTGGCATATCTTTAATAGATAAGTGAGGACAAAGATGAAGTATGACTGAAGAAGAAACATGAACTCCATGAAGAGATGTTTAGCAAAAGAGAAATGGTATTTTTCTTTTTCAATATGAGATTTCTCTACATTCATATTATCCAAAAATTCATGCTTTTTTTTAATCTGAAACAACCGATTAATTTTAACATAACAATATAAATGTAAAAATGTATCTCCCAGATAACCAGACAAAACAAAGGACTAAACATAAAAATAACAGAATTTATGAAGTTCAAAATTATACAAAACTTTGCATTAACCATGTCTGACTGAAACAATGTTTATGCAATTTTTATATTATCATCAACATGTCAGTTAAAATTGACAATTAAAGATGTGAAGAATTCAAACTTACTTTCTCTCTTTAATATAGCTGTAATAATGTCCAGCATTTGCTTGCCCACTGTGAACAATTATCCCAACTAATTCATACATTATACTGCCTAGTTTTTGCACATTAGATGAAGCAGGAACTACCTGATCATCACTGTCGCTATCATTTTTTAATGATTCCTTTGTTTTGATTCCATCAATTGTATATGGCTGCATATCTAATCGCCATGGGAACTAAAATTATTGAAACTGAAACTTATATATAGCAGGATAAAATAAATGAATAGTTCAAAATAAATTTAGACATTGGACAATAATTATTTATTTCCATAAAAAAAGCTTCAATTTTAAAAAATATTTGAAAAATATGAAGATCAGCATCACAGTGTCATTTTTAATAAGTAACTGTTACTATTAATTTATTCTTTATAATTTTTAACTGAAAACTTATAGAAAATTTTAAAAAATATTTTATGGTTAGTAACAGCAAATGTTAATACAATTTTTTTTAATCTTTCCGTATTTTGACTACTTTAATTGTAATATTATTTACTACAAAGTTTTTAAAGTTTACCGTTACATTCAACACAGGAAAAAACTGACACTAAGCCTGGTATTCCACTTAAGATTTATGTTATGAGTATAATATAAGAGAATAATTAATTAATTCTCTGCATGACAGTAAAACTGTAAATTAAAAAAATTTACAGATAAAAAGAAAATTTACAGATTTTTTAAGGAAAAATGTAATTGGATTTTTACTTATTTTTTTAAATATGCATATTTCTCTTGAAAAAATATAAAACACTGAAAAAAACCTACAAAGTAACAAAAAATTTAAACTTATGATTAAGGCATAATGACAATCGTGTGGATTTATAACTAATCTTGGCAATAATAATAATAATAAAAAACTTAAGTATTTACACTCTAATTCTGTTAACCAGACTTTTAAATACAGTTTCCTACTTTATTTTAAAATTTTTGCTGTATAGATTAAAAAAAAAATGAGCACATTTAATATAAGAAAAACTTCAAATAATAATTACCTTGAAATAATCATCAAATTTAAGAGACCTATTAGCTTCCCAATCAAAATCAAATCTCTTTAACTGGATAGCAAGCATGGGAGGTAAGTTTTTTATGCATGTTCTTTTAATAGCATTCCGCTGTGATAAAATTAAAAATTCATATATTAAAGAACAAATATTTTAAAAATACAAGACTATAAATAAAATTTTTACTATACGAACCACTTGTTTTACACTGAATGACACCAGACAAATGTCTGCAGAGTAAGCAATAGTATTTATATTAAATATAAACATTTTTTTTAGAATGATACGTTATATTCTAAAAAATAGCTAGTTCTAAAAAAGGTACACTCTAAAGTTCTTCTAATAGCTTACCATTCTCAATTTTTTTTTTTTTTTTTTTTTTTTTTTTTTTTTTTCTTTTCCAGTTGTAGAAGTCTTGTATCATTATGACTTCTAAATATTTCTAGATATTTTGGCTCGTACTTCCAAACTTGTAAGTTTAATTTACGACCATTTAAAATATTTATTATTTGTAGAAATTTTTAAAAAATCAATTTGTCTTTTTTGTATTGTTGGTCCTTTTTTGGGGGAAGGGCTATTTTTAGAATTTCCTTGTAACACTTTTTTTTTTTTTTTTACTTTTGCCTTATTTTTGCTACCTTTAGTTGCTTAATACATAATTTTTACTACTGAAGAAGCCATTTTGTCGGAGAATGTCCTCTATATTTTTGCAAGAATAAGAGACTGTTTTATGTTTTTAACAAGAAAATTCCTTGTTTTATTTTTATTGTTAACAAGAAAGTTCCATAATTTAAATGTTTTAGTAAAAACTTTTTGGCTTCTTTTCTAGCTCTCATTGACCATTTGTTTAATAATTAAATTACAAAACTTGAAATTTCTTGTTTTTATGTTTAGTTCTGTTTGGCCATATGCCTAATAATTAAATTTCTTTATTTACACTTTTTTTTTTTTAAACTTGTGATTATTGCAAATAGAGTAGATGAAACATTATCGCTTTTATTAATTATTGTTAGTTGAATGGAAACAGGTTTGTTCCCCTTGATAAATCCATCTATTTCAGTTCAATTACAATAATTAGATTTTTTGGCCTTTTTTAACTATTTTTTATTTGATTTTTACTTTTTGCAAAAATTTTCCCATTATTAACAAATTTTCAAATACTTTTACTTCACTCACATTTAAGATTCTGATACATTCTTTTTCTGGACGATATTTTTTTTTTTTTTTTTTCCTCATTAATAAATGTTCATTTCGAACTATGCTGCTTCAGTGCAAGTTTTAGGCTATTCCGCCATTTAATTTCTTGCTTCGCTAATACACTAATGTTTTTCCTCCCAAAATACTTTCCCAGTCTTTCTTTTGAAGGGGGGAATTATAAAATATAACAAAATATGATGGCTGCTTTAAGAAAAGATTGGCGACCTCAAAATTAACTATACTAAATTTAGTGTTCTTCCACCTAAATTCACCTGTTCTCCCAAATTAAAGATCTTTCCATGTTACATAATACTGCTTGAAAAATGTAACTAAAACCCAAAAATTAACCAATCATAGATTAGCTGTACTTATGCACCTATCTAATATAAATAGCTACTAACTAGTTTCTCTTTTACCTCTTTACCTGCCTGGTGGCAACGCATCACTCAGCCTCTCCTAGCTATTCATTATTATTTAAAATATAATTGCATATCTAAATTTATGGGGCATGTTTAGCGCCCCTAATCTTCTACCAGTTATAAAGATATGTGTGAAGAAATTTGTCATCCAAAAATAAATAATATTTAACTATCAAGCTGGTCATGCTTCTTCTAAAATTTCCTTGGATCATTCCACTATGGCGCAATTTCCAATCATCTACGCAGCAGTAGTTTCGACCATGACTAGAACTTGAATTGTTTCTACCTTCCGCCAAAAGTAAACTATTACATGCATATTATGTGTAGGCTAATAAAATGGAAGTTTTGAAGATTTCAAGCATTAAAAATGCATCTGGATAGCACAATGAACATGAGAAAGTGAGTTCAAATGTTAAAAAATCCTATTTTTGCAGAGGGTAGACATATGATCAAATTAATCTAAAACAGTATTTACTTCATAAAATAAATATTATTTTTATCATTTTCTTAATACACATTTATGTTAATAATTTTCTTAGTCTATTTTTAGTCTATTGGGGGGGGGAATGTCGCGGCGCACGATGAACTGGAAGTTGATCTGTCAGCACTATCGTTATCTTCAGGGCAGATGTTTTTATTTGATTTGGCTTATAATTCCTTACTAAATGAAGTATTTCATCTCGATGTACTCCATCTTTGATTTGATTTAAATCAAATTCCTCATCATTATAAATATCACGAATACACATCAAATAGTTTTCTGGTTGCAATTTTCTAATTTCTACTATGGGTAATATATGCTTTACGCATGTGCGCGTTGAAAGAAATGTTTAACCTTTTAACTGTCATGCCCGAGATTTCAAAAATGTCACGCCCGAAAATTACTCTGGATAATTTTTTTTTTTTTTTTTTTTTTTTTTTTTTGAGTGTATCGTACTGTTACACCCGAATATATATCGGGAGACGTTTATTTCGACTTCATCTCTTTGTCAAACCTGACTGTATCTCGGGAAAATTTAATGTGCGCTCAATTCAGTAATGGCAGCACTTTACTGAAGATTTCAAAGGTTAGAGGCTAGAAGTTCTTTGGTTCAAAGTGCGTGGGATCTTTTTGTTGTAAAATGGCGTCCAGTCTTTGAAACGTTATATAGATGATTTAGAGTCTTCAACCGAAGATGAAGATTTTGAAGGCATCAATACTAGTGACGCAAGTGAAACTGAGGAGAGTGACACTGAAAGTAGCAATGAATCAACAGATAGCAGTGATGATGATATAGGAAATGCGAGAGACTGGTGTGAAATAACTGCTTCTGGCCGATTAGGGCCCCCACGGTTCCCTTTTACAGGTACAGGGTGTAACTTTTCCTGTAAACATAAACTACGCTCCTTTAGATATTTTAGAAATGTTTCTGGATTCAAGTCTAATGTAAATAATTGTCAAGGAAATGAACAACTATGAACAAGAATGTCAAGGAAATGAACAACTATGAACAAGAAAGCAGAACAAGAAAGAAAAGCAAATCGGGCAAAGATATCAAGGTGCTCCTGCAGTAAAAAATGGGTCCCTACAAATGACAGAGAAATGAAGCTATTCTTTGGGCTAATAATTCTTCATGGTATTGTCCGAAAACCAAATCAGGCTATGTACTGGTCTCATCGAAGGATTTTGCATACTCCAGTTTACTCAAAATTGATGCCCGTAAATCGTTTTATTTTGCTTTTTCGATATTTACATTTTTGCAATAATGAAGCTGGAAAAAAAAATATGATTTTCCAAATCCAAAACTTTGGAAGCTGTATAATGTGCTAGAAAATTTATGGGAAAAATTTTATAATTTTTACATACCAGAAAGTGATGTATTGGTTGATGAAAGCTTGATGCCTTATAAAGGAAGGTTATCTTGGAAACAATAAATTCCTATCAAACGTGCACGATTTGGAATCAAATTTTTTATGCTTTGTGAGGCGGAAACAGAGTATATTTGTGACTTCATTATCTATACAGGAAAGAGTACTGTCTTCAATCAACTGTATACAAATTATGGACTTTCTACAAAAGTCACCATGCACCTATTGCATAGCTTTCTTTGAAATGGTTATTGTGTGACTGTAGATAACTATTACATGTCACCCGAGCTTGCAAATTTACTTGTAGCCCAAAAAACAGATATTTATGGCACAGTAAGGATAAACAGACGAGATTTACCTACAGAATTTCGCTAAAAGAAAATTACAAAAAGGTCAAATCATAGCTTTTCAAAGAGGTAAGATTTTGGCTATAAGGTGGAAAGATAAGAAGGATGTGTGTTTGATGAGCAGTATTCATGGTACTTACATGGTCAGCCTCAAAAATAAAAAAAAAAAAAAAAATGAAGATATACTTAAGCCGAAGATTGTTTCTGACTACAGTCTAACTATGGGTGGTGTAGATCGCTGTGATCAAGAAATATCCTTTCATCCAACAATCCGAAAACGTCAGAAAAAATATTATAAAAAGATATTTTTACATTTACTAGACAAGGTACTCTGGAACTCATATTTGCTCTATAAAAATGTAGTTGCGAAAACGTATTACATTTTTAGAATTTCGAAATCCAAGTTTTTGTAGAAGAGCTTTTACATAAATATGATGTGATGCAGCTTCTGGACAAAAGAATGTTGGCAGACCACCTACAATAGATAACCCTGCCTCATCTTACTGAACGACATTTTATTTCCCATATTCCTTCTACTCCTGTGGAACGTGAGCCTACAAGACAGTGCACAAAGTGTGTTGTTCGAAAAAGGATAAAAATGGGAAAAAGATAAGGAAGGAAACACCGATTCTGGTGTAGTGATAGTGGAGTTGGTTTATGCTTGGAAAAGTGTTTCCAGTTGTACCAGACAAGAGTGAATTACTGAACTACTAATAAGTATTCACTTTTATTTATTTTTTTGTTCATTTATTTATTTTTTAGATTTTTTTTCCCCCATTTTTAGAAAATAATGCTTCACTTGAAGTGAACTTTACAACTGCCATGTTAAGTGGCAGCCGCATCAAGCAAATATGCAGTGGCTACAAAACTTTAAAAATTTTACTCATGAACTTCAAAATATCAATTTTTAACTAAGTATATTTTAACTAAGTAAGTATATTTTATTTTGTATTAAACATTTGATTTTTGCAATAAAACAATTTGACAATTTGTGTACCCAAATCATCAAAATAACTTGACAGTTAAAGGGTTAATAAAGTAAACAAATAAATATTAAGCTTTTTTTTTTTTTTTTTTTTTTTTTTTTTTTTTTTTGTAAATTTTAATACCCTTTAGATCATAATTGCTCTTTATTTCATAAATTACGGTTTCATATTTTTAATTTTATAATTTCTGCATGCCATCTTACTCGGTTTAAATTGCTGATCCAGAAACACCGATAATTCGGAATTGCTGAAGTCCCGACAAGTCCGGTTTAAAGACTTTTGACTGTATTACAGTACAAGTGAAAAAACTGACAGTTATCACTCATGCGCGTGTCGGATTTGTGCAATGCTTATGGGGTCCCACAAAATTTTCGTAAATATTATGGGGTCTTGGGGGTCCTGAAAAATTCTCAGTAATAAAAAGGGGTTGCAACTGAAAAAAGTTTAAGAACCCCCACTCTAGATTAATGTGATAAGACATTCCCTCCTCCCCAAACCTATTTCTTTTAAGAAGTATTTTAAATTTAAATCCAATTAAGAGTAGTTAAACACAATTCTGCTAAAAAAACAGAGAAATATTTCCTTCAACTAGGATCTGTTGTTTTATTGTTTCTAATAACAAGGCCACTTTAAGCAGCTGCCGTAACTAGTGCATACTTAGTGGCTAGCATATTAAAAAACAATATTACATAAATATTCAAAGTATTCTTTTATCTCTACACTACAAAAATTACTGTATTAAAATTGCACCTTTGTCTCATATATAATAAAATATTGCTAAGTGTCTCCAAAATGGCCCATAACACGACAAAGAAAAATTAAAAATATTTAGAAGCAAAAATGTTTTTTAAAAAACATCTGAAAGCTATCAGATTTTACATTACGCCCAAAACATTATTTCTTTAAAGGCTGAAGGCAAAAATGGATTGGATTATATGCTTTTCCAAAAATTCATAAAAGTAGTATTCCTTTTCAGACTAATGCATCAAATTTAGACACTGCCTCGCACCTGTTAGCTAAGTACTTAGTTTCTAGATTTTCAACTATTAGATAATAACATTTACAACGTAAAAAAATTCAATAGAGTTTGCAAAAAAAGCTAAAATTTATTCATGGTTTCTTTTGATGTAACATCATTATTCACCAATGTCCCAGCAGAGGATGCATTAAGATGTCTAGAAGCCAGACTTTATGAATTTATTTCTCTTGCATCGAAATTGATGAGCTAATTTCCCCCACTCAACTCTGTTTGAAACAAATCATTTTGTTCTCCAAAATAAGTATTACAAGCAAACTGAGGGATCAGCCATGGGAAGCCACCTCAGTTCCATCCTAGCTGATATCTACATGCATTATTATGAATCAAAATTATTTGCAACTTTAAACTTAAAACCAGGTATGGTTTCACTGCGTAGACAATACTTTTACCCTGTTTGACAGTTATAAGGATGATTTAAATAAAGTTCTTTCAACAATGAATTTCACTGATCCTGCTACCAATTCACTTTTGAGCTTGAGACATGCAATTATCTTCCATTCCTCAACATTTTGGCCACACGTAACACATCCAACTTCAGTATTACAGTTTACCGTAAACCTTCATCGGTTTGCCTTCCACTACATTTCAAAACATGTCATCTGACTAAACAAAAGTTAGCTTCATTTCATTCCTATGTTTTCTGTGCACTTCAAGTCTGCTCATCCAAATTGGCTCTTAATCACAATAACTAAATTATTTAAAAGCAGTAGCTATTGATAGGGGCTTTTCATTAAATATCATTAATCAAGCAGTTAAAAATTCTTTTTTCAACACACCAATAGGCACACTCTTGTTTTAGGAGATTATAAGAATTCTGTTGTCATTCCTTTCTTTCCATCAATTAGCTATAAAATTGCACGCTTTGCAGAAATTAAACTTTCGGGTCATTTATTTTCCTATCAATAAAATCTGAGTTCCATACTCAAGGACCCCATTCCGGATATGAATTCCTGGGGTATTTACAGGATTTCTTGCCAGTGTGGTTTAATTTACATTGGTCAAACTAAGACAGCCTTAAAATTTCACATTAAAGAACATGAAGCATATGTTAGAAAAAGAGAAGCATAGAAGTCCTCTATTGCCCAGCATTGGAGGTCCAAAAATCATACTTTCAATTTTTCTGCAGATTCAAAAAACATCATCCATTGGTGAATAAGATTTTCTACAGGCGTTTCACATTCAAAAAAATCTTTCTGTTCTAGCAAATGACCCTAATTGCAATCCATCTTTTGCTTTCAGCCTTTAAGGAAATTATGTTTTAGTTCTCATTTCATTAATAGATGGCACAAGTAGCTGAACTCCTGTCCAGCCATTCTCATCTCATCTAATCACTATATCGTGTCTCGCTCATTTGCACTTTGGCAGCTGAGTATGATGGTTTGGTAAAACTAACGAAAATAGGCCTGTGGAAGTTTGCAAATATAATGCTGACTTATTCTAATTCTAATTAATTCTTCTTCTAAATTAAGATGCTAAATACTATGAATATTACTGTACAATGCAGTAAGAGTTACACCTAGAAGCTTTGTCTTAATATTTTATTTGCGTCCAAAGCCTTAAGGGCCTCTTTGTATACTTATAAAAATAAATGAACCAAGCTGAAAAATGGGGTTAGTCACTGATACATACAAATTGTACTAAAAGAATCACCTACATTCATTAACATGCAATGAAGGAAAATTAATTATAATTTATTTAATTATAAAATATCAACATGAAAATTCTTGGGAATCTCATCATGAATGTAGGATACACATAACTACCTATAACCATAGATATTCTTGTATTTAATTCTAATTATATTACCATTACTCAGTAATTTAAATTATATAGCAAACTCTTTAAAATATTTTACATGCAATATGCACACTAAAATTCTATGAAGAAACAAAAACTTTAAGAACCAGGAATTTAGCTTTACCTAGATAGCTGATTACTGCCTAAGAATTCGTTTGAAATGGGCAGAACATGAATTTTGAAAAATATTTTTTGGAGGGGGGGGGAGACAAAAAGACAAAATATGCTCTTTTAAAGATTTAGCTAGTGAAATTACCTTTTCGTGACATTTTTCACACAGATAAGCATTATGGCCTTCAAGAAGTTCTCCTTTTACAAACTGATCTAAAGAATCAAGAAGATTTTGACTTTTAACAGGTAAATTCAATGCCATAAATGTTTCTTCTCTCTCATACCTAAAAAAAAAAAAAAAAAATTAAAGTTATTATAAAGAATTGGAAACAATATATAGGCTACACATTAACTACATTAATCAGTACTTCATAAATTAAATGTGTGGTATGCTTCATGCAGAAAAGTTAAATACACAACAGTTCTATCTATTTTTAAGATCTCATTTATTAAATTCGGAGCTTATATTCTTATGAATTCATTATAATTGAATGAATTATTAAATTCATTCTTATGAATGAAAGAAAATAAAATACAGTGGTACTTTGGTACACGTTAGTAATCCAATCCAGACTGCCGAGCTTATACCAAACTGGATGCACACCAAACAAATGTTTCCAGTATGAAATAAAAAGGGGGAAAAATCATATTGCTATTATTATAACACTGTTTAACACTAAAACATAAATACAGGAGGTGAAATATATACTGTACATAAATAAAAATTTATGCCAGGTTCCTACTTCGACCTGATTGAGGATCACCAGGTCTGACTTTTACTAAAATAATAAGATCTGCTTCTGCCTTCTCCTCAGGATGTTTTGGAAATGTGACACTTTAATCATTCCAAACAATGCTTTTACGACTTGTTTGAGCTTTGCTGGAGTGGTGGTACTTTTCTGCAAAGTTTGACATCTATTTACTTGGCATCAGAGGTCACCATATATTTACTCTCGTGTTTTTGTGCAAAGCTGATCATAGCATCATCTCAAAAGAGATAAACAAAGGTTGTATATGCAGTCATGACTCATTAAACTCCAGTGGTATTCCAAACAAACATCTCTGCATCCAAATCCAAACAGAGCATTGGACTGATTCTAAAGTGGACATATGTACCAAGGTACCACTATCAAAACTTTTATTAAAAATATTCAGATAATTTTTAAATGGAAGAAAAGTACTCTGATTTGCAAGTTCTAAAAACAGATCTACAGACAGAAATTTAACTTATCTGTTTAAAAATACATATCAGATCATTTTTTGAAACATAAATACTAGTTAATGCAAAATATTTTACAAAATTTTAAAATTTCAAGAAAATAATTGTCAAACATAAAAAAATAATTAAAAAATGCCTTAAAATTTAATAATTCTGCTTCATATATATAAATTATCAAGCAAATAAATTAAAAATTAAATTAATAAGCTTAATTTTAGCTGTATTAGAAGTTGCAATATAAATAAAAAAACTAAAAATGGAAATATAAAAATTAAAATGCAATGATATTATGGATCAATGGAAGGTTCAGCTATGAACATATGAAAGGCATAAAAAACACGTTAAAAGCTTCTCCAACTGGATGGCAGGTGGACGGAAGTCAATATTAATTAATCAAAATAATAACAGTAATGATAATTTAAAAGAGAACTGACGTAAATTTAAGTAATCACACAAAATGACAACCAAACATTTACATAATGCAAAGAAGTTTTAAAAAACTTGAAAAAAATGCAGTTCATTTCTTGAGAGAAACTGAATGCAGACCTAGAATCTGCTGTTTATTGTAAATGAATGATAAACACTTGCAGAATATGGAGGTTATGGCTTTAACATATTGCACGTATGACAAAATCATGTTCCGAAAAGTTAACATTTTATGAAAAAAAGGATTAAGTATAGTTTAGATTAAGAAAGTATGTATAATTTATGCTAATCTAAATATTATTGTAATCAAAAAGGAAAAATAAAACAAATGTTAATTGAAAGGCTTTTTATTACTGCTTAGTAAGTACGTACAAGATAATACAATTAGTTGTTTAAATAATTGGCAATTTTTGTTTGAGAAAATGTCTGATGCAACTTATTAAACATTTTGCGGTAAGGAATGCAAAAATTTTCCAACACTTCTCATAAAGTGTCCTCTTCTTCTTTGTTTGGGTCAATGTCAATTGAAATAATTCCTGTGTCTTTTCTAACAATTCATTTAACTTCTTGTAAAGACTCTTTACCTTCTTCACTACTGTGTCTTTCACTATGACCTGGTGTTATAAAATTATCCAATTCTTCACTTATCATTTCACAAACGTCATTCTCCACTACTTCTTTAATTTCTCCTCCTTCCAAAATTTTTTGCCACTCATAGCTTTAGTGATTTGTACAATTTCCTGGGCTTCATTTTCAATCGATTTTATTTTTTTTTAAATTGTTGACAACTCCTGGCTTGAGCTGATGTCAGCAAGCTTTCATTATTGATGAATTCACTTCTTTCCATGCAACTTTAATCATTTCTATACAATGTTTCTTGTTACTTCCAAAATGTCTTCAATGTGGCATACTTTCCTAGGCCATAATATGTCATGTGTCTAGGGCAGTGGTTCTCCACTGTTTAGTCCCATGTACTCCTTTCGCCACTGCTCAATGATCACCCCCCTTTCTGTGGGCATAAATATATATATACCCCTCTAGAGAGGAATTCCCTTTTGCTTGAGAATCCCAACTCTAGGGTTGAAAATCCCTACTCTATTCCTTGATTGGATTAAGGAAGTGGTGTTCAATGGAAGGAATAAAACCTCAACATATGATGCAATGTTATGAGGGCATAAATATATATACTCATACTAAATACCAAATTAGCATAAATAATTATGAGTTGAAAGTCCATTTATGTCAAATAATTGAGTTTTATTTAATGTTTTTAATTAATTCAAAATTACTTTAATAACAAAAAAATATATTAACAACAACACCCCACAGAAACAATCTTATAATCATAACTAATTAAAAAAAAAAGGAAAAAGAAAAAATACAAATCAAATTAAATTTGCAATAATAAATTTTGGTAAGCGAATTCTTTTGTTGTAGTAGTAGTATTTAAAATTCCAACAGTTTTCTTTGGACAAATCTTGATTACATTTTGTCTTAAAATATGTGTTTGTGGTATTTGCCAACACTGATAGAAAATGGGGTCAAATATCTGCAGGAATACAATATTTTGTTACAAAATCACTAAATGAATAACGCTCTGAATCTTTTCTCAAAGTGACTATCATGAAATTTCCACCAAAACAAAACAAAACAAAAGCTCGCTTAAAAGAAAATTATCGCTTGCTTTTTGAAATAAATACATAGTTGAAATGCAAGATATATATGTATTGTACAAAATACTTTTTTACAACAAAAAGTTATTTTTCCCTTCCATAAAATTTGCCAAATTGTGCCAAGGCGATTTGTGCTAATATGTAAGTACTTGAATGGATTTATGAATACATAATTAGAGCATGCCTTTAATGGTAAAGTTATGAAATGGATGAATGTTACGAATATGGTACCGTTATGAAACTTGTTTTATAACATTACCAAATTTACTTAATAATTTAACCAGTGGTAAAAAAAATTGCCATTACAACCAATATTTGTATCTTCAGTATGCCCACGAAATGGATTTTTTGACAGCATAAGTGTAATCTTAAATAACCATTTTAAAAAAATTGGCCTCTTATTGGATTTGTTCTTTGAGTTCTTATATCTTATAAGAACTCAAAGAACAAATTCTTATATCTTAATCAATCTCTTATATCTGAACAGCAAATGCTATCAGAGCTGGAAAATAACTGACATGGTTTTCCAGTACACAACATTCAATAATTTGCAGTTACAAAACCAAACTTCAGATAATAACATGTTTTTTGTTCAGCCTGTTCAACCTTAAAGACAGAGATGTAATCTATTTAAGAATCTTTTTCTGGGTATGATGTTTAAATTATAAATTTGTCTAATTTTGGGAGCTTTTTTCCTTCTCCTGCCTGTGCATTCTTTTCTTTCTGTTTCTAGAGCCCACTTTTTCATTTTTCTTATCCATTTTAACAAGTTATAGATATACAAATATATAGAAAGAGAGACAATACAGGGTGGTCATAAAAAAAACAACTTAATATATGCACTCCTAAAGGCCTATCAAAACGAAATTTTAGATACTGGCTATTTGAAAGTGCACTTGAGATTGTGATGATTTAAAACAGTACAGCGCTCTCATAGTTACAGTTTAGAAATTTTTTAATAGAAATAGGTAAATTTTTGAATTTTTTTGAATGGGAATACCCACTTTTTTCCCTGTGCAAACTGACCATAAATGGCATTGGGAAACCTAAATGCATGACGAAAGTTGGTGTTGTAAAACATTTCCAAAGAACAAGCATTGTAAAGGACAAATGACAACACAGAAAGGACATGCACTGGTTGCATAATTCACAGGGACAGATAGTAGAAGTACCAATCACAAAACATCATGAGCAAAGTACTGCTAGTAGAAAACCTTTAATAAGCAGTCTGCAAAGACTGCTTTTTCAATCAAGCATTAGAATGTGCTAACAAAATGACACTTAGAGAGGGAACAATGAAATAAACTGATAAAGCTGTTGTATCTGAATGGGGAAAATGCTACGAAAAACAGTGCGAGTTTATCGGTGTATACATAAGTTAAGAAAAGGCCCATGTTCAGTAAAAATTGTAGGTAAAATAATTTGAAGACAACTGGATGTACATGTGATAGACCATTACCTGGATGACCATAAGTTTCTATACAAATTGTGTCAGAAGTATATATTATGATTACTGCAGGATCGTTGCATCGTGCAACAAGCATACACCCTGCAGGGGCATAATGCCTGCAGTTTGAATACACCGAGAATAACAGTCCTCAAGCTTTTGAAGATGTTTCCTTATCAATTCCAGCATGTGCAGATGTTGCAACCTGGAGACAAGCAACAGCAACGTTGCAAATGTTTCCTTATCAGATATGATGAAGATAGCAGGTAGTCACTGTGATATTCTGGATGGATAAGGTGAATTCTTAACTGGCAACATAAACTCCAAGAACTGCATTCACTGGGCTGACAAAAATTCTCACGATGTAACATCAGTACCTTTGCATGAAGCAAAAGTGATTGTGTGGTGCAGCATTGCAAGCACATTTGTTCTTGGACCATACTTCTTTGAAAAGGTCACTGTTACAGGTATGAACACGTATAACGTGCTCAATCAGAAGTGCTTGGTATACAACAATGCTGTAGAATTACATAATTCCAGAACTGCGGCTGTGAAATGTCTTTAATGACACTGCATGGATGCAAGATGATGCTTCTCCATGTCTCCACAAGTGTTCGGCAAGTGCTGCAAGAGCACTTTGGAGAGAGAGTCATCTCTCATAAGTTTTCAGTTTCATGGCCACCATTAACCCCCGACCTCCTTCCGATGCATTTTTGGTTCTGGGGTTATTTGAAATCTAAGGTGTACACATCAAATCCACAAGATCTGTGAAATTGAAAGATGCCATGAAACGTGAAGCTATACAGATTCCTTTCGCAATGTTACGTTAGTCATTGTTTTCAACAACCTCCCATGTACAATACGTTATCAACTGTGAAGGTGGGCATGTTGAAAACTCGTAATTCCAATGAAATTTTTTTCTCCACTATCCTCTCTTGTATTATTATTGGTCCTTTACAATGCTCTTCTTTGCAAATGTTTTATGTCAGCAATTTTTGTCATACATGTCCAACACCACTTATGGTTTTACAATGCACAGATCAATTTGTGCAAGAAAAAATGGGTGTTGCATCATAACCATGACAGCTCTATTGTTTTAAATCATTACAATCTCCAGCACATGCCTTCAAATAACAATATTTGAAATTTCATTTCGAATGGTTGAGCAGATAGGCCAGTAGGAATTCATATTTCGGGGAAGAATTTTTATGACCATCCTGTATTTTATCAGCTGTTATGATTATTTTCATATTATTACCTTAAAATTTTATTTTCAAACCACTAGCTAATATAAAGCAAGAGTTTGCAGAACAAAATATAGCATGCAGACTACTATAGGCTGCAGACACTTAGCTGTTCTAGTTGTTCCTTTCATCAAATTTGCATGTGCAATATTACCAAAACTAGTTCATTAAGTTTGTGATAGCAATTTTTAATACCTTTCTAAATATTTGAGCATACCTTCATATGCTCAAATATTAAAAAAAAAAAAAAAAAATACAAAATAGGCTAGCTTTGGTTAGAATGTGCATGCACATTTGACAATTTGGGCAATTTAATGACAATACTGCAGATAGGCCAATATGCATACACAAAAGACTTCATTACCCAACAATGGAATTAACAAAAAAACAACAAAAAGAATATACAAAACTTTTTATAATTAATAACATAATTTATTAACAAATTTTTTAATTAAATCTGAACATATAAAATATCAAAAATGAATTCAGTAACAAACTTATGAATTTATTATTACTTTTCAATTAACCAAAAAAAAAGTAATGGGCCTTTAGGCATTACCTAATTTTGATTATCTATAGCTATGCCACAGGCTTCAGTACATTCCTGAGGCATTATCAAAAATAACAACTTTAAAAGTTCAGGTTTTGATATTCTAAGTTATGTTTGACTTCTTTAATGAATAAAATTTCAAACAAGTCATTAAAGATGACTATTGCAATAGATCTGCAAGTAAAAATGTAACATTTGCCATACAGCAGATAAAAATGTAAAAGCTGGAAAGCATTTCATATGAAGATATATGTGACAATATATGCACAAGGTCATTTAAAATGCAGGTATATGTAGGTATATTTTAATACCATTATGATAATTTAATATCAAATCAAGGAGTAAGGTATTTATTACACAATTCATCATTTAAAATTATAGGATATATAAATTCAAAACAGGAAGGCTTAAAATATGTGAACCTGAAAATCAAAAACACAGTATTTTATAAACAACATAACATTTTCCATACTTCGGGCAAAGAATGAAACACAGAAAGAAATAAGCAAATAATATTTACCCAGTGAAGTTTTTAATATGCTTAAGTTTTCCCAGTACAAAAATAAATATGAATTGAAAAAGAATTACCAATGAGGGCATCCTTCACATATCTTTTGATCAGTAAATACTCCTTCATATTTTGGCTTAAAGACGGGATCCCAGCCTACTTTAATGAGGTACTCATCAACTTGATCTATTAAATGTGTAAAAAATTCAAATGCATCTTGCTGCTCTCGGACATTTATTGGCTCTCCCCACATCCGAAAACACTTCCAAAAACTTTCTGGTGCATGATATTGAAGCTGAGATTCTAACAAATGACCGAACACCATTTGAAATTGGTAAAACAAACCGAAAAAAAAAAAAAAAAAAGTTTTCGTAATAAACATTTACAATCATATACACTAAGAAAGCAATTTAATATTTAAAAAAAAAAATCAAGAAATTCATGGAGCTGGAAGGGGGGGAGGTAACAAAAAAATTTTAACTTCTTGACAGAAAGAGATAGGGAAAACAAATTTATCTCTTTTATCCCAGATTTAAAGTACAATGTTGCCCATTTCAAGTGCTGCTATATTACATAAAGCACAATGCAACACTATGCATATGTACATAAAAAATGTATTCAGTGTTCCATAAAAACTGATTGATAATTTTTTATTTGTAAAGGCAAAATAACAAAAATAAATTTTACATACTGTTACTTCATTAAATAGTCATGTCTTTTAGATTTTTAATTTTATTTTAGTAGTGGTTATTTACTTCAATTAGTAAGCAAAGATAACAGGAAAGTTATTCAGCACTATAGAAAGGGGCCATTAAAAATGTACTCTAGTACAGTTGATAATTTTATGATCAGCAGTAATTTTTAATTAATTCATAAGCCACCAACTATTACCCTTTTCTTTTTATCTTGATGGCAAATGTCTCATTGTTCACTTTATTGATTATGAAAAATCATAATGTTATTTATTTTAGTGGAAATTTCCTTTACAGAGAACTAGTTTGTATCTGCATTTACATATAAGAAAATTTGTAAAAAATATGATACACTTGTAAATTACATTTTTTATGTGCTTTAAATAGATTCTATCATCCGACTTACCCATCCTCTACAGGTTCATTTTCATCAACAGTTAATATAGCTTCTTTAACTCCAGGCTGCATATATAACTGCTGAATAACAGAATTCATGTAACATGTAGCACCTGCATTTTTGAGACCAACGTATCCACAGGGTGCCCTTGCAGCTACTAAAGGCTCATGCTAGGTATACAAAAAATAATTTAAGCTTTTCTAAAATAATCAGAATGGTCAAATTTAAAAAATAATAAATACAAGGTTAAATACACATTTTACAATATATTTCCAACTAATTGGTCAATTGTACTGAAAAAGAACATGTAAAATGCTATTCTTAACTAATGTTTTAAAAGTTAAGACATGTTATTTTTCCAGTCTCGTTAACTGCAGAAAAATTTTCGAACACATTTCTGCACATAGAAATTAAATACTTTTAAGGACTTCTAACAATAATTAAATACGGATCTATCAGCAAATGGAAACTCAATAAATTAAATGAAAATATTATCTATGCCTGAACTTCACTTTTGTAGCACCATCCAAAGAATAAAATAAATCAAGCAGCATTAAATATTTTACACTTAGATAGTAGGACATATTTGAAAAAATGATTAATGACATTTTATTTATGTTTTACTAAGAATTAGCTTTATGTTGACTTTTTTTTTTTTTTTTTTCTTTTATGTCTCATTTCATCACATACTTGATCAGTCTACAGGTTTAATAAATAGCAAGTAGATATTATGTCAAACAGCATAGGTTAAAATGCAAGGTAAAATCATAAGCAGCATGATTTGTACCACTTGCACACGAGTATGCTTGCACCGTTTGTACATGAGGGACAGCTGGCCCCATCCTCTCCAGACACGAACACAGTGGTCATCTGCTTCAAAAGTGAAGCGGGATTTATTGCTGAACACTATACGATGCCAGTCTGATGGCAGCCATGATGATCGGCTGCGACACCACTCCAGACGACTGTCAAATGTTGGCAGTGATAATGCAAAGACGAATAATTACAAATTATCAGACCTAGAAGGTATTAATGTAGTGTGCAAGCAGGAGCCAGAAACACACTCTCTCTTACAATTCAAAAACCTCAGTTTTAAAACTATCTAAGGGATTTGCATTCTGGTGAGGAAACGGAAAGAGGAAATTATACTGAAGGTTGAAATTATAAACAACTGGTTAATTTACATAATAATAACTGCACATATCTTTGAAGAATTATTTTTGTCTCTTTATGTATTCAGTTTCCTTCTTCAATATGTTTCCTCCTTGTTTTAGAATTTTTAGATTTAATTAAAGATTTCTATGATTCTAAAAAATTAAATGCATTTAGAATGCATAAAAAACCTGCTAATTTTATTTTAGTAATATGAACATTCAGAATAAATATGAAATTATATACGGTATGGGGCTGGTGTCTCAGAAAGTTTGGCAGAATTTTTAGAACTTAGTGAAACATGGAGCAATAAAATCTAGAAACAGCAAAACTTTGAGGATTTAGGACAGGTACCAGAAGCAGATGCATCAGGTGAGAAAATGCCTAACACTAACCCTGAGTATGATGCATTGAGACATATAATATAACTCTTTTAAATTTTCAATTTTCAAATTCTTTACTAATTGAAAAATTCCTTTCTATAAATGCCTGTCCATATGATAAAGTTAGAAGCATTTTCGATATTTTCCATGCTTGTGTTTACTGAAAAGCAGAGAAAATAAAGAGGAGATAAACATATTAAGATAAAGATTTCTAGTATCAGAAGTAAAACATTCAAATATTATGCTTTCATTATTCTTCCAAAAAATCTCCAAAAAGTAAGAAATTTATCATGAACTTTCTCTAAAATACATCCATTATGTGTTACCATGGAGACATTTTCCATTTTGTCATGTTTTCTGGAATCTTCTACAATCAAGGGGCTATAAATCTTGCCTTCAAAGTCCTTTTTAACTTTCCAAGTCTCAATGCCTAAAATCCTAAAGAAAATTTACTCCTACCAATTCTGTAACAGCAAAAAAACCCAGAAATATTTTAGGGGAAAAAAAAAAAAAAATCAGAGGAAAAGATTAAATTAATAGATTAAAGAAATTAGATTAAAGATGGAGAAAATTAATTTTATAGAGAAAACTGATGCAAATTCTGAGAATTCTGAATATTCTGAGACAATAACATAGAAAAAACTCTTACCTTGAAAAAATTAAAAGACATTTTTAATTAATTATATAGCTATTTTGCTTTTGCCAAGAATTGTTCTGTAAATTGTGCTTTATAGTATTTAGTATCTTGTTTATTTTTCAGATTCAAAATAATTTATAAATAGTCACCAAACTGTAAAGTAATGTCACTTTATAATAATGACACAGTGTAAAATAAAATCTCTGAATTAAAAATTTTCTATCTAGAAACTGATCTTAAAACTGCCAATATGCTGGTATGTCACTAGATTTAGAACCGTCTAGTAAAAGAGTTCACATCTACAAAAGCGAAAAGTTGTTTAAGAGCTCTTCATTAGAACAAATGAAATAATTTTGAAATACTTATGTTTCAGGTCTTGCCCAGAAACTTGAGTATCCCACCATTCATATTAAAAAAAGGAACAAATTATAGCCCATGAACCCATTCAAAAGACAACCATATTTGTCACTGAATTGCCAAATACTTGTATACTTGTACCTTAGAATCAGTAAAGATAATTTTAGCTAGCTTATACCATCCATTATACATTAAACGTGCATGTGTAAAGCATAAAAAAAAAAAAAAAAGGTTTGCGGCTTTGAGGTTCGGATTATAGATCATTCTGGATAATGGAAGTCTGGATTACGGACTTTGTACTGTACCATGCATTTACATGAAACAATTATTCCCCCACACATTCAAAATAGAAGTTGTAAAAACAGAAATATTAAATTAAGAAATACAGTACAAAGTCCGTAATCTGGACTCGTCAGGACTTCAGCGATTCCAAATTAGGGGTTTTTATGGATTATAGATCATCAATTTAAATCTGGTAAGATGGCAAGCAGAAATTATACAATTAAAAATACGAAACTGAATTTATGAAATAAAGAGCAATTATGATCTAAAGGGTATCAAAATTTACAAAAAAAAAAAAAGCTTAATATTTATTTGTTTACTTTATTAAACATTTCTTTCAATGCAAGTTGTTTAAGTTACTTCATTTTTTGTGCTAATACTTTCTCTTTAATTCTATAAACAGACATAATTTCTTAATCAGTTCCACTGTTCAAGTCCTGTAATTTCTGTGTTGAGAATACCGACTAACTTGTGAATCGAATTTTTTTTTGTTTTCAATAACCTCTCTGTCACTTTTTTCACTTTTGGAAGCGGTACATCGAAACAAGCTTTCGCTTTGTAGATCCTTTGGAAACTCTTTTTGACATAATCAAAGTTCAAGCTTAATTTTTACAAAATTGCTCTAGCAGTCTGCAAAAAATAATAAACAGGATCCAATTAAAAGATTAAGGAACAGTGCAATCTGCAACATTAACTGAAATGCCTTAGAATCAGTAAAGATACTTTTAGCCTAACATATACCATCCATTATACATTAAACGTGCATGTGTAAAGCATAAAAAAAAAAGTTTGCGGTTTTGAGGTTCGGATTATAGATCATTCTGGATAATGGAAGTCTGGATTACGGACTTTGTACTGTACTATGCATTTACATGAAACAATTATTACAGCATAAAAAAAAATCAAGCAAGAAATTTTCAAGAAATTATATTTACATGCACTGGTATTGATTAAACCTATGAATTAATCAGTTTACCTTTTATTAAATAAAAAAAAAACTGCTACATAAAGAGATGAGATTAATCATTCATTAGGAATATACGGTTTGCCATACAAACATTAATTTATGTTACTGTATATATACATATAGTGCCACTCTATTTTAAAAAAATAAGCATGTTAAAAATGATTTTAAAAAAGCAGTTACATACCTCAAACTCTTTAGCAAGTTCAGGCTTTAAATTATGATGCATGGATAGGATTTGTTTTGCAATCTTTTCCATATTCTCTGGACAGTTAGTCGCAAGTTCTACTAAAACTTCATAAGCCGCAACTCGGGATTCTAAGCTATTACACCTAAAACATCAAAATGCAATTTTGAATAATTTTAGGATCATAATATTTTCTTAGCATTTACTTTCTACTTCAAAAATATCAGCTTTATACATAGCACAGAAAAAGTAACCTTATTTTCATAAGGAGAGTCTATGTAACATATGAGAACTGAATCTTTAATACTAAACACTATTTAATTACACTTGATTCAAGAGATAGGTCTGTGAAATTTTACTGCCCTTGAGTGCAGTTAATGACCAGTATTGTCCACAATCAGTTGCAGTAACTGCGAAAGGCATAGTCATCTGTAACAATAGCTATTTTGTTCATGCTGAATTGGAACAGTGTGTTACATGAAGAATCTGTGGGGCAACTTGCAAACAAACGACATAAAGTGTTTCTTCATCTTAGAAATTAAACACAGGATCTTTATAATCTAGGAAAAGAAATTAATAGTAGAACACTTATTTGCATAATACGAAACCAAGTACTCTCCTGCTAAATTATGGTAATATCCTCCAGAAAATATCACTGCTCCTTTTGTGATACTATTAAAGTTTAAATTTCCAAATGAACATTAGCAATTTATCACTGATTTTTACCCTCTAATACAGAATTACAAATATGACAAAAACTGCTTTGGAAAATGCCTAGTCCAAATAATGACTGCTCTATGCAAGCAAGCAAAAGTGAATGATCAAAGTGTACAATTGTGCTGATGTCAAAAAATAACCTACATATCATATTGACTCCAACGATTGAGCTATGACACAATCAATATGGCAAATTGACTACACTCCTGTGCTGATAATGTCATGTGCATGTGAGCTATATTAGGTTTTATATGTTTTTCATAATGCCATAAACACATATATATATGATTCTCTTGCGTATTTTTATTAAAAACTATAGCAATAAATATGTTTATCATGTCACTTTCAATGCAGTAAAAAGTTCTTCAAAAATACAAAGCTATACTAAAGCATGACCATGTTTACTTGCTTCAACATCTTCTGAAAATTGTGAGTTGCATTCTGAACACAATGGCAACTTTTCAGTCATTCATAGTGGTCATGATGACTGGAGATGGCATGTAAAATATAATAAACAACAGGCCTACATAAAAATAAAATCTGCTTTGAACGTGGAAAAATTTTTTATAAAAAAAAGACAATGATGAGGATAAAAGCTCTGCATTTATAATACTCATCATTTCTAGCAGAACAAATCATCTAAAAAGAATGTGCTGACCATGTGATTTTTAGATTTCAATCAATGTTTCCTGATTTTATAGTGGCCAAAAAGGCTTTGTGCAGAAAGACTAAAATAATTGCTCTAGTAAAGTGCCAAGCAAATTATCCAAAAAAGGAAATGTGCAAATATTACAAAATGTGCCTTTTGCGGTAGCTACTGATAGTAATTCAATACACAATGTGAGTGCTCTGACTGAAAGGAATTTTAGCATTTTGCGGAAGAATCAAGCATTAGTTTACATATAATTTACCCACCTATACACCAAATGCACTTCTTGTGAACTCACAGTATTGTTTGTTATTTTGCTTGCAGCAAAATGTGCAATAAAGCTGACGTCATAAGGTCAGGGACAGCAACATGGGAAACGTAATTATAATTTTTTTAAATATTTTGTTCCTTGAGTAAAATTATAAGTAAATTGCTTTTATGTGGTTAACATCCAGTTTGTGCTGTTGAATCCCTTCCTTCTGATCTGGAAAACACTCGAGCATCGCAATCAGAATTCGGATAAAGTATTATTAATAGCCCATTTCAAGGGTCATCTCCACTACAGTCTGTCAGATTAAACTAGTCATTTTCCGCTACCAGTTGTTTTGTAACCATGCGAATTACAGCTGTATCCAGTTGCCTAATTTTTTTCTTGCATTCTACTTCTGTTTAGCATGTTTTGCTTCATGAAAAGTGCACAGATGAAGGTTGAGTCTAACTACAGTCTAAACTGAGGTGGAGAAAAAAAGGTACTCTTCTATTATCTGTACTACATTCAGAAATGTGTGTATGTATGCATGTATACATGAATGGATGTATTCATGCGTATATGTACATATGTATGTGTGTATAGACATGCACATTTATACCCACACATACATGCATGCATGCATGCATGCATACATACATATATATATTTCTGAATCCGGTCCCAATAAGAGAAGCGTAACAAAAAAAAGTGTTGTGTGGTAATAACAACACAACTTGCAATTGTAAATGGGAAGGGCTGGCAATGGCCTTGAAGTGCCTATTATAAGATCGGACTATAAAGAATATGACAGAAGAAAGCCTCCTCTTCATGCTCATCGAACTTCAAGGGAGTTTGAGCACCAAATTATTTTATATATTTCTGTATGTCAAACAATTCAGTCATTCCTGTTTCAAAAACACCAGAACTACACACAGACACACCATTATTTTACATTTTCTTTTCATAATGGCACACCTATATAGTATTAAAGAAATAATCTATTTATAATGAGGATAATTACATATCAAATTAACTAATAATGGTATAAATGAGAAGCACCGTATTGCTTCCATATATATACAGCAATATTGCCACTATTAAAGTTTCAACCCTAAGCTATCTAATACTAAAATATTCCTGTGAACTAATAAAATAGCAAAATTTCTCATTAAAATTATGCATGAACTTACTTGGGTGCAAAATCTTGGGAACTGCTACTACTGGGGCAGTTCACTCCTGAAATCATCAATGAAGCAGGAAAAAGGAAACTAGATAACAGATCCTGAATTAGAATTTTGCCTAAAAGTACAGAAAAGGGAACTAAGTAAAAAAATTCACATCTTTTCAAAAAATTATTGAAATATAATAATACTGAAGATTTTAAAAATTTTTTTATTGGAAATTAAAAGTAAAATCTATGATATGACAGATGGCATTTTTACTCTTAAGTGTCTATGAAAGTGCATTTTTCAGAATATTCTGATTAGGTATTAGTAGCAGTTTCAAATTAGAGATAATTAAGACAAAGTAATAAAAAATGTGATTCCTCAAATACAAATGAGTTTCAATAAGAAGTATGGTTACCCTGACTGAAAGCAATGTTGCACACCTACAAGGTATGGAATCAATGAGGTTATCCAATGAGGGATTTGGGTATTCTCTCCATTCCTATAGAAGACAGCTTTCAAACTGCTGAATTGTTTCTGGGAGTGATAAGTGATTAGCAGCCTTTCTCCATAGAATGTCCCCAACATGTTCAATTGGGTTCATATCTAGGGAACATGCTAGCCAATCCATTTGAAGGATTCCTTAGTCAAAAAGGGAATTGTCTACTAACTGAGCATGATGTGGCCTGGCATTATCATCCATGAGAATGAATTCACCCTAATTTCTGCAGTGTAAAGGACAACAATATGTCTAAGTATCTCATCCCTGCATCACTGAGTCCGTAAGTGCTCCATTCCAGATAATGTGTAAGTTAGTGCGACCATTGATAGAAATACTGGGCAGACCATCATTCAGTCTTTGTAAGATAGCACACTTTCATGAATAAATGCAGGAGTATTTTATGTACCAGGTTCTGTTCAGATGATAATCCACCTATTGTCAAGCTGTACATGAATCAGGACTTGTCCATGAAAAGCATGCTGCTAACTCCTATCATTCCCATCCGAGATGCTGCCAACAGTACAGTGTTCTTGTGACAACAAAACACAAACCATAGGTCTGTCAGCATATAAACCCTCATTATGGAATCAATTTCAAACAGTCTGGGTCAAAACTCTGGTACCAGTACCCTCTCAAGTTGCTGTTACAAGAAAGTGGCATTCATAGTGCTGTTTCTTCTGACTGTTAGTGTTAAATACCGATCCTCATTTTCTGTTGTTGAAGGAGTATGACCTTGTCCCAATCTTCTCAGAACATTTCCAGTTTCCAAAAACCAATTCCATAGCCTGGAAAGGACACTTTGAGAAACACCTAACACTTCCACTACAGTGGAAGATATTTCACTCATCTCTAAATGACCAGTGGCCCTCCATGCTACTGATTCAACTAAATTATCTTGCTCAGACATCGTTTTTACTCTTACAAAACATTCAATGTGTATCCATTGTTTTTAATCTCCTCCTACAGAAGGAATGCTGCAGGTCAATTTTCACTCCTTACCTAAAATGCATAGTTTTCGACGACACAGACAAAATTTACATATTCCAAACTTTGTAAACCTCATAATTTTCTTTTCTAACCTTTTCTACTTTGTTAAAAAAAATTTGTCGATTATATGGTTATTTCATACCAAACTCATAATATCCCCTAATTATTTTGAGCAGTGTACATATGCATTGTTATGATTGTATATATCTAAATAATTTAAGTGAAACTATATTTAATATTTTAGTATCTCTTGTGTAATGCAACATTAAAGACCTCAAGATTGTGAAGCATCCCACACATGTTATACGGGATTTAAATCAGGAGAGTACACTGGCCAATCCATTCGAGTCATATCTTCATTTTCCAGTAGTTTCTGAACAGCAGGAGTCCAGTGTGGCCGTGCATTGTCAACCATAAAAGTGAAGTCTGCTCCAACTGCACATCAAAACAGACACACATGGAGAAGGATCACCTCCTGACAATAGTGATCTTCAGTTACAGAACCTCTGTCGTAAACGTGGAGCTCTGTCCGCGAGTTCAGCATAATGCCTCCCAAGACGAGAACTCCAGGGCCACCATAACGTTCCCTTTCTGTGACGTTACTGGGATGAAATTGTGTATCGACCTTTCTCCAAATCAACTAGTATTGAGAATCGTTTGTAGCATTAAAACGACTCACATAAATAGGACACAACCATTGATGAGATGTCAAATTTTTGTGCTCCTTGCATTACTCTAAACGGTCGCACCGATGATCAACTTTCAAAGGGATGCAGTATTCAGGATGGCAAGCAAATAGGCCACCTTTGTGAAGTCACATGGACACAGTAAACCATGACACTTGTCGCCCCTTTGCTGTACACAGTTGCTGAGCTATGGCGCTTGCTGACTGATTTCGGGCTTTTTTCGCCTGAAGGATATCTTCCTACGGTGGCCACCACCAACTTTTCTAACAGCTGTACCTATGGTTTGGAAGACTTTCCAAGCGTGCGAAATGACACTTTTGTTGATTTCGAATTCATCAGCTACACTCGTCACACTATAAAACTCCTCCAGCTTCCCGATCATTCTTCCACGTGTAAAGTCATCCAGGTGATTTCTTCTAGCCATATGTCACGAAAGAAATCACTTGCACTTACATTGAATGTCTTTAATTGCATCTCTGTCCTTCCTTTTATTGTAGTCTTGAGTTGAGCACGCTGACCGCACGCGTTTTGGGTCCACTCACGTCACCTGCGACATTTTGTTCCTCACATTTGCATGTCCACGGCCTTTCTACTGAATTGTGTGTTCACTGTACTGATCGCAAGAACCCCTTTTATGCGATTTCATGGCTATCTGATTAAAATTTACATCATTGCTTAAGTTCTGCACAGCAGTGTATATATATTTGTTATGTATGTCATATATATGTAATAAAAAAGGACTTTGCAATATTATTAATAATGCAGAATGGAGAAAGTTGAATCTATATTGAAGAGCAAGAATTTTGATGACACAGAATGCAGAAATGCCGATCCACAATGGATAAGAAATCGGCAGCCACAGCAGATTAAATCATCAATTTATTTCAGTAAAATATGGTGCATTTGCAATTTACTTGGCACTCTAATCATGCCTATTCAAGAATATTTATATTTTTAAGTACCATTGTGATAGGAAGAGAGCCCAGAGAAAAAGTGTCATTACAGCTAGAGAGGCAGAAGCTACACTGCACATTTATCCAATATGGAGGGCTCGCCAAGAGAAGTTTTTGCATTTAGAAAGTTTTCAGTTCTCAAAATTTTGAGTTCAAGTTCTGAATTATGCAAGTTATGTGACATAAATTAATCTAGAAATGCTGATGTTCAGAAAAGTTAATACTACTTATAGAATACAGAGAGGAAATACCCAAATTAAAAATGAGGAATTAAGAGGCTATTACTAAATTCAATTATAAAGTTAATTTACATACTTTTTACATACTTTTTATACTTTTTATATACTTTTTTACATACTTTTTATGCAATTTACATATTTTTTTAATAAGAATGTGTAAAAGATAAATTATAATTTAAATTAGCAATATAAATTAATTTCCCTTCCTCTTCTGAAAATAGTAATCTCTCTTTGCACTGTGTCATTTCAAGACTAATCCATGTCATATGACTTTCACATAATTCTGATGATGTAAATGAAACTAAAACATTCAATGGTAATTTTAATGCAGTGTTAATTATCCAATCAAAATGCATTGAGAAACAAAACTAACTCAATCTGAATTAAGATTTCATCTTCATAACACACTCACTTTCTCCTCTTTGTCCTAGCTGGACTACTGTCTGATGCTTCTTTCTTACTGCAAAATTATCAAAAATGCAAACATTCTGAAATAGGCACAAATGATGTTCCAAGTTGTTTGTGGCTGCAACACATTTACTGAAATAAAATGAAGATTTAATCTGCCCTGGCTGCCATTTTCCTATTCATTGTAGATTATGCCATGAAAATTCTTGCTCTTCATTACGGATTCAACCTTTTACATTCTATACCATAAAGTCCTTTGTAATTACATATAGTATGTGTGTGTGCATGTAAGTATTTATGTATGTATTTCGGTAAAAACAGCAAAAAATGCAGATTCATGATAAGGTATGCTGTCCATAATATCTACATAAGGTACAATGTAGAATGACGAATGATGTTCAGAAAACATAATGATCAGTCCAGGAGATGCTACACTTAAGGTGGATAGTTCAAGAAAAAGTTATTCGTAGTTTCCCGATGCACGAATGGGAATACACACACATACACAGGTGGGGGGGAAATACTGCTTTCTTTAAAAAAGACCTATAACATGATTATCTAAAATGATAAAATTTTCATTTTAAAAAATAATCTTTTCATTAAGAATTCCTTTTTCAAATTTGGACACATTCCTTTTAATGAAATGGTCTCCATTTAAAAGAAATTGCAACTGTTTAATTAAGCTTTCCATCACAAAATTTGAAATCTGAAAACTGCATCCTGTTTATAATGAAATTATAATGCCTATGAAATTATTTAAAAGATTTTAAATATCTTTCCTCTTTATTTAAGTTTCCTGCAATTTTTCAACTGAGCTAAACCATATTTTTTACTAATCATGGTGTATTTTAAAAATTTTACTGCTTTCAATAATAAAGGTAAAAATTTTATGCTCACCTGCATCCCTTTTGTCAACCCCATCACATGTCAAAAGAGTTTTTATGAGACGGAAATGACCAGCTATTAGTGCACTGTCTGCTGATTGCAATGAAGCAATAGAAGAGGTTGAAAATCCTTGAAGCCATGCAACTTCATCTTCTATCATTTGTTTGGGATCAATATGTAGACGTTTCTGATCAAAATCTAAATGAATAAACCAAAATATTACATTTTGCATCAAAAAGCAACATGAGCTAAATATCTATGATAGGTCATACCTAGCTGAAATCTAAATTTTTATCAAAATATATGCAAAAAATCAACAGCTGGAAAAGCTTGTTAATCAGCCTATTTATTGTTATACTTTTACAATAATTAATGACTTAATAATGACTATTTTACATCAATACAAAGCAGTGACACTTTCTGGTTAAGAAAAAATTTCATGAATTTCTAATGATTCAAGATAATTTTAATAAATGGAATTCATAAATAATTTTTACACAAAATATTAAAAATGAATCTCTCTTAGCTGAAATTTGAATAAAATAACATTGTTAATTGAAAAGCCAGTTATTTTTACTATGCTGGTATTCAAAATTAGAAGAATTTTCATATTTGGCTGATTATCAATAGAACTGATAGGTAGATTGAAATGAAATTAGACAGAGAATTGGGTAATTAAAAAAAAATACCCTTCAACAGTCATGTTCACATGTATGATTGTAAACAAAGCTTACTGGCACTGGAAAATCAATGACAGAAGTTATATGACTGAACAAGAAAGAAGATAATAGGGAGTACTATTCCTTCTAACATTCATAGTTTTCATAATGTGACTTCATAGAGGAAATTAGTTTATGAATTGCTGTGATAGTGGTTCCTATGCTTCCACTAATGTTTTCAGGTCATATCAAAGGGGGAAGATGAATTGCAGTTGTTCTCCCAAGACTATCCCACATATGCTCTAAAGCATTTAGGTCTGGAAATCTAGCTAGCCAATTTATTCAACTAATATCCTTACTTTTCAGAAAATCATCTTTCATATTAATCATATATGAACAATGTTATCACCCACAAAAGTGAACTGAAGACCTACTGCACCATTGAAAATGCAAATACAATTATAAGGTCTCTTTCCCATACCTCAAATATGAGGCATAAGAAAGAGATATGAAGGTCTCTGTGACAGTCCAGCATTATACCACACCTCCACTGCTGTAATGGTCCTTTCTTGGAGGTTGGCTTTCAGATAACAAATCCTTAGTTCTCTCCAGATGAAGGTATGCAGAGAATCACTGGTTATGCTGAATCAGAATCATCAATAAAAAAAAAATAGTTCTTCACTGATGCTTTGTCCAAAGTCTGTGCCCTCTGCAGCATGCAAAATGAAGTGCATAGATGTGAGAGGGACACAAACACTCTCATGGAGCTTTATGGAAGAAGCAAACATTTAAGCTCAGCTTCCTGTGAACATATGAAGGTCATGAGGGATTTGAAAAGCTGTTGTGCTCTAAAAGATCTCTCTGAATAGACAAATATTTACCTTCATCGGCTGTCATGCCTCTTGTATGACTTTGCCCAAGCTTTCTCTCCATCAATCTGATAACTATTTCCATGACAATGAGTATTACATTGAAGTCTCATACAATCTGCACCTGAGATTGCCCAGCTTTCAGCTTCCTACTGATTTCTAAATTATTCCATCATACAATGCTGATAATTATTCATTTTAACTGTCTGTTGTTGAATTTCACTAGATGTTGCAAAAAAAGTACCTCAAAAGTGGCTGAGGACAGAAAGCAAACAAAGCATGAATAGCACCATGTAAGCTTCTAACTACTCTTCTCATAAATACTTCACATACACATGTGTATGCTTGCATATTTGACACTCAAGATATGCATTTTTGTTAGAAGCATAATTGCATCACTACCACTAATATTAATGTCTTTTCAGTATTTCACACTCTTAAATTTTTAAAGAAATAATTTTATCAAGATAAAATATAAAACATGAAAAGTCCCTTTGCACGCAAAAGGAATTTCAGCACAAATATTAGCAATTTGTAATAATTAATTCCCTTATTTTCAAACCATTAATTTTAAAAATTGAGACATTCAAAAATTCTAAATTTTATTTAAAAAATGTTAAGTTGTTAAAAAAGCACATTCTTTATATTGGTTAAATGCAGATGCATTTTTAAACATTTTTTATGAAACTGTTCATACATTTGCCAATTATACAAACATTTTAAAAAGAGAGGGAAAGAAAAGAAAAGAAAATCTCTAACACTTTCTTGAATGTGTTAATTTTCCCTTCCTTTTAATAGTCTGCTAATGTTTTTTATTCAAAAGAAACAGTCTGCTAATGTTTTTTATTGAAAATATGAGCAATCAACTGTACGCAACCTAAATGGCAGTTTAATGAATGACTCTTTATAAATGTTTATTTCTAGTGATCTTTTTTTGAATAAGACAAAAATAAAGAAATGTCATTGAATTTAAAATCATATAATTAAACAGAACCTGGCTCTTTGATTTTCCAGTTACTTAATGCTTAGATATGAGATAACTTGTTATAAAAAATAATCAAATATATAAAATACTAAATTGTGAAATATTATCATACTGTATAGAAGAGAATAAAAATTTTAACCTGTAAGCCCACTGAGAAGTCTGCAACCAAGTTCAAAGTATTCTGTGCACTGACTAAGAAACCTATATTAAAAAACCCACAAAAGTCCTTTCTAAGAAAATTCTTTTAAAACAGATTTATTTAAATCTAAATTGGTACACTGAAAAAAGCAATAAATATTTTAATCATATTACCTTTGACTATCTCCTCGCACACAACTTGATGGAACCCACAATGGCAAACGTGCTTTTAACAGTATTTCAAGCAAGAAATCTCGTGGATTTGGTGTAGAATTAGTAACTATGGTACTAAGCTTGCTGAACTGCTCCAGAGCACAGCAACGTACAATGCGACTTGAAGAGTATAATAAAACATCAATCACAAAATCCCTTATGCATGGCAATGCAGAAAATTTACCTAAAGAGATACAGATCTATGTTACACAGCTATATATTTAAAATGTTAACATTTCATACAGTTTTTATTTACATAACTTGGCAAGCAGATGCAACATACAAAAAACATAACAAAAAGAAAGAAAAATATTTTTTCCTAATATTTTCAGATGAGAGTATTTTCAGTTAATGACAGCATAATTTACAGTGCTACACATTACAACTGAAGTTTTCTAGTTAATGAATACACTAATTCAAAATCTGATTTTAACAAATTCAAAACATGAAAAAAAATTATAAAATATTCTAATAATAAAATTTATCATTTTTAAAAATTATTCATGACAGACTGATATCACTTGTAAGAATATATTTCCTTTATCTCATTTTGTTGCAAGGCTGATACAAAAAAGGCAAATGGTACATATACCTGAAGTACATACATACTTAAAAAAATACAGTTTTTAGGAATAAAATATGATAAATGTTTGATATGAAAAATATCAATACACATACTGACAATCTATATTCACTCATGGCAGGGCTATTATAATCTGAAAATATCAATAGGATATTTTATAACTATACCAGCTTACTAGTTCATATTATCACAACCAACTAATATCTCTCAATATAGAAAATAGTTGATAGAAAAAGAATTTATAAAAGTTATAGGGCTTTGTGAAGTCTAAAAACTGCAATACTTTTAAATATAACATAAAAAAATTCTTAAATTCTTTGATTAGCTAATAAACAAATTTGAATACTCAAAAATAAAAAGTAAACAAAAAATTGTACTTTTCACAAAAGCAAAGAAGCATTAAAGAAGCTCATACATGATGATTTTGCATTACTTGAGATCAAGTAAATGAAACAGATTAACAAATTTCATATAATAAAATGGAAGTCTTTTTCAGCACAAAATTCTAACTACCAATAATACATCCAATAAATAGATAAGCAAATATAGATTTGCTACACAAAATACAACTTATATTTTTATATAAGCAATAAAACAACTATGTCAGATATACCTGATAATTATATAAATACAATATGTGAAGGATGCAAAAATCACAAAACAACACATGTTCTGTAGTAATTAAATAAATATTTCTTTAAAGCATGAATACTAACCAAAGATGTCAGTTCTTGCATGGATGCATGTGACAAGAAATTCCAGTGCTTTAAGAGAAAGTAGTACATCCTTTTCTTTCACATGCTGTTGTTGTGCACATACACCACCATGTAAAAGCGTACCATCGCCGCTTTCACTTCCACTTCCACTGCTTGTATTACTCCCTGCATTAACAAAAATCTCATATATGATAATTTCCTGTTCTGATAACATATAACGAAACAAAATTTCAAGTCACAATTGCTATTCTTATGCTTAATATAGGTGAAACTCACAATTAATTTGGCAGTTTGAAAATAAATACATGATACTATAAAAAAAACTTTTGATTCTAATTTTTAAGCAAATAAATAACAAGCTTTTCATAAGAACTGTCTGCAACATGTTGAAACAGAACATGAATTATTTTCTACAATTGATGAAGTGCTACTTGAAAAGAATTATAGTAAATAATAACTACAAATTATTTGTTACACAACAAAACAAATTCACATTTTATAAGATAATATAACTAGCCAAGGCCACATCGTATCAGAAGGTTGCGTGTTCAAATCACGTCCGGGTCACCACAATGTAGCCTTGGCTACTAATGTTTAAAATTAATTTATGATTAGGAACAGCATGAATTACAAACAAATAGCTAAGTTTATTACATTTTGTTTTCCAGCTATCGAAATGTGATGCTACGAGCACGTTTTGAACCAAACCTAGCATCATGAATCAAATGTTGCCATTCAGCATAAAGAAATTTAATATAATATGAACTACTTGTTGCCAATTCAGCAAAAAGAAATATAAATTACAAATATTAAAGTTAATTTTATAAAATAATTAAACATGTGAACAAATATATGAAATAAAAAATAATTATTTCTCATGCAATAACTGGGCCACTACAATGTCATTTTCAACTTGCCTTCAAACATCAGATAATCAAGTCAGAATAATTCAAGGAAACAAGTTTAAACGAAGTGAAGAAAAAATTAGTATAATTTAATAAGCCATTTAACATTTGAATTACTCATCAAGATTTCAAGCAGACTGCAGTTTAACAAAGATTTGCTAGATTTTCTGGAATATGAAAAGGTTATTTCTCTTCACATCATAAAATTCTCACTGTAACTATCAGTAATCACAAATAGATAGATACCAAGTGATCATTTCACAAATTTAGGAAAATATTAAAATATAACAGGAAAAGTAAAAAGAACAGGAAAAGAAAGAAGTCAAGCTAGAAATGATTTCACTCTTCAGATGCTAACTGATAGGGATGGCCAGTCATTTTAATAATTATGTTAAAATTATCAGCACTTGCCATCAATTCTCATAGTTCTTGGCATCTTGGCATCAAGACATTAATTCTTCATCATTTAGGTTTAAAAGCATTAAATCAATTTTGTGTATTTGTGCATGTATATATATGGCAAGGATTAAATAGAGTGCAATTACAAGTAACTATCCAAAACTACCACAGAACAGGATGCCATATGCGTGGTGATACATAGATGAGTCATTTTCAAATTTTTTTAACACATTATGCAATCAAGAACTGAGAATACATATATATAATGATTTGGTGTAATTGTTGATTCTCATCTGCGCATAGATATGACTTAGCCATGAGGATATCTCTAGGATTAGATGATGGCGTTGTAATAACTTGGAGAGAGAAATGAATGAAGGTTAGAACATACATTTTTAATTTTTGTTAAAGGAATTCTGAGATGATGATCTGATTCACATATCAGGATGAGAGCAATTTGCACCCCACAATTTTATAAGCTTAACACATTTTAAGACAATGGATGTTTTGTTTCAGAGAAAGCAGTCAGCACCAGCACGTTAGCAGAGCAAAAGCAAAGCTTTTTTTTTAAAAAGAAAGAAAGAACGGGGAGGAAAGAAGACAAGGGAAGAAAGAAAGAGAATAAAAAATTTATTCAATCCAACTAACAGAGAACTATACACAATGCAGATTCTTAAGATGGCATAATGTGGAATTAGTTTTCAGATATTGTACAGTTTTGAAAAAGTTATTATCATTTTTAGAACAGAGAAGGGGAATCTTCAAACTGAAAAGAGGAATTAAGAGGCTATTTAAAGTATAACTTATAGTTATGCAGAATAGACTGGGAGAATCTCCAAATTAAAAAGAAAAATTAAGGGGCTATTGTTAAAGTATAATGTAAAGTCATATGTTTTTTATATTTTTATCTTATTTATATCATATTCAGGTTTTCACTGATTTATAAATATGTTAAGACAATATGAATGCTAATTCAAATATAAATATTGTTAAAGATATTGCAAATACATAAAATGTCTGTAAATTTACCTGTACTACTCTGTCTACTCCTTCTTCCCATGTGATTTCCCTCTCTTGAAGGCAGTGAACAATTAACAAGATGTAAGTTTCCAGCAGCAGCAGCCCAAGCTAATCGGACTAAATTTAACAGCATTTCCATCAGCTCAATGGATGGCAATGTCTATTTCCATAAGAATAAAAGAAATTATGAAAATTCTTATATAAACTAAAATAAAATGATCTAGAAAACACCTTTTGCTTCAGAGAAGATTTAAAATGATAATGTCTTGCTGATGAAGATAAAAAATAAAACAAATTACTAATAGTATATATAGATTTGTGGAGCAATTTTTCTGTACAATAAAAAATCTTCTGAACTTACTGTAATTAGCTTCTGAGCTAGCAATTATCTATAAGCCTGTAAAAAAAGAGTGACTTCAAGATTATTTAAAGTCATATTAAGCCACAAAAAGATTTAATGAATCCTAACATGAGAAGACTGCATTTTTAATACATTCACATCCATAAAAATTTGTGCACTATGAAGTAATTGTCAAATCATGACAAAAATTGGTATGAAGGATATGCAAATAAATAGAAGCATAGCGTGACTGCACACTGTGTAATTGCTTGACCTTCATTCTCCCCAATGCATAAAAAAAGTGTACAGAGGCATTTTGCTTGTATTTAATTTGTTGCATTGTAGGATGCTTACTCACTCGGGATGCTTTTACACCATCACTGAAGACAAAGAGGGGAAGAGTAACTGGGATGATGGAAGCTGTGTGGTCAGATCAGTAAGTAGCATGAAACCACTTCGTCTGTACTGTGAAACTCGACTTTACTGTGAAATGGTGTAAGAACTATTTGACAAAAGAGAGGTTGTATATATAGCAGCAAAGTTCAGGATGCTTTTGGTAGCCCAATAATGAAAAGGATAGACACATCATTTGACACGCACACATGTTGCCAACTGCATCATTGTCTACGATCAGGACATTTAACAAAACATTACTTTCAATACGAAAACCTGTGTCTGTTTACTTCATTATGAGATATTTAACTGAATGATATTTGGTACTGAGTCACACATTACATATGCTGCCAATGACACTCACCCACTGTCACCTCCACTTAGAGTAATGTACCACTTAATGGAATTAAACTGCAGCTGAATGGAACCAGATCATCTTCAATGATGAATCAAGATTCAGTTTGGACAGTGAAGACAACCATATGTGTGTGAAGGCCTCATGGTAAGCACTTCAATCCTGCTTTCATTTTACAACCAGATATCACTCTCACATCTGGTGTGATGGCATACGGTGATGTTGCACATGACACCTGATCACCTCTGATATTGATCCACAGCACCAAGATAGCCCATTCGTGACATCTTTCAGCCACATGCTTCCAGGAGGCAATTTCAACAAGAAAATGCTTATCCACACACAGTAAAGGTGTCACAAGAATGCTTTACCACATTACCTGTATGATTATCAGATTTGTCACTGATCAAGCATGTCAGAGATTACTTGGAATGGTTAGTTGAATAGCCTAGGATGTTCAAAATATAGGCATGTTTACATTAACTGTATATCAAGATCATGCAGAACACCATACAAAACCTGTATGCCTCAATGCCCGCCTGAATCACACTACGTATTCCTACTACGGATAGACTGACAAGGTATTAGAACCTCCATTTTTTTGTAATTTTTTCTGTAATAAACAATGCTTTTGCTTTGATTTTGAAATCAACTACTTGTAACAACATTTCACTCGCATACATAAAATGTTGTTTGACTGCGATAACTCTTTCTTAACGCGCAAATTTTTATGGGAATGAGTATATAATGTCTGAGGAAAAACCAGTGACAACACCCAACTCCACTCCAAAAAACCTGTAGGACTATGCCTTGACAAATTACCACTAAGACAAATATTAAATTACAAAACTTTTCATATGGTACAAAATTTCCAGAGAAAGGCATGCCTTGAAAAATAAGATTTGTGTCAGACATTCTTGAAATGCATAAAGCTTTATTGTAAAAATAACACCAAATCAAATTATAATTATGAATTTTGTCAATTATTATGTTAATTTATACGGAAATTGACCATACACCAAAAAAGAATATTTTTCATTGATATCAAGCAGAGACAAACAACTACAAGAAAATTAAAAAAAAAAAAAAAAAAACCAGCTTTTTTTGAAATAGGATTTATAACTAAGAAAAGAAAACAGATTGGCCATCACATGAAATAGTATAAACAGATTGATCATCACATGAAATAGTATAAACTAAATAAAGCTATGCTATGATTTATAAGATTAATTAACATGAAATATTAATAAAAAATTTACTTTATTTTTTAATTTCCCAATGATTCTAAGAAAAGGGTTAGCAAATGTCTCAATATTTAAATGAACTTTTTCATCAGAAACAAGAAAGAGGTATATAAAAAGATTAAATGCATTCTGATATTTTTAAAGCATATATATTCATCTAACAAAACACGAAATGTTGCTTTCCCTACTACCAACCTGTTAAGAGACTAAACACGCTTTCTCCCCCACAAATTTCTCAATATATTGAACCAAAACTAAAAAGTATATGGTCAAATAACAATACAGCCATGCTGAAGCCTAATACATAATCATCTTCATATATGTAGATGCTGCTGCAATGACAGTAGGTGTAAAAAATAGTCATAAGTTATTTCAATTTCACTTTATTCATAAACATCGGTGATAATCATAGGGTCTGTTATAAAATATTGTTAAATATCCCAAGTTGCATGGCAGAATGAGTAACCACCACTATTTAGATGGCCAAATTAAATGGAAAACTAGGGTCAGAATAGAGGTACGGCAATCCAAAGTTCGGACTGTAAAAGAACTCAGTGTACCTCCTAATGTGTTAGCAATTTATGGAAACAGTTTCAAAAGACAGGATCCCTATCCAGAAGACTTGAGAGAAGGCATACAAGACCACCAAAAGAATATCAGTAATTAGCATTCTAAAGTCAGACACTAAAGGAACCTGCTTCCTGAAAACTCCAAAAGAGAAGGCTACTGTCTGCTTTTGCACACTCCCTCATACAAGAAAGCACATCTGGCTTAGTACACTGATCATTAATCAAATTTTGATTGAACTTCAGTAGGTCCATCTCCCTTCAATGACTAATGTAGATTAAGCCTAAATGCTAATTCTTGATGTACCTTCATCTGGAAAGAATCTGAAATTTGATACCATTCCTCCAACACCAGAGAAAGAAAGTAGTATGGCAGTAGAGGTGTCATGGTCTAGCCTGGAATGTTTAATAACCAAAAACATTCTATGTGCTTGACTGAGGCTCTCTGAGATATAGAGAGGAAATTTTAGTGTCCAAAGTGTAACTTTTCAGTAGCACAACTGCTTCTCAGTTTTTTTAGATGGACAAAATTATCATATACACAGGACTTAAAAGGTGCAACAGAGAGAATATTCTGCAGGTAACTGACTAGCCAGATCTCTAGACCTTAACCTGATTCAACATTTCAAAAATGCACTTGGGAATGCAACAACAATTCAACAACCCTGTATGAGAACGTCCCAAGAGTTATGAACTGCTGTGGTGAAAGGGTGAATATGGCAGTCACATTCATCAAATGTCTTGATAAAATTATGAACATTCACTTCACAACCTTGCATGAGCTTTTTGTGTTGGAGTGACCATACACCCTATTAGCCTCATTATAGCATCGTCTTGCAATGTATGTTTTGAACATTCCTTATGTTATGAGCACTGTTCATGACCATGAGTGGCTACTTTCACTACTGCATGGATTAAATTGCTGTCTTATATTACCATTATACCATGCATGGCTTATAATACATTTTATAAAATTATGACTTTTTTTGTTGTTGTTGGAGAAACTAAAAAAACATATTTATTCTTTTAATTTTGAACACTAGTGTAAGTTTTTGAAACAACATTCAGAACATGACTTTTAACTCATTTTTAACATATTTTTTAATATATTTATCATTTTTAATATATTTATATAACAAGTCTGCATTGATCTCTAGCAAACAGCCTTAAACCAAAAATGGATGGGTGTGTAATGTGTTAAATGGAAATACAAATTGATCTAAATGAAACTATTCTTTTCCACACTTAAACATGTAGTCAATACTCACTTCAAAATAATATGTTCTTAATGGAATTTTAATAACTGAACACTAAAAAAATCTTCAAGCAATACTGCATTGATTAATAAATAAACAGACCTCAATTGCTTTAGTCCCATTCAGTCTCTTTACAGCACTTGAAAGCTCATCAGATAATGCAGCACTTGTACAAAATTCAATAACAGAAAGTTTTCCACTACTAGTCTGAAAATTTGAATGATGAGGAAATAAGGAAGACACTTCTAATCCAGTTTCACCACAAAGGAGAAACCTATATTTAATATTAAAAGAGGAAAAAAAGATAACATTTAGTTTTTAACATATAACTGCATGCACAACGCAAACCCTCAACATCTTGCTTTAATTTTAATATCTATTAGAATACATACATACACACAAAAATAATAATAATAATAATAATAATAATAATAATAGGGGATTTCAATATTTCACAAATTAGTGCTATTTAATACAAGAACAAAGCATCACAGTTAAATGTTCCAACAGCCTAACTTAATATTTGATCTTATCTTTATTTATTTTTGAAAAGATGGCAATAATTATCAGTTTTAAAATTCAAAGATTCACAAAAAAATGAGAAAGAAATTAAGAAATCAGTAAAAGAAAATATAATGCAAATATACAGAATATTCAAATATTTTTTAATGAAAATAATACATAACTAAAACTATTTTGTTATTAAAGACTGTGCTTATAAAATTTACCATCCAAACACATATAATTTAAATGTATCTTCTAAATGTAATATATAAACATCTATAATGAAATGCTATGCACTTTGCAATTCATTTTATTAGAAAGGCAACACTTACCTTGCTATAGCTAATGCAGTTAAATAGCATTCTTGAGTAATGTCATAGTCAATGTCATTTGGGATACTATCTTTCTGGAAGACATTCAACACTAACTGCAAACCACCAGCAGACAAAAAATCACAGCCAAACATTTGAGCACTCTGTACAGTATTTGCATCTTGTGTTACAGTCATAAGTTTTCCACTCAATGCCTATAAGCATAAGACATACACATATTACAATCTAACATTCTGAAAATTTAATACTGAGAAAGATCAGTTTGAAAACTCTATGTAATACCTTATTTTATATGTAGTAGAGTGTGAAAGAATTAATAATGAGAAATCACAAATTTGCGTGGAAGGAGAAAACACAAATTGGAAGAAGGAAAATTTAAGTTTCTAAGAAATTTCATATGAAAAAATTGGATTATAAATTTTAGGATAAGATACTTGCTTATATGCATGGCAGAATGAAAAGTTAATCTTGGTACAAAGATTTAAAGAAAAAAAAAAAGAAAATACAAGGACAGATGGTTTGTAGCTATAGATCGCGTATGCCTCCCAGCTTAAGATGTCAGTGTGTAGAGGCTCAACATTCTTAAGGAAAGCACAACATTTGAAAATTAAAAACACAGCTGCTCACTTGGAAGCATACAGGAAGGGCAGGAGCATATAGTTATTCAATTTCTGGATATTGAAAATGCTGCTAGTGCATTGCTTCAACAGATTTACAAGATCACTCAAGAAAGCACTTACTCGTATTAAGTTCGGGGAATGAAACAAAAAAAAAAAAAAAAAAAAAAATGCATATATGTCTACACAATCAGAATTAAACTCTTTTCTTGCAGAATTTAAGTATGACTGAAACACTTGCACTGTACATGTTGGAGAAAGCAAGATGGTTATGAATTTCCAATTCTATTTGTGAATAATTTATTAGTACTAAAATATCAAAGTTATATTAATTTCTACTCATATACTTAGTTAAATAAACAAATGGATCCAAAGAAAAAAACTTTGAGGACTTAAAACTTACATGCAAAAATCACTAGAGTGCTCCTAGAGTAAAAATCGCTCCTGGGTGATAGCCACATCCTGAATGTAATAGATAGCAACTGCATGACTTTTTATAGGCATAACATGGCAGTAGCGTGAAGTGAGAACTAGCAAAAGACTAATTCTCGTGAGATACGTGTATAAGTATTTGTATATGAAGTTACTCTGCGTGAAATAAGTTGATGTAATGGCATAGGTAAACTACTGTATCAGCAATTATATAGCTAGAGCGAGTCAGAAAATAGACAACCATTCATCACGAAGTCAGAGTCCAGAATGAGTATGCGAACGTTGAAGTATGAAAATGCTGGGTGGAGCTAACTAGTCAATTCATCAAAGAGCCAATGATGTAGCTGTAAGAGTGCATTTTCAAACAAGTCAGGCATTGGGTGATGAGAAGGCCTTAGGTAGAATATTTAATTTTAATGTAAGATGGTGTAAGAAAAAAGAACATGAATTAAAATAAATGGCTAAAATTACAAAAATTAGAATAATAGAGTACAGAGCAAGATTTACAATAATTTAAATGCAAAAGGACGTATCCGGTCATTTTCTGTTGTTTTGATCATAGTAATTGTAGTTCATAATTGGGATGAAAATATTATATCATTTGTTTATATTTCTGAAAAAATTCAGTGCAATTTTTGATACAGTTACTGATTTCATTTACATATAGTTCATTGTAAATTACCTTGTTTCTTATGTACCACTGGCAATTAGCCATATGTCTTTGTGTAACATTTTGAATTTGCTGTATTTTTTTCATCTTTGAATGACATACAAAATCCCAGATAGGACATGCGTAGGTAATGATAGGCCACAATATGGTCTTACACGAGTACTTTGTTTTCTATAGAGTACCCCGAAACTTATTCAAAATATATGTAGCATGTGCAGACCATGTAAGTCTTTGGTCTAGAATAACACCAAGGTATTTCACTTAATTGGCCCACTGAATTCTAGTACTGTACATACTGAGAGTGATATTTCAATCAACGTTTCTTTTGTTGATGAAAACAGCTTCAGATTTTTCCCACATTGATCTTAATTTTCCATCTAATCATGCAGGACTCTAGTGTTTGGATGTGTCCTTGTAATAATGATTACAGTAAAATAAAGACAATTACAGGAAAGAAAAATCATTAAGCATTATTACACTTCATTATTATTTGCAATAAACTGTTTGTGAGGGGTAGAAAGAAAAAGGAAAATAATTTGAAAACAAAAACTACATTAAAAAAAAAGCACTGAAATAAATTACATATTAATTACTGTATTAAGCTATAAAACATACCTCTAAGTTATATAAAAGCTTAAAGGGAGAAATTGGATAGGAGACATCAAATAGATTTTTTAAAATTTCTTTTGGTGACTCTGGACGTTCTTTTGTTGGAGAATTAATGGTAAACTTTTTTGGACTAGACCTTGGGCTGCTTTTCGGAGTTCCAGGTGATGGTATCTCAACAACTTTCTGTAAATGAAAATACATTTAAAAATACACTGCAGCATAAAAAGATTCTGAAAAATATATATTATAATAGTATGTGAAGAAAAAATTCTTTTTAACATGAATTTATTTAAATTAAGTTAGAAACTGTTGAAGAATAATAGAAAGTCCACAATATCATAAACATTTCATTTTAAACTATACATCATAAGCAGCCAAATTTCAAATACTCGGGAACCATATCTATAGTTCATTAGGGCCACAGTAAAAGTATATTATTCTAAAAATATTTAAACCGTTTTTTAATAAAAAGAACTTTTTAAAATGAATTAAAGTTGATTTGGTTTTTATGTGATTATGTCAAAGCCTTGAGGGCTATCTGCCTAAGGGAAGGGATGCCTTTGTGGAGGACTTTCTAAGGGAAACTGGCTCATATACACGTTATACATGGGGAAAATCATGAAAATGCTGATGCAGCCAGCCCATCTGTGGGATTCAAATCTAGGACCAAATATCAGTGTTCAGTGACTTTACTGCTCGGCTGCAGGTGGGCAACGAATTAAGGATTTCACATTTTGCAAGTAATATAATTACTTATAAATAAATAAGTATCATTACCCTCACCCCGTAATCAAGAAATATGATTCTACAATATACAGATTTTGAAAATTCTTTGTAAAGTAAGCTTTTTGGGGGAAACTATATTTTTTTTCATATTTTTAATTCCCTTCTTCAGATTACAGCTATGAAATGATTTTAACAGATGTGAGTTAAAATAGTAAGTGCCTGTTAGATTATTATAAAAACAAATGATGTTGTTCTCAGGCACATTTTATACTTATTCGAAAAATAAAAAACTTTTTTTAACTCTTTGCTTATTATGCACTTTGAAAAGAATAAAAAAACTATGGCAAGATAGCACGCACTGAACAGAAGACTGCAATCCATATATTAAACTTACTTTACTTTTAAATAAAAGGAAAATTTAATAATGATTTTCTCATTAAAATATTACATAAACACATACAATTAATATTTGGAATAATACATAAAAATCGCCTCATCATTTAATTAAATCAAATGCATAATCTTGTTCATGAGGCGAATTTTAGTTTTCCCTAGTGTAAGTTAGAATTATGCACGATTAGAGTTATCTGTGAAAAACTGAGGTATATCAGTAATGTAACATGCTGCAGATATATCTGACTTCTCTGCAATCCTGATAGCCACGACTTGTAAAATAAGCCTCATCTTGGCAGCAAATCACAGAAAAAGAATCATTTGTCCTTTATTTACTTTTTTAACAATTAGCTTCAGCAAGTATTTTGAAGCTGTTCCTACATTATTAAATGCATAATGTAATAAAAATTGAAAACTGCTGATTGTTAAAAAAGTTCACTGTGCCATACTGTCTGCTTCAAATTGTAATCAGATTTCAAAAATAAAAATACAATAACTAGCTGGCATTCAACTAACTGAAAAGATTTTTAAAAAATCAGAACATTTTAAGAATTTTTTTTTAAACAATGAAAGTAAGCAAAATTAATTCTTGGCAATGAGAGTGCTTGAAGTACTACAATAAGCTCTCTGGTCTTGGCCTCCAGATTCGTACCTCAAAATTTCTAGGGTCATGGAGCAATAATCAGAGGTTCAAACATAGTAGTCCCTTTGGAAAGGTTGTTTCTGACCATCTTATCGCCAGTTCTATAGAACATCACAGCTTATCTCAGATTATCGACCCCTCCGAAACTTGAAACAGTTAGCTTTTGAAATAATTAATAATGCCCCTATGGATGCTGTTCACATGTATATGGATGGCAGTAAACTTGTTAATGACAGTTCTGGCAGTGGCATTTATATTAGATTTCGGGATCAAGAAATACGAATTCAAAGAAGAAATCCAGACTTCTGCTTGGTATTTTGAAGCGCGTTCTGCATTCTGGAGCTCTGACTCTATCGTGTGGCTTCCTAGTGTAGTAAAGTGCCCATCCAGCACTGCGATTGGATAAGTAAGGATAGACAAGTGCAGAATCCTCAGGAACTAAACTACTTTCCCCTTTCTCCAATCCACTTTGAGTGGATTCCGTCCCAGGTCGATGTTTCTGGGAATGAGATTACGGACAGCTTGGCTAGAGCTGGTGATAGCGAGACCGCAACACCTGCCACTCCTCTTACTTATATGGAGCTACTTTCTAAATGCAAAACAAAAAATAAGGCCATTTGAATGGTCCCACCAGTGCATCCATGGTGTCAAAGTAAGTGCCCTGGTGGCTCCTTGGTTCAGAGCAGCAATAGACAAGATCAAACTGCACTACTTTCTTAATGGCCATCTGTTATCAATGACTTTTGTCAGTGGTAATAAACACTTCGAAATATGCACTAAGTGTTCTTCCGCATACGCCTCTCCTGACCAGTAAAAAGTTAAAGGTCTCCATATCTTGTTTGGGGCTTACCAGGCAGGACTTGGTTCAAGATCCCCTTTTTGTACTAGACTCTTTCAGGGTAAATGAGCTCATAGACTTGATCTAGCTCTGCTGGTCACGGGGATGAGAAACAACAATAACGAGACTGCTAAATAACCAGTTGATTTGACTTTTCCAGGAAATGCTTCACAAATTAGTGCCTGGATGTTGGAGGGGGAAGGATACTAGTACATCACAAAAAATATCAGTGAATGATATGAGAAAGGAAAAAAAAAAAAAAATCACCCTTGAATTATTCAAATTTATATTCTGAATGAGCAAACAAATGAATTACATATCTGCAAATTTTTATGTATGTTATTTTTGTATAATGAGATGAACTCTTATTAAGTACAGTATAATTTCAATAATCCACACTTCTTAGGACCAACAATTGTGAGAATTAGAGAATTCTGTGAATTATAGATCATGTCTTAGTGTAGTTTGTTTACATTTTTTCTTATATAATTTTTACATTAAATTTGAACTTTAGGAAATACTTAATCAAGATTTATTATTAAAATTATATTTTTTAATATATTTAAATGCAAAGAACATGGCTTTTTTTGGCAAAGGCTACTTTTACAACAAGTAATGACTATCAGGATTGCAGAGAGGTCAGATTTTTCTGCAACATGCTATATTTAGAGATATACCTCAGTTTCTCTCAAATAACTCTAAATATGCAAAATTCTAACTAAATATGCATCCAAGTTCAGTTTCTTTGTATATAAACATAAATATGCATAAATAACTCTAAATATGCATCCAAGTTCAGTTTCTTTGTATATAAATATTTTCAAAGAGGGAAAATGCTAGAAGAAAAAGAGATAAATTAAAGGTTTTCTTTTTTTTTTTTTTTCAAGAACTCTTCCAAAAAAACACATCACAGTACCTTATACCAGTGATTCTCAACCTTTTGACTAATGCGTACCATCTAAACAAAAACTGAAAACCTTTAGTACCACCCCTACAAAGTGCTATTACCACCACCTCTTTTGAACAAAGCTCAGATTGCATAAATTTATGAATGTTAGAGAAAAATCTCAATCAGGATGTAGGGGTTTTAATTTTTGAATTTAATAGCTAAAAATACTTTGCTTCTTAGCATACCACCTATTTTTCTGTTGTGTACCACCAGTTGAGAACCCCTGCTTTATACAAAAGGAAAACTGTATATCCACTTGCAAAATTACTTTTTACATGACTTTTTTAGCTCTGTAACAAAAAGAAAAATTACGTAAATAAATCAATACACCTTTTACAAAAAACATCAGGGATGTAATTTTCCCTAAACTAAATCTACCATTAAGTTCTGAGCATGTGTTGTTGGATTAATAGCATCACTAGCGGCCAACAAATGCTAGAATTGAAATTTTATATGTTTATTAAAAGTAAATTTGTCTTTATTTCTGGCAAATTACCACTGTTGCCATGTTTTCACATAAGTCTTTACAAGGGTTACCCCCTTTTATGAATCTATCTCTATTGACTGGTAATAAAAACCGCTTGTCTTGTTATGTGGAATGGTTTGGTTTAAGTGATTATGGCAAAACCTTGAGGGCTATTTGCCCATGGGGAAGGATGCCTTCATGGAGGACTTTCTAAGGGAAACTGGATCATATACACATTACACATGGGGAAAACTACAAAAACGTCCATGCAGCCAGCCCGTTCACGGAATTCAAACCCCAGACTGAACTACTAGTGCTGAGCGACTTTACCGCTCGGCCGCTGGTGGGCTGTTATGTGGAATGTAAATAATCAGTTGTGAAGTGCATTTTATTTGAAACTCAGCACCTACAGAAATGTACATAATTAATTTTTTTACATATATTAGCTATTGAAGCTCAAAATTAATACTGAAGGACAGTATATTATCCACTTAAAACTAATGCCGTATATAAAAAGAAAAATTTACAAATTCATGATGTGTGATTAATACAAAAACAGAGTTTTGCAGAACTTTACTAATTACAGAAAAAAATTTCTTTAATTAAAATATGTTATAAATTTGTTTGTTAAAAAACTTAATTGTATATATTAGAAAAAATTACTATTAAATTTGACAGGCTGGCTTTTCTAAAAACTGATATATATACGTGAAGTACCAGCTTTTGTCAGAAATAAATAGATTGTTGAAGAATCATAAATGTAGTCATAGCTTAAATTATCAGATGATAAGTTTAAAAAACAGGATCCATTTATTATTGGTCAGGAGAAAATAGCAGTTACAAAATCAGATATCTGGAGTAAATAAAAAAGAACTACCATATATATCCGCGTATAAGTCAATACCGCGTATAAGTCGACCCCCCACTTCGACATAAAAAATTCGTAGAAAATAAGAAACCCGCGTATAAGTCGATCCCCCACTTTCGAAATTGATCGAGAAAAAATGTTTTTAAGTACTACATTTATTCAAAATCATCTGAGAAAAAAAAGTAAATATACGATAAAAAATACCTTGGTAAATAAACAAAATAAAAATCCCTCAACGTCCGATTCATGGTCAGATTCGTCAAACATTTCATAGAACTCTTTTGTCATCATTGGCTCGTCATCATACATATTTTCAGTCTCGAACTCTGGATCGTTACAATCACTACTAGAGCCTTCGTCATCATTTTCACTTTCAAAAGCAGCATTATCATTCTGTGCCGTTTAGTTCGTTTTGCTAATACAACATTTTTTAAATGATTTTATCATTTCAGAGGATATTTCATTTCAAGCATCTTTAACCCACTGAGCAATTAATGTAATATTCGGCTTTTTAATGTTGCCTGCCTTTGTAAATGTTGGTCGACCGGAACTAATCCCTCTGCCCAATATTTTCAACATTTACTTTGAAGGGATTATTGAGGCAGACATCTAAGGGTTGAAGGACGGATGTCAATCCTCCCGGAATTACGGCCACAGTTGTTTTTAGGTGTTTTGTCCCTTCTTCAGAAAAGTGTCCACGAAAAGAATCATATACTAAAAGAGAAGGTTTTTTGAAAGCTGCTCCCACATAATTTAAGTCATGAAATTACTTGAGTAAGTGACTTATTTGATAAGTCGTCCAATTTGAGTGCGGGTAGAAAACAACTGCATTATATAAAGAAATTTTTGAACTTCCAATTTTTTTAATTTTTTATGGCCCCGCGTATAAGTAGACCCCCCACTTTGAAGTCTTTTTTTTTTTTTGTCCAAAATATCTCGACTTATACGCGGATATATACGGTACTAATAACATTTTGTATGAAGTTTTACTGCTCGTGACATTTAAGAAAAAGCCCCCGATATTCTTTTGCGAGTCCTTTTATAGCCTCTGGAAAGGCGGAGCTTCCAAGAATGTCAAGTATGATATTATATATATATATTTATAATGAAAGAAATGCAGATTATTGAAATTAAGGTATAATTATAAACACTGGGAGATTATGCAAAACGCTAGATTTCATAATTTTTACGAAACTGATTTTTTAAATTTAAACATATAAAAATATGAATTTTTTGTCATTGAAACATTTTTGTAACTGGAAATACATGTCTATGGCCAACAATAGGCAATATAAAGGCCACATATGACACTTCCAATGACACAGTATATGTGTATGTGTGTGTATGCATGCACACATAACTATGGTGTGGTGTATTTAATTATGGCAAAGCACACTAGGGCTATCTGCCTAAGGGAAGATATGCCTTCATGGAGGACTTTCTAAGGGAAACTGGCTCGTATACACGTTACACATGGGGAAAACCACGAAAATGCCCATGCAGCCAGCCCGTTAGCGGGATTCGAACCTCGGTCCGAACTACCAGTGTTCAGCGAATTTACCGCTCGGCCGCTGGTGGGCCCACACATAACTATGCAAGATGTCAGAAAAAATGTATAAATGGTCTCAGTTCAAAGTAATAGCTGCCACAATAAATTACAAGATTTCTCTTACCTTAGCACTTATGGAATCCAGAGCATCTAATATTGATGGATCGGTAGGGATTAAACGTAACAGACTGCGAACTTGAGAAGTTATGCTAAAAATAAAAAAAAATCATTTTTTTTAATTACAGTACAAAGATTCCAATTAATAAAAGAAAACACTTCATTGTTACATATATAAATTCACATATGATACACAGCTTAACATAAATGCATGCCCAACTTAAAAAACTGTACTTCCTGTACTGTAACACTGCAATGTTATTTTACATTACAAATCTGTTTATGTTACCTAATGATACACATATTATAGCTACAACTGCACTGATTTTATTAAAGTAACATGCACAACTCATACTGTTAAGATATTTGTAATCACATTCTTGCTGGTTAAAAGGAAGTATAGCTTTCTGTCACGTCTGATACATTCATTAGCTTTCAGCCAGGTCCGAGTTATTCTGAAACTTAAATCTCATTCTGTATGTTACTTTTGATTGGTTATTTATTGTGTCTTGCTTATGATTTGTTAAACATTGATCTGTTGTAAAGTTACATATATGACCTCTGTAACCGCTTATGGCTGCTAGTGCTTGTATTATTCTGCTTGTACTTACTTATTTCTGCTTGCATGTAACTCTGCGTGTATCTCTGCATATCTCAGTAATAAATATTTGCTTTGCGAACCATGGCATTTTCTATGTTTAACACATATAAAATAGTATTCTGTAAAAATATGTATGGCAATCAATGCTATGCATAAAATTGTAAGAGGAAGTTCCAACTTGCTTAAAAAACAATCATATTGGCATAACAGTTCAAACGAAAGCCCATCTGTGAACGATAATGACAAATTATTGCATGTTATGGTACAGTTCCGTATGACTTTTATGTAAGGTGATTCATAAGGTTGTTTTCATTTTGTGATTTTGCGTTGATTCACTATAAATGTCCGTTTCACTTTTCAAACTGTTACCACCAAATATCACCAACCTGTATTATATTTAAAGAAATTAAATAATGAAGAATCCACATACATATATGTATGTTTCTCGCATTGTGATAATACAACAGTACATAGAGCCATCGAATTTTGAATGATGCGAATATAGTAATCCTACTGCGAATATGGGCATATGGAAGCCCAAATTTGAAATTTGGAATTTGTTTTATTATTGACTTCATATTTTGTAAATCTTTAACGAATTTCTGATTAACAAATTCAAGGATTTCAAAGTGACCAATGGCAATGTTGTACAGAAAAAAACACTTTTGTCTCCAGTGCACGACTCTGTATCAGAAATTCTTAAGATATGCTTAATTTAAAACTATTTTGCAATACTGCTCTTAAACTGAATTTTATGGTTTAAGTGCGAAGAACGTGATAGTTAATAAATAAAGGTAACAGACAAATTGTTAAAAAAAAAAAAAAAAAAACTTTAGACGTAATTTTAAAAAACTTTTTTTTTTTTTTTTTTTTTTTTTTTTTTTTTTTGCATGAAGGTTATCAGCACTGTTCTTACCAATGCAGTTATCCATTATCATTCTAATTAAATGAGTATTGGGGTTTTCTCATTTAGATGCCATGGTTCATTACAGGCCAACACATCATAATCATAAAAAGAACTGACGAGTACTATGCAGAGACAGTTTATAAATTTTACAGAAACTGGTCATAACACTGCCCCTATTAATGCAATAATTATGCAACTGATACAGAAATTCAAGGAATCTGGGTCAAGTGCGATAATAAAATCTCTTGGATTAAATTATACCAGTTGTGCAGCACAGTGTGTATGCCAAGAAACTGCTTTGCTGTAGTTCACAACACTTGAAAATGTGAACATTATTAGCACAATGAATACAGACAAAAGATCTTTGTATGCACATATCCACATAAGGAAAAACTATGAAAATGCCCATGTAGCCTGCCAATTCATCAGAATTTTAACTCAGTAGTCTTATCCACTTGTCTACTGGTGGCCTATGAAAAAATAACAAAAGGAGGACAATTTTTCAATAAAACAATTCTTCAGACACTAAACACATTTTCATTTTTCTGGATTTTTCCACAGTTTAAACTGCTGCATTTGGGATCAAAACTTCGGGGTGATCCAAACGCACCAAATGCAACTCAACAGCCTCAAATGGAAGTCCCCTTTGGTTACAAATATCTTGAATTGGGGTATTGAAGCTTAGGTACCATTACCAGAAGTTTAGCCAAAGTTATGCAAGAGCCATGACACTTGTGGAGGATTGCTATAAAGCACTAAATCAAAATGCCATAAAGGGATGACAGCTAGAAAAATTTCTCAGGACCTCACTGCTGCTTTTAGAACAATAATTTTCAGGCAAACTGTATATAAACACCAAAAAGAATAGGACTTTTACACCCAGCAACCAATGGTATGTCTGCCCCTTAACAAGAGAGAGCCAAATTTTTTGCAGCAGGAGGGAGCTTCGGATGCACTAACATCCCTCCAATAGGAAAAAAATTGATCTCATTAATGGAAGTTGAATCATGGTGTTGAGTGGCATGCTGGTGGTGACACTGGTGATAGAACACATCACAGCATGTCACAGATGCCATTTTTGCCAATTTTGGTTTCAGCTGCATATCATAAAACATATACTCTCAGTTTATTTCTTATGTTAATATTGGCTACTTCATAGCATTGGATATCTATATACAAAATCTCTTAATCATAAACCAAAAATGTTTTTGATATATGGCATGCTTTGTATTTGGAACCCTGATTTTGGACACTGTCGTGCACATACTCGGTAAGGGGATGCTACCAACCAAGCCTGCCGGAAGAACAATTAAGCCAACGACTTATAGCTGAAAGGGGAGGAAAAAAAATCTGGCAATGAGAAGAAGATACGTGCTTGATGCGAGAAGAATGGCATGCTCGTGGGAAAAAAATTTGAAATTAATTTTTCTGTATTCCGAGTTTTTTTTTTTTTTTTTTTTTTTTTTTTTTTTTTTTTTTTGTGTGTGTGTGTGTGTGTGTGAAGAACTGAAAGGTGCAACGTATTACTTGTGCGTTTGATGTAATTGTGAATAAAAACAATACTTTGTGAAAAGATAATCTGTATTTACAAAATTAAAATATAGCTCATGTTATTGTTAAAGCTGCATAAGTGTCCCATTTTATTTTCTGCAAATAGTGTTGACTAATAACATTCATGAGTGGATGGAAACAAACCGACAAAGATTAATTGGTCCAAGAATCGTTTTTGACAGACACTAAATATACTATGGGCATATTCAATATAATAGTAGTAGTATACTTGATATACAATGTAAAATGGTATAACTTAATATACTACAGGTCACTTCTGAAGGAAGCAAAAGTTTAATGACTTGGTTTGGAATTTGAAATTATGACAATTTCAGTAAATTTTATTAAATATGACTGAATTTAGTAAATAAAAATTCAGGAAATTTGATTCACCCAAATTTTACTTACATGCAAAATGTATTATAACAATAATGTAGCCAGTTTTTAGCAGAGCAATTTAAGGAAATTTTTTATTAGCTAAAAAGTCTGCATATTTTAGATGAAACAAAATACTTACTTTGGATCATCATATGTTGACAGCTGATATAATTTCTCAAACACTTGTCCTCCAGTTGCCATAACAACTCCAGGTAAAACTTTCTCCTGAAAATTAAATAAGAATAAAATCTGTATCATTATCAAAAAGCAGATACAATTATAATTTAAAATTAGCAAACAATATTAATCTTTTGATAATTACATACACCAACAGAATAAAATGACAAAATTTCGGTTTGAATTTTCAGTTAAAAATACAAAATATAAAATTTAAATAAACAAATATAAATTTTTATACAAAATTCTACATAAAAGTTTGCAAAAATATATCAAATTTGCTAACTATTTTATATTTCTCACTTATTCAGTTACAGCAAGTTATGTAAAACATTTTTACATTGATGTATTGCATGGAATTCAACTTCATCAATACACTAGTTTTGCTCTGAGGTTTTCCTTTAAACCCAGGTTTGGAGTGCTTTTTTATTTTTTTCCCAATGATAAACTATAAATGACTATAATTATTTCAAAATTATCCATATGTAAAGAAAAGACAAAAATCATTCTGGATTGCCTTAATTAGCACAATTCCAGAGAACACTTCAAAAGAGTATGAAACAAAGGAAAAAGATTCATACAAAACATGTTAGAAAATTTTATTGAATAATCTAAAAATGTGATGGTCTTGGCTTGGGTCATGAATGATTCTACGGTAAAAGATTTTTGGTATCCTGTAACATAATAACAACCATCATTCTCCTTATTCAGCCAAAAAATACTGTAACAAAAGATGACTTCATAAATGCTTTCTAATTATACAAATATCACTGCATTTGAAATTTACATTGTAATGGTGATATCTGTGTAGATGATGGAAGAAAACTGTTGTAATGCATCTTAAAACATTCTGTGAACATTTTAGTTATTATATTGTACTTCTACATATCAGCATAAACTAGTTCATCATAATCACTGAAGCAGAAGCACATTTGCATTTAGAAAGAGCACATCAGATGCTGGGCTACTAAGCTATGACAAGCATAATTATGCAAAAGAAGCTCAGTTTATTTTAACAAAAAATTACAATATAATACGATTACTTATGCCAGTCAAAATGGAAAAATATGCAGTTTTTGTTTTTATAGAATGCAGCAATTTAATTGAAGTTGAAAGATGTCTATTGTATAATATTTCCTGAGAGAATTATTCTTAATTTTTTTTAATTGCTGTCAATGTAACAAAATGAACTTAACAAAAAAAAAAAAAAAAGAAGTATCTTTTGATAAAACTGTACAACAAAAATCCAAATTATTTAATATGACCCTTATGGGTTCTTACATGGACTACTTAAATGGAGAATACTTTTATTCATTAAATAGAGATAAAAACAAACCTGTTCCAACACGTATGAGTGATGATGACTTGATGAGGCACAATCAGAAATGGATACAGAACCGTAATTAGAAAAATTCCTAGATTCCTGAAATAGATGCACAATTAAATACAAAAACACAACATTAAATTATTAAGGAAACTGATAAAAATAATCCATTAAATAACTACAATGTAAACGTAGCAGAAACAGAAGACATACCTGCGTTAAGTTTTGCTGAAGATATGTTGACATACCACTGCCAAGAAACTTAACTATTAAAATTTGGCCATCACGAAAATTAAGCTGATTCATGAGGCACTGCTCCTTATTCCTTGGAAGCTGTGTAAATGTACAATCAAATATATGCATTTTTAAGTGACATATTATAAGTAATCATCTTAAAATGAATGAAAGATAAAAGGAATTTTAAAAAACATCACCATATTCATCTAATTACAAACCAAATTAAAAAAAAAAAAAAAAAAAAAAAAGGAAAAAAAAAGGAAAAAAAATTCCAACGCCATTGTTTAAAATACATCTCTTGGTTTAGAATTCATATCATTAAATGTTCGGTATAATTTCTTTATTTATATTCATTTTTGATTTCCTGGAATCAGCTTATAACTGAATAAATATGAAATTTATAAAACAACTAATTAAAATGTTAAAATTATTTTGGACATTAATGCATCACCAAAAAACAGAATTTTCATCCACAGAAAAATTTAAATATCACTTTTATTGAATTGGCTACAGTCAAGGAACACACAGCCTTTTAAAACTTTATCAACATTTTGAAATTTATCTGGGATATATGATTTTTTTTTTTTTTTTTTTTAATTTCTCTAGAACACATCTTAAGTCTAAAACTTAGGCAATAACATTCATTTAATGTAAACTTCTGTTGTTTCCTTCTTTATTTTATTCTCCAAAATTATTCACAGTTAACTTTAAAATTTTATTATTAACTTAATTTGTTTTAATTCAGTAGTTCAAAATAAACTTTAAAATTTAAAAAAAAATCTTAAAAATACAAACTTGTTTTTCAGACAGCCTACATCATGTTTCATTTTTTCATAACATACACATTCTATAACTGACCCAATGCATGTTTCTGTAATAAAAATCTTTCAATTTTCATGACATATTTTAAGATGTGTGCATGTGTTGTGTTAGGCAAACCTTCATTTAGAGTTTAACACATATGAACATTTATATTTCTTTCCCTCTATCTGGCAATGCATTTTATTACCTAAATGATTATATTTACTAATTAACAAAGAATCACACTTTTAAGATTATTATATTTACTTTACTTACAGAAAAAATTTTTCTTATACAAGAACTATAGCTACCCTACATGAAAAGTTAGTTATCTCAATTATGAAGACATAAATTATGAACTTTTGCTGAAGATATTTTTTGGCTAACTGTGAACAAACTGAATTTTAAATCATTATATATACTTCATGAAATGTCCATTTCTTTTCTTTGCTTAATTATATTAATGTACTAAATACAGCACTTTCAACTGAGCAACAGCAAAAATTGTTTCTGCAGTTCAAAGTATTTCTGAATTTCTGATATCCGATGTACTATTGGAAAAACTATCTACATGCTAGTATTCAAATTTACAGATTTTATGAAAGACTAGCCATTAAAATAATAATGCCCATTATAAAAAATTAACAACGAAATATTTTAGTATTTCAACTAGGGAAACTAACTCCAGTTTCCTCCTACATAAGTAATAATTACACAAAAGTAATAATTACTTTTAATTTTTGCCTGAAGAAAACATTTAACAGTCTAACTAAGGTAATTTCTCCAATTCTTTTGAAAACTTTTGGATTCATAAGTTTACTGTATGAAATGCATCAACTCACTAATTCACAAAGATTATGGCAAATTATTACTCTATGTGTTCTTATCTCACCAGAATAATACAGAGAGAACTAACATTGCAAAATACAAAAATCATAAATTAATAAATATATGCATTCAAAAGCACAATTGGCCATCCTTCCAAAAAAGAGTGAAAAAATTATTTTAAAAAGAAATAACACAGATAAGCTTTCAGGGTGTATAATTTTAACTCCCTTATTATTTATGAATATAGATTTAATGATATGGACTCAGCTATAGAATGTGTATGGATTTAAATAATATATTAGTAGGGGGAAAGAATAAATGAAACACACCTATAAATGCAGATAAAATTATTTTTTTAATATCTTCTATATGTAACACATGCATATATAAAATAAATAAAAACCTGAAATAATTTGTTAGCAATGTATCTTACAGAATTATCATCTTGATATAAGTGAAGCTGAGCTGGACTTTGGTGGAAATACTGTGCAATTCTTTGCTTGAAGGAGCCAAATGTCTCATTACTGTGTGTCTATTAAAATAATAATAATAACATATTAGTTATTGTGTATATATCTAAATAAAATGAATTATGAGAAATTAAACATTCCAGCAGCCACAAATTAAATGCCCATTGCCAAGAACAATAAATATATTTTCTATGAATAGCATATATATTTTATTTTTATTAAATATATTTTAAATTGCATCTATTTCATTCAATATTTTAGCTTTTGTAATTTTTTAAAAATATGACTCAACCTTTGTTCCCAATGCACTGCACTTCCTGCTGTGGAATAAACGTTGCATACATCTTGGCTCATTGTTTTCATCCTTGCTCAACTCAGTGACAAAAAAAATGCTGTTTTCTGAAAATGATTTGGTTGAATTAATAGATCATACCTAATACTACCTTAGATATTTCTGAATGGCAGCAAATCCAGTTATCTGGCATGATTTATTAACTTAGTTTCAAACATTCTTGTAAGATATCTGCCAAATGCAGACATAAATTTCCATACTAAAATATGCCACCAGTTATGAAGAGAAGCACTGTAGTTTATAAAACCTCATTAACACACTAAATTAGTATCAATATGTACTAAAGAAGATCAACTAACATAACTTCTTATGACTCCCTAAACCATCACATCCTCTGAAATGTGAGGCATTCAACATGTTTGGAAGAATCATCCTACTCACTGCATCAGCAGCATATTATCTGCTATCAATAAAGCTGAAGTAAATGTAGGATTTATCGCTGATTATAGTCGCTGATATGTCAATTTATCGCTGATATGTCAATTTGCTATGCAGAACAGCTTGAACATAGTGCTTACAACTCTACTTCTTCAAGATTACTAAAAATCATCTGCCAAGTGTTAGATGGGCTGGAAGATTCAATGATTGAATGATGGCAGGTATCATTACTCATCTAAAGACTGATGTAGAATGATCATTATGCTCATTAATCACCCTTCACACTTCAAATTCACATGATAAATACTTCTTAATACCTCTAAACATACAGATGGACCATCATATTTCTTCTATTCAAATGTGCCACAACATGTTTATCAAAATAAAAATTTTTAACTTCTTTGAAATTATTTATTCTTCAAAATTTATCAATGAGCTTTGAATAAGTTCATTACATGCCAATCCAACAACTCGCACAACAGATTTTCCCTTATACAGTACAAAGTCCGTAATCCAGATGTCCATTATCCGGAATGATCTATAATACGGACTTCAAAGCCACAAACTTTACGCATGCATGTAAAGAATGCGCGTAATGTATGCTTTATGTATGCGCACGTTGAAAGAAATGTTTAATAAAGTAAACAAATAAATATTAAGCTTTTGTTTTGTAAAATTTGATACCCTTTAGATCATAACTGCTCTTTATTTCATAAATTATGGTTTCATATTTTTAATTGTATAATTTTTGCATGCCATCTTACCAGATTTAAATTGATGATTTATAATCCGGAAAAAACCCCTAATCCGGAATCGCCGAAGTCCCTACGAGTCCGGATTACAGACTTTGTACTGTATCAATAACATGATAATCTACATAATCTGGAATTATTTATTAACATCACAAATTTTGCTTTTCTAAATTTTCTTTTAAATTATTTTTTCTTCAAAATTTATCAAGAAGCCTTGTATAAGTTCATTACCTGCCAATCTAACAACTCACACAACAGATTTTCCCTTATACGAGGATTGGAACTTTAATAGTTCCAACACAGCTGAAAAAATGCTACGCAACGAAACCAAAGAATATCGCATATACCAAACGTGAACTACATACCTACCTTACCTCTCAGCAAAAAGACTCGTCCTGCCTACGTCACGCGCATGAGGAGTGACGCGAAGAACGGATCCTTGTATTAGCTCGCGGTCTAAAGTAAGTGTTGTCAGGATGTTTTCAAAACAAGAACAACGATGTTGGATAAAAATTGAATGTGCCAGAGGTCGTACAGCACGACATTGTCATTAAGGGCTTTAAGAGGCTTGCGGGGAATCTGCATTGCCTTACAGAACCATAGCAAGATGGGTGAAAGCATTCAATGAAGGACGCCCAAACATGGCAGACATGCTGTGGCCAGGTCGTTCAAGTGTCAGCGATGCAGACGTGCAAGCTGTTGCCGTACTAACGGACAGTGATCACCACCAAACGATTCATCAGCTGGCCGGACAAACAGGATTAGCGCATACGACTGTGCTGCACATTCTGAAGGAACGCTTGTCCATGAGAAAAATTGCTTCACGATGCGTTCCACATCAATTGACGGAAATGCAGAAATGGCTACCATACAATGCTGCCCGAACCCACCTGGAGCGCTATGAGCGCGAAGGAGATGCTTTTTTACGCTGCATTATTACGCTGGATGAGACTTGGGTCCGATCGTACCAGCCAGAACTGAAACACCAATCAAATGAATGGCGTCATCACGGGTCACCATGACGTTCGAAATTTCGTCAGAACCCCAGCAATGTGAAAGTTATGGTGATTCTTGTGTACAACTGTGATGGTGTCATCCTAATGCATACTGTTCCCCCCCCCACAGCAGACCGTCACTGAGCAGTATTACTGCTCATTTTTGGAGCACAATCTCCAACCAGCTTTGAGAAAAAAACGGCGACATTTCTGCAAACGCTCCTCTCATTTTGCATGACAATGCTCGGCCGCATGCAGCGCAAGCTTGACTGATTGTTCAGCGATGGGGCGGGAAGTTTTTTACCATCCACCAACTCCCCAGATATAAGCCCTTGTGACTATGACTTAATTATAAGATGAGATCCTTCGTGGCACTCGCTTTCCAAACTGTTCCTGAGATTCTTGGCAGTAGACCGGTCCATTCAAACTACCAACAAACAGGCGCTGTTTACAGTATTCTGCGACTTCACATCGCTGAAATGGGTTGTACACAATGCTGGCGACTATATTGAAGGACTGTAAAACATGGTGACATGAATCACTTTCGTATTCCTTGTAAATAAATAGTTGCCACTATTAAAGTTCTAACCCTCATATCAATAACATGATAATCTACATAATATGGGATTATTTATTAACATCACAAACTATGCTTTTCTAAATTTTCCAGCATTTATAACAAGCAGTTCTAGGCACTTCAAATTTGATTTTATTCATTGCATACTATTTAAACTCATCATGTTTCTTCATTTGTTTGTAATCTTCTACAATTTACAAATTTATCTCACATAAAGCTTCCAACCCCCTTCATTATTACAACATTCTTTTCAGCTAAAGAGTCTATTTCCTCTTTTACAAATTTAACATTTTATTTTATCCCTATTTTATCCTTGATGCTACTTAATATAAATTAATACCACTGCACTTGTGGACTTACAAATATATTATATTTTTTAATTATTATTATTCTAAATAAGCTAAAAAATGTTTACATACTTTCATTTCTAAATTATTAAATTATTCATCACTTAACTTTCAAATGTTTTGATCCTCCTATGTTTGAATTTAAGAAACAATATACACTTTTAGACAACAAAACAAAACAAAACAAAACAAAAAAACACGCACCACGACGCACCGAGAAGATATAAAAAAAAATTGGATACAAATTGATATGCATACAGGTTTCAACGGAAAATTCAAAATTTTACATTTTGGCTGCCAATGAATGAACGGTTGTTGCTACAGCGCATCTGATCTGTACAACTGGCAGGATGTTTAAGAGAGAAATTACGATTCCAGGTCATAAATTCTTCACAAATTTCATTCCTTGTACTCTGGTAGACATTAATTATGCCTCGCATACAGTTGCGTGGACGATGGTCTGGGGTGCCATTTCATTTCATAGTAGGATCCCTTTGATTGTCATCTGTTGCAACCTTACAGCACAGCGGTACGTCGACGAAGTTCTAAGGCTCATTGTGTTGCCCTTCATGTCTCGCCACCCTGGGCTTACATTTCAGCAAGATAATGCACGCCCCCACACTGCACATGTTTCTACTGCTTGCTTTAGTGCTTGCCGAACATTACCTTGGCCAGCAAGATCACCGAATCTTTCTCCTATTGAGCACGTTTGGAGCATTATGGGCAGGGCCCTCCAACCAGCTCAGGATGTTGACGATCTAACGCACGAGTTGAATAGAATTTGGCACGATATCCCTCAGGAGGAAATCCGCAACCTCTATCAATCGATGCCAAGCTGATTAACTGCTTGAATAAGGGCCAGAGGTGGACAAACGCGTTACTGACTTTTTAACTTTGTGAAGCTCTATCACTTCAATAAATCATCCAATTTTTCTCAAACTGTAATCATTTGTTTTTCTGTGCATGTACATCACTTCTACCAATTTTCGTCCCATTCAGATAACTCCTTTTTGGTGAGTTTTTTTTTTTTTTTTTTTTTTTTGTCTAAGAATGTATTTATACCTACACAGTATATTTTATATATCCCATTTCAAATTTAGAATAACATTATTTGAATTTCTACTTTTGCATCCTTTATTTGGGAGAAGGAGATAATTCAACACATTACTGATATATAGAATGCTTTTTTAAAACTCCACCGCAACAATTTAATTTTAAAACACTCACCACAACAACATATTCCTCTTTCGTAGAATCAATACAAATTTTAAGTAACAATGGATGACCTAAAAAGGATGTTCCGTGAGGAAGTATTGTTCTTGGTGAAAGGTGACTTTCTTCTATAGATGATATATAACGCTCTGCTATTTGCAATAAACGGCAGATATTTTGAAATTTTGTAGACCTGAAATGTATAAAAATTTAATTCAATTTATAGTCAAAGGACCAATATTACATATTAACCAAAATAATTATACAGCAATATAAAAAATAATTATGATAGACAATTCATAACTCAAAACATGCATAAAAAAAGCCATGTTTCAGACAAACATTCTCTAGCTTAACAATAAAAGAATGTTTAATGAAGCTATAGAAATATACATATGAACACACACATTGAAAGAAAAAACAACAATTAGCTTGCTTAATAATGCAAAACTGATATGCATAGTAATCAACATATAAAACTGCCAAATAACATTATCCCCTTCCCTATAATGACAGTAGAAAGAAAAACATAAATAAAGATATAATGTATACAATGTACATTCAAAATGTTGTGTGGTTAACTAATTCTGTGAAATTAATTATTATGTAACTGCATAACAAATGATTTAATTACTAGAATGAGATACTGCATCATAGCGACTATTTTTTTTTAACCTGGTGTTCTTGTATTACATAAAATTTGCTGCCAATCTATAACAGAAATAAACTCATTTTTTATCTAGTAACATAATAATATAATAGTTAATATAGGAGCATATTAATGATGGTGGAAATAGATTTATGGTCCAAAGCTCTAAAGGGCATATGTGCCAAACACAGGATTTATTGTATATACGCTAAATAGAGAAAAAGTTTTAAAAGCAACATCACACTTATAAAATTTAGGCAAGTAGTAAGATAATGAAATGGTGGGATAAAATTATGATTAAGATTCAGATAATGATCTATGCAGTATAGATTTAAAATCATAACATATCTGATTCATTAAAATATATAGCATTAAAATTCTAACATAAAACCTCAAGATAAAATCAAATTAAATAATAGAGACCTTTTTCTTTCAGATACTGAAACAAATTGGTATTGACCTCTCTTCCGATTAAACGGTCGAGAGGCAGGTCACAGCTATTAAAATACTTCTGACAAAGACTATCAAAATATTGACACTCAATTAAAATGTGATGGACTGACAGACAAACTTACATTTGGACAAACAGGTCATTCTCAGTTTGTAGATAGCTATGTGTCACTCTAGTGTGACCTATTCTAAGCCAAGTAAAAGAACTTCCTTCTTACGATTTCTAATACAATCCCAAAGCCTTATTTTAGGCTTCACCGTTCTTAACTTGTTACAAGATTAGAAGTCCCAAAATCACTGCCAATTTTTTAAGATCCTTTGTTTGATGACACGACTGATATCTCTCAAAGGGATGAGGTGACCAGAGAGTTCAATAGCAGATTTTGCTTTGATGTCTCATGAGAAATAAAGTGTTTATTATTATAATTTTTACAATACTGATTTCTTTAAATTTAAAAGTATCGAAATATGAATATTTGCATCATTTAAAACACTTCTGTAACTGCAAGTCTATGTGTACAGCTGCAAAAATAAAGAATTTTTGTGAACAAAGTGTGTATATACTTACTTAAAGTCCACTGATGCTGCTTCAATTACAAGGAATAGATACAGTTAAATGAAAACTAAATAAAATATCTGCATGAAAAAACTACTACACAATTATTAATTCTGAAAAAAAAATTAAATAATAAAGACTTGCCAAAAAATGTTTTTAAATCCAATTAAAAAAAAGCAGCAAACAATATACTTTCAAAGAAAATGGTTAAAATAAACAAACATAATAAAAGCATATTTATTTGCAGTTAACGCTTTGGTGGTTGTGAATAACTTTGCAACTGAATTACATGCAAGCTGAATTTGCATTAATGATTTCTTTCTTAAAACTTAAAAGACAAATAAAACTGTCAGTTCACACAGTTGAGTTGGCCTCCTCTTAGAAAAACATTGTTTGTAACATAAACGTTTTTGTGTTACAGACAAACACAAATTCGGGAAAACTAATTTGTTTTACTGACAACAGATACTTTCAAAGGTACTGCTTTACTGCATACAGGACAGGACATAAAAAAGTGCAGGGGGCACCATAACATCGTCATAGACAAATTGGTATTGCCATACTGCACTAACCTTTTCTGGCATTTATTGACTATAAGGTACTGTATACAGTTTTTGCATAGTGAAGTAGAATTTAGTTAAACAATTCATGCAATACTCATACTTCAGTTTGCCAATAATGTAGTACCTAAAATGGCACAGAAAATGAAGAAAAATCAATAACCTTCATTTAATTAAGAAAAAGAGATAGAAGAAAAGATCTTCAGCAGCTAAAGTTATTAGTTTGATGAAAATTTAAATATTTGCTCTGTTAGTTTGGGAGGGGGGAATAAGGAAGACTCATGATCCAAAAAACATAGAATAGATGAGGTTAACTAATTGGCCTTGATTCAGTTTTGGAAATATTCTACTGTGCATATTTATCACTAGCACTTTTATTCCATGATCACAGCTATTGAAATAATTTATTATGCAACAGTAAATATACATTATTTCAAAGATAAACATGTCTTTCATTTTATTTTATTTTATTCTTAAGAACACCTGTTTTTCCCCCCTTTCTGAATCAGTCTCTATTGTAATAAATTATTATGTGGAAGATATAAAGTATCCATGTATTTATCATTAATCTGATATCAGTGTGAATGAGTTTCTTCAGCAATATTAGAAATGTTCTATTAATACTAAAGCAATGTTTATTAAAAATTCAAACTGCAACAGCATGAGAAGTTTAAAAAATAAATAGGTAAATATATTTCTTAATGTTTGTAGTTAATTGTTGTATATTATACCAATTTATTGTTTAATATTTACTCTTTATTGCTTAATAATACGGACAATGTTTATTAAAAAAATAAAATTTACAGCATTTTACATGTTTAAAGAAAAAAATAATTTATATGTTAAAATTTACATTTAAAAATTTCATTAAAAAATATATGAAGCACACTTTTCAAAAGAGTCGCTGAAAATGAGGTCCACTAAAGAAAGCAACTGAAAGACAAAAAAAAAAAAAAAAGATGCTTCTTTTAAATAGCTTGGCAAATAGATTTTGCATAGTAAAGAAGTGATTATTTTGATAACCTTCAGAGTTACTGGGAAAGAAAAACAATAATTATGATTATTGGTTTCTGTTACCTGAATATTGCAAGGTCTATATAAATTATATGTGAATTTTAATCTTACTGTGAAAACTCTCTATTTAAAGCAATAGCTTTATAATTTTAAAAGTTTATTAAAATAAATCAGAAAACAAATAACAAACAGACTATGAAAAAAAAAATGATACTTTAATTGATGGTTAAGAACACAACAGAAAACAATTACAAATAACTGAAATGCATGCTGGTACAGTGAAATGGTAGAGAAGGGGATACATAAAAATGATTGATGAATACATTTTCCAGCAGTCAAAGCAATTTCATTTTTTATGCTTAATGTTTTTTAAACACTGCAGGTTTTATTTATTTTACAAAACATTTAGCATTTATACAATACCTTAATGAAGAATTATAGAAAAATTCTGTATTTTTTTTTTATTTTATTTTAAAATTAATTAAAAAAGTCAATTTAATAAACATACCTTTTTGATGTTGGAGATGAAGCTACTTCAGATACAGAAACTGCAGTCAGTGTCTTGGTTGCACTGGAAACAGCTGTACCCATAGCAGTACCATTTATTGCTGAAGATACACTCTAATAAAAATTATTTCATTCATAAATTCCAATTTGAAGTAAATTTTATGAAAAATAAAAAAATTTCTCATGCAATTCAATTATAATTTGCAACGTCTTTTAATAGATTTTGTAAAAAAAAATTTTTTTTTAAAAACTGTTATTTACAGTAACTAACAAATTCTAAATTATACAAGTTTACAAAAAAAAAAAAAGTCAGCGAGGGCAAAAATTTATTTTTGACATTATATTGAGCTTGATGTATGTTATTCTTTTAAAGCATGGTTAGAACAGAAAACTAAAATAACTCTGTAAAATCTATCTAAATTAAAATGACTACATTTATTACTATATTTATTTCAATTGCAAAAACTCTGCACTTTCTTTTCTTTAATTAAATCAGATATAGCTAACTTGAAATATTACGAGAGCCCGGAACATGTCATATACATATAAAATATAAAAAATACGATGGCTTTGCTCTACGCGAACACGCAACTTTTAATTAATTTTCTGTAATTTAGGATCTTCTCCCTAGATCAGTACCTTCTAGAATTTGCTAGCCTATTATGTAACCGCTACTATAAATACTGAGTGTGCGCCATTTTGGCGTCAAAAGAAGCTTGCCTCTCCTCCTGTGCTATACATCTCGCTGCTGCTTGATCTATCTTTCCTTTGTTAGAAATAATAATGACGCATTAAGTTAAACTTTAGTCATAATTGGTTTAAACTACTATTGAATATGTGATTTAGAGAATTTCATATGAAGTAAAGCATGATCTATGGTAAAAATTGAATTAAAGCAATGGAATAAAGATGTACCATTAAAAGCTAAATCAACCTGCCTCTTCATTTGGATTAGCCTTACCACTCTACAAAAAACCATGCCTCAACTTTGATACCGAAATATCACATACATACATATATATTACTAATTTAATATTAAAATAAATCGTTTTATTCACACTTTACTCTTCTACCATTATTAACAAGTGCTTTTTATTTTCAAAGGAACATTTTTCAAATTTATTTCAATAATGATAATTACATACTTTGGCCATTTTTTATAAATTTTGCCAGTAATTCCAAGACAAAATTGACTTTAAATCAAATTCCTTTTTGAAATAAAATTTTATAAATATATCCGGATTTGAAACTGCTTACAGTTCATAAGGAAAATATGCAGAAGCAATAGACTATAGTTATAGATTGAAACTCCTGTCTGAGCATCAAAAAATGTATTCCTTTCTAAAAAAAGAAAAATAAAACTATTCTCTTCCTTTAAAGGAAACTTCAGATTTTTATATTAATTTTAATATGAGTAATGAATGAACAGAAATATTTACTTTATGGCTATGTGTAAAAAAACTGATGCAGCTTAGTGGCATAAACAAAGTGGCATTAGTGGTCACAGTTTAAATAAAAGAATGCAGAAGACTGCAAAATTGCTAGATGAAATTTAAAGAACACATAAAATATATTACCAAAGATCTCAATCTTTTAATGATTGACACTGGAATTAACAATTGACATTTGAGTCAATTTTAACCCTCTGAGTGGCTAAAGGTTTAGGCCCAAAACTCAAAGAGACAACCCACAGTATAGTCTAGTCTATATTATTATCATAACCTGAAGGTATAAAAGCCATTAATTCCATTCACATCTGCAGAACATGGTTTAAGCCATGAGAAGGTAAAGTTGCGCATGCATAAATCATGGATCGAATGTCAGTTCATGTTTGCTTTGCTGTGACTGATCAATTCTCATGCCAAAAGTCTAAAATATTTAAGTAAAATACTCATACATGTTTTTGTGATGTAGCAAGGTCTGGTTGCCTAGCAACAAAGCTCAGCTTATATCTCTCATGGTCACACAACCCTCATGAATTGATATGGAACTGTTTGATATTTTCTTGATCATAATTCCAAAATGGCCTTCAAACTTTGTACCTTGACTTTTTTCCTTTACAGAGTAGTCAATTTGGCACAATGTTATGTTTTATTCTTTTTCGAAAACAAGTACAGAAAATTTTGGTACATTTGAGATTTTAAGATTTGAGATTTTTCAGTTTTATATGAATTTTAATGTCTAAATGAAAATTTAATTGAATAATTTTTTAGTTTCTGATCTCAAATGAACCAGGAGTACGAAACATGTTTTAGAAACATATTAATCAACTTTTATGATGCTTTAATTCATTTTCCCCTGATGAGTTCTGAATTAGAGTTTCAGTAAAAGGAGATTAATTTTTACAAGGGTTCATTCAAGGTTGACAAGGACTTTTATTTCTTCAGAGGAAACAGCACAAGAAGCACCAAACTATGTCAACTTTTCAAAGTATTCTCTCTGCACGTCAAGGCACCATCACCTTTGTTGTGGCAGTTCCCTGTTTCCTTTGGCGTAGAAAGAACTTGGTTGCTGTAGCCACTGGAGGACATTGTTCCGCAGCAGTTCACCTGTCCTGAATTTCTTCCCTCCCAGATGGTCGTTAAGGGGTGCAAACAAATGATAATCACTGGGGTCTAAATCTGGACTGTAGTGGGGAGGGGGCAGAACTTCTGAGTGCATTTTGGCCAGAGTTGTTGTCACATTGGCCTTGTGAGGGCGGGCATTGTCATGGAGAAGAATGACATTTCCAGACAACATCCCAGGTCTTGTCTTGCGAATGGACTTTTGTACAGCCTCACTCAACAATGTGGAGTAATACTGGCCATTAATTGTGCTCCCTTTGCCCAGAAAATCCACATGGATAACGCTCTTCATGTCCCAGAAGACACTTGCCATGATCTTTCCAGCGGACAGGTGCGTTTTGCTTTACTTGGGCGGCAGGGAACCTTTATGCCATCACTCCATGCTGCTTCTTTTGGTCTCTGTGGCTGAATTATGCAACCATGTTTCATTACACGTGATGATGGATTGCAACAATTCATCGCCTTCAGCTCGAAACTGATTCAAAAGCTGTTCACAGACCATAATGCATGGCCACTTCTGATCAAACGTCAGCTGCCAGGGAACCCAACATGCACAGACTTTGTGGAAGCGTAAGTGGGCATGAATGATTGTTTCAACACTCCCGACACTGGCCTTGGCAATAATATTTTGCATTGTTACTCGCCAGTTCTCAAGAATCATTTGCTCAACACATTCGACATTCATTGGTGTGACTGCAGTTGGGCCAATGTGTCCATGCGCTTCATTTGTCACCAGCTCCCGTCCATCATGAAACAGTTCACCCTCCGTACACTCTTGTCCGTGACTGTTTGTTCACCATATTGTGCTCGCAATCTTCTGAAAATCTCAGCTAACTTTCTCCTTCACAAGAAATTTGATTACATACCACTGTTCCACAGCCACAGACACACTGCTTGCCTCCATGTTCGCTGCAACAGCTGTGCATGCGCCAAGTACGTCAAGCCAGGCGCTAGTAAATCAAGAAGGAATACATTACGTCACCTGAAAGTTTCATGACTATTCATTGATTATTTACGTAGGAAAATCCCAGTCAACCTTGAATGACCCTTGTATTTTCATAATTTTGTATATTTTCCCTTTCGCATTTATATTTTTAGAGTTTGTTCTACTATGAATTCTTATTTTAATTTTGATTTGTTTAGATATTATGTTAAACCTCTTAAACACAGTTGCAATTATTAATTTGCCTTGCTCTAATTCCAATTTAATATTAACTTTAGATGCATTAAGTTTATATATACCTTATTTTATTATACCAGTTTACTATACCAGTTAAGGTTAACTGTTTGGACACACTTTAAAATGCAAGCGTGTGTACTTAAAGGTACCATGGCAAATCTTTTTTAAAGCATATATGTATGGTACTGAAGGATTAATATGAGCATGTACAGAGAGTAAAATATTTCAGTTCACTGAAAATATAAAAACAAAAAGAAAAGATAGTACAGATTTAAAAGAAAAAAAAAATATTCATACAGCATTTAGAAAAAAGCATATTAAATAAATTTAAGTTTTAGTTTTGAAGACTGACATAAAAGAAAGAATGCAATATAACTGAAATTCAACACATTCATTGTGCACGCACCTTTGTCCTACTCGTAAATTTTGTAAAAACAAAATAATATGAACTGGGATGTGCTGAAAATTTTATATAAATAAGTCTCTGGAAACACTGCAATAATATTAAAAAAATATATCGAGAGCAAGTTATCTTGTTGTTAGCGCTTGGTGAATATTCTTGGAAGATGAGATAGTTCATCCACAGCAATGAAACAGTTAAAAATCAAAACATTCTGTAGCATACTAACCTCAAGCTTTTTGTAACATTCATTAATAAATCGGTTATGAAGAGATAATACATCCTGAAACACAAAATATATTACGTTACATATTTTTCAAAGCTTTTTACATTTGTTTTATAAATTAATAAATAAATAAAAACATATGCAGTAATTTGGCACATATAACTTTTATATCACTGAGACTTGGGGAGTAAACAAAGTCACAAAAATTTTATATATTAATTTACAAAATGAAACACCTTTATATTGTGTGTGTGTATATATATATATACTTTGAAGCAGATCAAAATGATATAAAAAGAATGTAAATAAAGTAGTTCAAACTTTGCAAGATTTTCATCTTGCTAAAAATATACACTGATGAGCCAAAATGTTATGGTCATTCTGACATTCTTCAATGAACTCAGCAGGATGACATGCAGGGCATGTAATTAAGTGGGAATGGTATTTAATTGCTGCTGGAGAAATCATTCTTGCACTTACTTTTGTGAGTAATGGGAAAGGCTGCTGATTTAAGTGAATTTGGTAGAGGGCAGATTGTAATGGCCTGAAGACTCAGAACAAGTATCTCTGGAATTGCATGATTGGTAGGTTGTTCGTTATCTGCCATTGTTAGTACTTATACAAAAAGGATTAATGATGGTGAAACCAGCAGTAGACACCACGGTGTTGGACGTCACTGTGTCATCAAAGAAAAAGGATATCAGAAACTGCCCTCCTTGATACAGCAAAATCAACACCAGACCGTGGCTCAGCTGACAGCCCAATACAATGCAGGTCCAAGTAAAAGTGTTTAGGAAACTGATGGATATGGAATTGCGCAGCAGAAATCCATCTCATGTGCCTCTGATCACATAGCGTCATTGTCAACTATGCCTCTAAAGGGCCAGGGAACATCGAGAGTGGACTATGGATAAGTGGAAGACAGTTGCCTGGTAAGATGAATCACTACTTCTCATTCATTATGTTGATGGTCATGTCTGGGTATGCCATCTTCCAGGTAAACAGTTGCTCCCTTCCTGTGCAGCAAGACAACACCCCATGTCACAAGGCTCAAACTTAATTGGAGTGGTTTGAAAAGCATAAGGATGAATTCCAATTAATGCCATGGCCACCTAACTCAACAGATCTTAACCCGATACAGCACATTTGGGATATTATGGAATGGCAGTTCAAAGTTCAAACACCACCACAACGGAATATCTCAACTTTGTGTGACCGCTGCTAAGATATTTGGTACAACCTGTCTCCAGTTATCAACCAAGAACTCGTGGCATCCATGCCAAGGCGAGTTGCTACTGATAATTAGAAACTGTCTATCACATAGGTGGTCTTATCAGGTGGAGGCAAAACATGACATACAATCAACAAATATCAGTTTATAGTTTGAATCTATTTAGGGAAAAAAGTTAATAACTACAACATAATCTTAAAATTTGTGCACCCTTCCCCAATAAGACTTTTCAAAATAAAAGTTAGATGAAAAAATATAGATGAAAAATCATAGATTTGAATATTATATATAAAGATTTGATTATAATTTAGCAGTGAATATTCATAAATACTCAATGATTTCATTATTTGTATGCTCTAAATTGAAGATTGATGATGATGAGGAGGAGGATAATAAAGATGATTCCTTAACTTTTAACTATCATGCCCGAGATAATCTTAGGCACAGCACTGGTGTTCGAAAATGTCACGCCCGAGAATTACTCGGGGTAATTTTTTTTTTGGGTGCATCGTATTGTTACACCCGAATATATATCGGGAGACGCTTATTTCGGCTTCATCTCTTTGTCAAACCCAACTGTATCTCGGGAAAATTTAATGTGCGCTCAATTCAGTAGATGGCAGCACTTTACTGAAGATTCCAAAGGTTAGAGGTTAGAAGTTCTTTGGTTCAAAGTGCGTGGGATCTTTTTGTTGTGAAATGGCATCCAGTTCTTTGAAACGATATATAGATGATTTAGATTCTTCAACCGAAGATGAAGATTTTGAAGGCATCGATACTAGTGATGCAGATGAAACTGAGGAAAGTGACATTGAAAGTAGCAGTGAATCATTGGATAGCAGTGATGATGATATAGGAAATGCGAAAGACTGGTGTGAAATAACTGATTCTGGCCGATTAGGGCCCTCGCAGTTCCTTTTTAAAGGTACTCCAGGTGTAACTTTTCCTGTAAACATAAACTATGCTCCTTTAGATATTTTAAAAATGTTTCTGGATTCAAATCTAATGGAAATAATTGTCAAGGAAATGAACAACTATGCAGAACAAGAAAGAAAAGCAAATCGAGCAAAGATATCAAGTGTTCCCGCAGTAAAAATGGATCCCTACAAATGAACAGAGAAATGAAGCTATTCTTTGGCTAATAATTCTTCAAGGTATTGTCCGAAAACCAAATCAGGCATGTACTGGTCTCATCGAAGTATTTGCTACTCCAGTTTACTCAAAGTAATGCCCGTAAATCGTTTATTTTGCTTTTCGATTTTAAATTTTTACAATAACGAAGCTGAAAAAAAAAGATAATTTTCCAAATCCAAAACTTTGGAAGCTGTATAATGTGATAGAAAATTTACGGGAAAAATTTTGTAATTTTTACATACTGGAAAGTGATGTATCCATTGATGAAAGCCTGATGCCTTATAAAGGAAGGTTATCTTGGAAATAACATATTCCTATCAAACGTACACGATTTGGAATCAATTTTTTTATGCTTTGTGAGGCAGAAACAGGGTATATTTGTGACTTCATTATCTATACAGGAAATAGTACTGTCATCAATCAATTGTATACAAATTATGGACTTTCTACTACAAAAGTCACCATGCACCTATTGCATCGCTTTCTTGGAAATGGTTATTGTGTGACTGTAGATAACTATTACATTCACCCGAGCTTGCAGATTTACTTGTAGCCCAAAAAACAGATATTTATGGCACAGTAAGGATAAACAGATGAGATTTACCTACAGAATTCGCTAAAAGAAAATTACAAAAAGGTCAAATCATAGCTTTTCAAAGAAGTAAGATTTTGGCTATAAGGTGGAAAAATATGAAGGATGTGTGTTTGATGAGCAGTATTCATGATACGTCCATGGTCAGCCTCAAAAATAAAAAAAAAAATGAAGATATACTCAAGCCAAAGATTGTTTCTGACTACAAGCTAATCATGGGTGATGTAGATCGCTGTGATCAGGAAATATCCTTTCATCCAACAATCCAAAAACATCAGAAAAAATATTATAAAAAGATATTTTTACATTTACTAGACAAGGTACTCTGGAACTCATATTTACTCTATAAAAATGTAGTTGGGAAACATATTACATTTTTAGAATTTCGAATCCAAGTTGTAGAAGAGCTTTTACATAAATATGATGATGCAGCTTTTGGACAAAAGAATGTTGGCAGACCACCTACAATAGATAGATAACCCTGCCCATCTTACTGAACGACATTTTATATCCCAAATTCCTCCTACTCCTGCGAAATGTGAACCTACATGACAGTGCAAAGTGTGTTGTTCGAAAAAGGATAAAAATGGGAAAAAGATAAGGAAGGAAACACGATTCTGGTGTAGTGACTGTGGAGTTGGTTTGTGCTTGGAAAAGTGTTTCCAGTTGCACAACACAAGACTGAATTATTAAACTACTAATAGGTATTCTTTTTTTTTTTTTTAGAATTTATTTATTTTTTAGAATTTTTTTATTTTTTTTTCCATATTTAGGGAATAATGCTCCACTAGAAGCGAACTTTACAACTGCTATGTTGAGTGGCAGCCGCCTCAAGCAAATATGCAGTTTCTACAAAACTTGCCCATGTATTTCAAAATATCAATTTTTAACTACTAAGTATATTTTATTTTGTACTAAACATTTGATTTTTGCAATAAAACAATTTGACAATTCGTGTACTCAAATCATCAAAATAACTTGACAGTTAAAGGGTTAATGATATATATTGATATGGATACACATTATATGGAATTTAGATTGATGGAATACAGATACATGGGATTATAAATTAATTCATCCAAAATTACATAGATTAATTTTTTTTTTATCTGAAAGGTGAGTGAATGAGTGCCACCGAGACCACTGACCTGCACAGCGGCACTTCCTGGTAGAAACTATCTACTTTCTGCTTCACCTTGCTTAGGGAACGGTGCCGAATAGACGGCTATAAAATACGAACCCAAACATAATTTAACGCAGATTACTTTCCATGTGCCTGACTCTTATGTAAAAACATTTAAAAGATTTTGTACCTGTTATCACTAAGACAACAAATTTCTGCATAATTTAGTTCTTTGCACAAACTTAAACTGGAGTTTTTTACAAATTGAACCATGCATCTACATTTTCTTTTGTAGTACTTGCAGACAGGATAATACATACATAAGTACAAAACTGAATATTAAAGTGGAAAACTAACGTGATACTGAGTACAGAAATACAGAAAGCTGATCCCTAATACCTGCATACATAACACTTAAAAATGTATACATAATACATGAAAACTAAAACTGATGAACATAATTCATAAAACTGATCATTAAGTAATGCTTTGTAGTCTAAATTCTAGCCAAGTATGAACTGACCTTCATAGTACATGCAGAGAAGTAATAAATACAGACTTGAGTACGTTAAAACTAATAGCCCTTTTGGGCTAAAAAGAAAAAATAGAATTTACATTACACATATTTTATTTTTGAAACATAATATTTAATAAAAAAAAGCCTAAAAGCCTTTCAGCCGATGATTTTATAACTGATATGATACTTTCAACTGATAAATATTTACTCTTTAGTTTTATAAAAGCTAATTTGCAAAATATGTCTAAAATGAACACAGTCATGCATCTATATCAATCATGTTGGGTTGTTCCCCTACAAGAGATCAAGTTAGATATTTATTACATATAATTTCATATATTTAAATATTTGACTACGGATACTTCAAAAAATAATTTTTAAATGTTTACCATTCTGCAGCTATAAAAAGTACATATCACTAAGCATATTTTAACATTTAATAAAAAGATTACCTTTTTTAGTTTGGGTGACAAAGTATGATATGATATTTCCAACAAATAATCAATTGCAACATTAGCAATTTGATCTTCTGATGCAAGAGCAACTTGCCATAAAAATTCAACTCCATTTAATTCTAGCTTTTCTATGACCTAGAAAATTAGTCATTATAATCATGAAAAGAAATTATAAAACAAGAAAAGTAATTCATATTATGAATGACACAATGATAAATATTATAAATAAAACAGTAAAATCCAAAACCACTTTCTGAAACAAAAAGGCCATATATAAAACTGTTAGTGAAATTTCACGCAGTTTTCCAAAATGCAGAAACATGCAATTAGATTTAATCATTCCTTAATGAGACATGAATAATATATAATTTTTATATTACGGGATGCCATCTTTCATGACTAATGGAACTGTTTTGTGAAAAAAAACGCAGATGAGGCTGCCATGACAAAAAAGATGTGTTGTATGATGTTACTAAGATGAAAGAACTTTTTTCTTTTTATTTACTGTGACAAATTTGTTGTAAATATTCACTTTCCTGTTTCCATGCCCATTTTCATAATGTGTAAAAACCACTGATAATCTTTATTAAATGTTCAAGTTAAAATGCCAATTGGTATGTATTTATGCCTAGACTTAACACCTACTAGTGTATGTATTTATGCCTAGACTTAACACATGTTCATTATAATGCATAAGTTCACATGTGGTCATTTTGACCATGCAAGCATTTTAAATCTTTTTTAACCTATTTTATATTCTACTGTTTAAAAAACATCATAAGAGAATAAAAAAATTTAAGATTATTTAAATTAATCCTTTTGCCGTCCTCTCCTGTCCACGAAAATTTCCCCCCAGCGGCCGTCTGTTTTCCGTAGCGTGTTGTTTTCTCTGTACATCATAGCTTCCCATACATAACTTTCGTAGTGGATGAATGTCAATGAATATTAAGTAAAATTATAAGGAAATAAAGCATAATGGAAAAATAATAATATCTTTACTTATTTCTAACAGCAGGATAATTTCTAATTCATAAGTCAAACAACAAAAATCAGCATTATATTTACAAAATTTTCACAGGACTAGTTTCGATGGTTTTACTGAACCACCATCTTCAGCTGCAAAACCGCAAATAAACAAGATAGGAAATAATGATTAGATAAGATAAGAAAGCCTGGACCAGAATAAGCAAGTGGGCGCCATCTTTTGGTGAAACCAGAACTAAAACATAATTTCCTCTAAAGCCGAAGGCAATTTGGATTGGAATTAGGATCGTTAACTAGAACAGAAAGATTTTTATGAATGTGAAATGCCTCTAGAAAATCCAGTTCTCCAATGGAAGATGTTTTGAATAATTTTAGCAGCACAAAAATTGAAAGTGTGATTTTCGGACCAACAATGTTTGAGGGCAACATAAACTTCTGTGTTTCCTTTTTTCTAACATACGCCTCATGTTCTTTGACGCGAAATTTTAAGGCTCTCTTAATTTGTTGTTTGACTTCTGAATTAGTATTTATTCGGCGTGTTATTGTGTCTTAATTAGCAGGATAATTTGTTAATATCTGATCCAGGTGGTCCACACCTCCCATTTTGTTGTATCTTTTACAATTATTGGTTTTTTATTAACAATTATTGATTTACAGTTCTTTTCCATGTCCCAACATCAAACATCGAGTTATTATGGACTGTGCTCATTAAAAGTATATCCTTCTTGTCTTTCCAATTCACAACCTCCTTTTTTCTCTTTTTCTGCTGAGTAGACATTGAAGCCATCTCTCACTGTCTTGTATCTTATGTAAAATGGCGCAAATATTCATAAAACCCATGGCAAATTCAATTAGAAATATAATGCTTGATTATTGCTATCCTCTAGAAGGTATAACGTAGAAGAACGCTTGAGGCACATTACGGTCGCCCTGCGGAAGTTTCACTTGAACGCGATAGACGCATTATGGACGACGAAGAGGTTAACAAAGATTATTAAACATGACTGATACTAAATACATTATGATTTTGAAACTTTATAAAAGCAGAAAAAGCAGAAAACACTGGCATGTTATATACTGGTATAATATAAAGTACATAAACTCCCTCAGTTTCCTTGCTCAACCAGTGTTGCCAAAATATGAATGCATATATGCCCATTAATCAAACTGACCGATGTGTACTTATAGTTACTGTTAAGAAAGCTTTAGTCATTTTATGAAATGTGTTCTCAAACACAGAGACAGGATGGAATCTAGAATATCAATAATAATATCACATCTAAGTTATAATATATTATGACAACCAAAGGTCCGAATACTTTAAATAGCGACCCACAAACAGCCAAGTCGCTGAACATTGGTAGTTCAGTCTGAGTTTCGAATCCCGCGAATGGGCTAACTGCATGGACGTTTTCGTGGTTTTAACCCATGTCTAACGTGTATACAAGCCAGTTTTCCTTAGAAAGTCCTCCACGAAAGCAAACCGCTCCTTAGGCTAGCCCTCGATACTTTGCCATAATCACAAAAAACACACCAAACTTTAAATAGCAACAACATAAATTCTGTATTTCTTTAATATAGAATATTTCTGGTTTGAAAACATCAATTATAAAATATGAAAGAAACAATCTTCCAACAAAAGAAAACATTTTTCTTAATTATACATACCAAAGTTGCTCCAGATCTCTTCAATCGATGTTCACAATCATTCACATTTTCAAAATAAGTTTTAAAACAATTAAAACCTAAAGAAGCAATATAAGGTACATATAGTATATGTTTTCCTTCCAAATATATATTGGTACTTAAATAAAAAAGAAAGCATAATTAACATTATTTTCAAGATAAAATGTTTTCCAGAAAACACACCAAGCTTATACAATAAAAATATTTAATAGAATAACTTTACATGGACTTTTATTAAACAAAACTGAGCTTTAGACTTTGTTACTAGTCATTATATATATACTTTTATGAATTTAGCATTTTTAATTACTGTTCCAATTTAATTATTAAAAATTCCAACATTTGATTTTCACAACAGTACAATTTTACTACCTAAATTTTATTTCTCATATCACTGAAGATAATTTTTCATTTACATATTTTTCATTTATATATCCTCTATTATATATATATATGTAATAATAAATTGGTACAATGAAAAAAACTAATAGGACCATTCACTAACAATCACAGCTGGAGTGGTAGGAACAGTCACAGCATACAGTTTGTGGCATAGTAGATAACTAGGAACTCTTTTGAAGAATCACAAAAATGAATCACACACTTTTGAAGAATCACACACTTGATAATCTGAGCATCTCTCTATTACTTGTACACATATCTTATTGCATAATGTATCTTATTATATGGCACATAACAATGGGGCAATCTACAACCCACAATTTTAAATTATGCAGTTACATTTTTTAGCAATGGAGAAAATACAGCTTAAGAGACATGATTTAGCAGGACAGTGCATGTGGTGAAAGAGGATGCACACAAGGCATCTCAAGTATTTATACTTAGAAATTCTTTGAGTTCTAAATGATGATAGGATAAAAGCTCACAGCAATAGAGATCTCTGTAGGGAAAGAAATGCTGCATCAGTGCAGATGTGAAACAGGTTGTATTTATATAGAGATTAGAAATTTAAAGGTCTATTGTCAATTAAATGTCTTTCATGTTTTATATTTTATATATACATCATTTAAACAGATTTTCCAAGGATTACTGACAATTTTTCGTTTTCACAATCAAACATTAATCAACCATTAGGTTGCACCCACTTCTACAATAAGATGAGTAGGCACAAATTTAAAACTAACATTCAATGTTTTAACTTTTCAATTTGAATCATCATTCACAGAATCTTTTCTTCAAAACTAAAATCTCCAGATACTAGAATATTCCTTCTTATCAACTAGAATATCAGTAAACAGATACCTATCAAAAATGGTCATGCATAATTAGTATATTAGAGGAAGTAGAACATTTTATTTTTTAAATAAAAAACAAAGTTCAATGAATTTTTATGAAAGATGTCTGCTTTTGAGTACCACTATCACACTTATGTCTTAATAGTAACTGATCAAGCTTCTAAATAAAACAATAGAAAGTACATTTTTAAAAAATAATTATGTTTTTCAGAAATTTAGAAATATTACCAAAAAAAAGCAATTTTTATTCAAAAAACAGAGTATCTGATAATAGGTACTTGCCTGTATATGTAAGTTGTGACGGATCCAATTTCAAAAGCTTATACTGAAATAGCATAGATTGAGTGTCTGATTCCAGATCTTGCAAGCATTTTGTAAACCATTCAAAGCATACCTAACATAACAGATAAAAACAAACAGAAAAGTGTAAATTAAATGATGGAAAAAATATTACAGTTCACAAAAATATTAGCTTTCTGAAAGAAAAAAGCCCTGTGACTTAATAATATGAAACATGATAAAAGAAGTGTCTGAATGGTAATCCAGGTAAAACATTTACAACATCTGTGATACCAGACTATTATTTAATTCAGATTTCAATTAAATGTTTGAAAACATGACTGAAATGTTCCTTTAAAATAATAAATAAAAGATTTTAAAATTTGTTTAAAAATGTAAGGACCTTTTACTTAAGAAAGAAACGTATTTGTATATCCTTAACTATGCAGGTCAACATTCCATGCTGCATTAAAGTCAAAAACATTTTTAGAAAGTGCTAAACACTTCTGTTTCTTGGTAGAATAAATATTTTAACTAGGTTTCTTTGATTCCCCCCCCCTCCAAAAAAAAAATAAAAACACTTACTTTTTATAAATTCACCATTTAATCATAGCACAATGGGAAAGTGCTGGTGAGAGAGGGGTATGAAAAATCAAATATGTGTAATGAACATTTTTTATTCACATGACGAATATCTATAATGAACAAAAATATGAGATCTTGTTTCTTATCAGTAAGGAACAAAACTATTGATAGATACATAGTTAGATACAGAGCCAGATTTAGACTTGATAAGGCCCTAAGCTATTTGAGATATGGGGCCATTTATAAGTCTGTTATAATATATTTTAATACTATTTATACCATATTTAAATTTTTGAGAGGCCCCAAAGAAAGTGGGGGGCCTAAGCTATAGCTTGTGTAGCTTATACATAAATCCGGCCCTGGGTAGGTAGGTAGTAGAAGTGAGTAAGACACTAGAAATATCATGGATCGCACAGGTAACATTCAAGCAAACTATAGAATTAACCTCATGTGGAGATTAGCTCATTGCTGAGTTTGAATGGATGAGGCTATCATTGTGGATGAGACTCGTTTGATATCACATTGTGCTACCTGATATATGGCAATGTTCTGCAATACATGTTCTTCTGGGCATATTCCTGGTTTATTGAATTGTACCACACATTGTAGATGCTGATTCCATTTGGCATTTCTTGCATTATTCTGCCCAGCAGATTTCAAGCCCATAATAGTTGTTTTTCCACAATTTTCTCCCCCCCCCTCTGCAGGATAAGTCGCTGCATTATTAACAGATGTCTACATGGTATGTCAATGTTAGAGGATCAAGTGAAGTTCTTTTGCGAGCAGACATTTGAAAATGTAATAATCTGCATCACTCAACTCTATGCATGAGCCATGTGTCCGTATTTCCCAGGTCTTCTTGCAGGAGAAATCTGGGAATGGGCCATGGCCCAACAAATATTGCATTAGGAAACCTTGTATAATTATGGTTTTCTTAATTAAGACACAATAACATGCCGAACAAATACTAATTCAGAAGTCAAACAACAAAAAAAAGCGTTATATTTTCAAATTTTCACAGGACTAGTTTCGATGGTTTTACCGAACCACCATCCTCAGCTGTAAAAACGCAAATGAACGAGATAGGATATAACGATTAGATATTAGTGACACCATCGATGTAAGTGTTCTTACCCATGACGACTATCTGGCCGCCTTTGTCGGCCTTTAAAATGATAATATCTAATCGTTATATCCTATCTCGTTCATTTGCGTTTTTACAGCTGAGGATGGTGGTTTGGTAAAACCATCGAAACTAGTCCTGTGAAAATTTGAAAATATAACGCTGATTTTTGTTGTTTGACTTCTGAATTAGTATGGTTTTTTTGTTCACTTATGGACAGCATTTATGTGTGCAATAAGCCATTGTCGCATCATCCCACTCTTGTTGCCAGATATTTTGTGTGTGCAGTATGTTCATAAGGTAGGTTCTGGGAAAAGGTACATCAAGGCGTTCTATTTGCTTTTGCACTCTATCCTTTGCTAATACTTCTGCAGCATCATTACCTGAGCTCCCACTGCAGCCTTTTATCCACAAACATAATTTTTGTATTTTGCACATTTTGTTAGTATTGATTAATTTCAAATGGAATTTTAGAGTCGTTGAGTGGGTTATGAAATGCTAATGTTGTTGTCTGACTGCCTGATTAAATTATGATATGAAGAATTATCTGGCTATTTGCTGTTTTCAATGCTGCTTTTATTGCCGAAAGTTCTGTTTGATGAATGCTGTTATTGTTTTTTAGGTATCCTTGCAATTTTATACTAATATTGAAGTTCTTTTGCATAGGTATGTAGATTGCACATCGACATTCCTTCTATTTTGGAGTCATGCATAAATGCTGTGGTTTTGTTGTTGATGGACACTATTTCTTGTTGAAAATTTTTCCTCATATGCAGGAAACTAGGATTTCTGTAGTAGGAAGAAAGATAGCATTTGTATTCTTCAGCTTTATAAAGATGATTATTAAAGGAAATATTCTGTTTTAATTGAACGACTATAGTACAAACAGCTTTATCTGTTGCTTGTAAATGTAGATGAGTTATTCTGGCTAGGATGTTGAGTGCAGCACGTAAAGTTATATGAAATCCACATGTTACAGATGAAATAAATTGTCTTTAAATTGAGACTAGAAGTCTCTTTTTGCATTCAGTTAAAGGTATGGCCTAAATGGTGGCACTGTAAGTCACTATTTTTACTATTCTGGTGTTATATAAAATTTTGGTAATAGGAGTTTCAGGCCCCAGTTGTATCCATGCATCTAATACAAATATTTGTCAGATTCAAATATTTGTCTTAGATTCAGTCCTATTTCGTGAGTGCATGCTTTGATCTCCTTGAGATGGTGGATAAAATTTTGCTTCCCATCAATATGAATTCCTAGGTATTTTATTGTTTTTACATTTTTAATTATTTTACGTTGATTTGCAGAGAAAGTTCATTAGTATTAGTCTGACCTGATTTTTATATTATTATGTGACTTGGTTATGGTAATACACAAAATCAGGCCAGATTAGATAGAGAAATTTTCAGTTTGTGCTTTTAATGCATATTTTCAGAAATTTCAATTGTGGTTCTGCTATTTTCTTGGAGAATCACTAGCAAGCAGCCGTTCACAACAAATATGATGTTACCAACAACTAAAGTGGAATTCAGTGTATTCAACAAATCTTTATATTCTTAAAACACTGCAAAGTTTGATGCAGAATCTGATCCTTCTGATCACAAAAATAGATTTACTATTATTCCAATCTGCTAATTTGAAGCTTTCATCTTTTCACTGCATATATGAAATTATCAGGGGGAATGTACAAAAGCAGTATTTCCAAATAATTGCATGCAGCTCATTCCAATAAACTGGAAGAGACTCTTGTGAAAGAATCAAACTCATCTTCTAATTATAAAAATGTGTAGAAGTTATGAAAGGAAATAATTAAACTGCAATCTTATTATAATATATGTATTATATACTTATATATATATATAATAATTTATTTCCTAAACAGTATTGATTAATTGATTATATTATCTCCTAAGTTTAATTAAAGTAGAATTATTTTAAAAGTGTGCATCCATACTGATAAGTTATATTTTGAAAGATGTTTTGAAGTAATTTGAAAGCAAAATGTTAATAATGTTTTAACGGGGACTGGAGTTAAATCATCATGAAGAATAATATTTCAATTGTAAAAGGAAAAATTAAAACATGTAATCATTGTCATTGATCGGAAATTAGTTGACTTTTCAAGGGGAACAAACCAACTCCTGTTCAATGAACAATAATTGATAAAAATACGTAAATACGAAAGTGTTTCGTCTTTACTCGAGTTATAAGTTAAAGCCAAACCGGGAATTCTAGTCAGGCCAAATATTTCCGCGAATAGTAGGAATTATGAACCAATGCTGATACTCAAAGAACTTATTCTCATGAAGCATTTTAGTCAATTCAATTTGAAGTAAAAATCAATTACTGTAGAGAAATTCTGTAAAACTCGAGTAACCGTCCCCGACACTTTCATCTTTATGCATTTGAGTACTATATTATTTGTAGAAATTAAACATTGGAAATTGTCATTATGAAATTGAATTCAAAGTAAAGTTGAAATAAACATAGAAGATTATAAAAAAGATAAATAATGCAAACTTTGTAAAAACAAATCAAAGAAAATATAAAAATAATATAAAAATAATATAGAAAATAAAAAATAAGATCAGTGAATGTACATGAAGATAATAAATATATATATATATATATATATATATATATATATACATGAAGATATAATATATAAATATATATAATATGCAATAAATTTTACTTATTTACAACAAACTAAATTTGTGCTTTAACAGCACATTTAGCAGCCCCATTTGAAACTAAAAAAAAATTATTTACCATACATTTTAGCATTACCACACAATAAAAGTTTTTAAGCACCTTTAAAAAAGCCTTTTCAAATACTGGAATCTTAGAAGATCACTATTACTTAAAAATTTCCAAGCATATGCAAACTGCTTATTTTACAAAAATTAAAATCTTCTTCCCTTTTCTAATAAAATGCAAGAGATGCAACATAACTGAAAATATATGACTTTTTTCCCCACTTATTCATCACAACAGGAAATTGATACAATTATAAAACAGAAAGAAAATCTGATGTCATTTAATCATTCAGATTTCATATAAATATAAATATATACATGTATAGTATTTAATATACATTTGTGGAATTATAAAATCAATACACATTATCCTCTTCCCCCCCCCCCAGTTTTCTCAGCACATGATTTAGAAACTTCTGATTTCACAAACATGTAAAATATACGCACAAACTGGAAATTATTTTGCTTACTAAAGCAAATATGACTGAAACTGAAAACTTTGAAATACGTAATGTAATAATATTAGAGTCTCTTTACCCCTTTAAAATAACATTTTACAATAAAATTAGTGTGTTTTTATGTAAGCTTTTAAATGTGCTATGTTTATCATTTCAGCTGTCTCTTTAGAAGTAGTATATACTGTATATTTTCCCCTCCCCCTATAAAAGTAAGAGATAAAATTAGTAAGAAAAGAGGGAATGTGTGAGTAAATATGGTATAGATTATCATATAATTTATCTTATTGAATAAAAAAGTGGAGCTGAAAAATGTGTTATTAATTACAAACATTAATACTGGAACAAAGTTTAAGCTTAGTATAAATGTCAGCAATTACCTCTTTGTCTTTTTCACATGCATCAGGATTTGAAATTAAGGTCTCCCAGATATCTTTAGCTCTATTTAAAGGTAAATATTGAGCCCCATCTTGCAAAATGAATTGTAGAAAGCTCAGATGTTCAATAAGGTACTGAAAAATAAATTAAAGTTTTCTGTTTGAGAGGGAAAAGAATTATTACAAAAACATACATAAAAGAAAAATAGATACTTATGTATTAATCTGTTGACCATGATAGCTGGTGATTTCACCAAATTTATACCAATCATTTCTACGGCATTCTAAAGGAACTGATGCATATTTATTTAATAAACAATTAATGTTCAAACTGTTTCATTTTTTAGCTTCATAAAAAGGCTTTCCTCGATTTCTTCTAATTAGTTAGGCCCTTCAATTTTACCAAATATTCTGCATCGAATGTTGGGACTATAAACTTCTTGCAGATAATTGTCCAAATGAATTACTGTTTCATCAGCCATATTCAGCTGACCAAATTGTGTCCATTTATACATGCTGTTTTTGATGGTATGATCCTTTATAAAATTAAAAATAATCCACTGCTTAATCTTCTGAAGGTAGGTGCCATATTTGAATTTTTTCACCAAAAAATGAAAGGAAAAAAAGTATGCCAGTAATGGTAAATTTATATCCTTATCCATAAAAACAAAGACTTATCAAGAATATACCAAAGTTCATTAAACAAAAGCACAGATGTTATGAATATGTTGCGATATAACATTTACCTACAATTGGTATTAAATCACTACAATTGGTATCGAAATATATATATATATATATATATAAAACCAATTAATACATTAAATTTCAAACCTGTTCAATGACAAGGATGATTACAAATTTATTTTAAAATAGTCATTATGAAATATAGTAGATACCCAACGGAGCAGGTTGATACTGGCAATAACATCAACAGTTAACTCAAAATCAGGGTTAATTCAATAGCAATTTTTAAAAAATACAGAAAAGAGTAATAGCCTATATTATGATTAACAAAAAATACTAACAACAATTTACCAATAACTTTAATCAGTTTAATTTGGAGAATATGCATATTTGGTTACGTAAATTAGATCTGCATTTAAAACAAGAGCAACACACCAAAACAGGGAGAAAAAAAAAAAAAAAAAAAAAAAAAAGATGCTTTTGATTATATTATTTTTTATTTGAATAGGAGTCAAGGGAAAACAGAAGATTAATATACTTAATATTAAATTTTTTGATTTAGAAATTTATTTTTAATGGAAATGCTTTAACACTATTTATATGTTCCAAATTTTGCATAAGTAAATTACATATTGCTATGGATAAAAATTATTTCTAAATGCTGTAAAATATCTGCTAGCAAAACTGTTATCTCACACATTTTCTTCTATGTTTTGCATCTCAGATAGAAATTCTGCTTTATTTTAATGGTTTGTGATAATTTTTCTACTGTTCAACAACAAGCAAACTAAACTTCTCCCCCTACCCTAAAGACAAGGCCAGGTTCATTAGGAGTTGATTATAATTTGTCAGCATTATCAACATGGTAAATTTATCACTATCACCAAAAGGAACAACTTTGATCTTCTTTAAATGATTAGATTTACAAAAAGATCTTAACTTCCAGATGCTTCTTATATTTGCTCTTTAGGACTAAAGTAGCAAAACAAGTTTTCAACAGCTATCACAGTGTTCAGGTGTACTTATCAATCAAGCTTCCTAACTAACATTGATTTAACCTGTTCAAGTGTTGATAAACATGGTAAATGGCATGCACAGACACAGCTCATAATAGCAAATACACAGAAATGTGATTTCATATAACAGCAGTGAGTTATCTCAAGTTATATGACATCATCTTGGAAAAATCACGTCCTCAACGAGCATAGCAAATATGCTAACATTTTACTGCATAGATGCTCATTATTTATCATCTTTTGTGATGGAAATTTATACTCAGTAAACCACAAAATAATGAAGTAAAGGAACATCAACATTGTAGGCCTACTTTAGCATTTAACACATCTTTAGCAATCTACAGCAATTTTACTTAAAAGCAACTAATTGCCACTATCAAAAATAAGATATGTTTAAATGACTTGACACTTGGGAGAACTTACGTAATGCTTGTTATTTTCAGATCAGTGCTGTAAGGATATACCAGTCATGTTCTTGCCACTGTGTCACCAAGGTCATTGAGACAACTATCACATAAACATAGCTTTCTTTTGCTTCTAATGGTGCTTCAAATTAAAACACATTCTCATTTCTTATTAACAATTTAAAAAAATTATTCTCTATTCAAAAATGCTCATTTCTTCCACTTTCTCCCATAAAAAATCACGTTCAATTATGAAAATTCCAAATCCTGTTAGTTTCCTTTCACTGAGGCCACCTCACTAGCCATTTCAATTACTTGAATTTTACCTTTATCCAGTAACCAATTATATAGAAAGAAACAATACCACAAACACTCATAAATGAGAGAGAAAGAATAATAGCTTAAACACTAAATAAAAGTTTTAATCTGCAAAATTTCCATTAATACTTTAAACCTGCTCTGGTAAAAATGCTTTACAAATTCCAATCTTTTCTTCTTCATATTAACATAAACTTACTTCTTCATGTGTATTTCTGCCATCAACTAAGGTTGTTGGCTTTAACTGGCCACTTCCTGCAGCATCAGCAGCTTGTTTATGGCACTTTGCTAGACTAGTAGTTATAAGTTTAATGATATCATGTGTTTTATTAAGCTCAGGTAGTGTGGTCTGAAAATAAATACCATAAATATTATTAATTCTGAATAACTGAAAATTTATTAATAATGCAGTTTCTTATGAAATAAAAAACAGCATTTTTATAACTAGTTTACTAAGAAACAAATGCACTAAATAAATAAATAATGCAAGAAGGCAGTATTCTATGCATAAAATTTTCAGTTAACTTCCAATTTACAACCTCCTTTAACAACTCTTCCCCATAATTTCTTTTGTTTTCAATGGTTTAAAAAAAAAAAAAAAAAAAAAAAAAAAAAAAAAAAAAAATGACAACTAAAGTGAGAGAAGAGGGAACCTTGTGAACATAAAACTTTCGAAGAATAAATACAGTTTGTGAAAGACAAACAAATGGATGAATATAAAATAGAAAGAATGTGATGTTGAAATTTTGTAATTTGTATTGTGTTAATGATCGTTTTTATAGTATCAACACTAATCACAATCTAATTTATGTTAACTTTATCTTACCACATGTTTTAATTTTACATAAAATAGTTTAATACTTCATTTTAATATCACAATTAATAACATATAAAATGGCTTTTCAATTTATGACCTGACTGTTAAAATCTCAGCAATATCTATAAGAAAGGACTGCTTATAATTAAAACAACACATATTAGGTCAAAATATTTTTAAAAAATAAATTCTACATGACATTTCTAATATATATATATGTAAGAAAAATAAAAAATATGTAAAAGATTAAATTAGCAATGTAAATTTCCCTTCTCAATTCTACAAATTGTAAGATTTCATCCTGAACATTATGTATTTACTTTCTATGCTTTGGCCTAACTGGACTGCAGTCTGTCTGTTCCTCCTTTCTTACTGCAAAATTATCTAAAATGTAAGCTTTTTGGAATAGGCACAATTAATGTGCCAACTTCTTTGTGGCCACAACATGTTGCTGAAATAAAAAATGAAGATTTAATCTGTCTTTGCCTCCAATTTCCTATTCATTATGAATCAACACTTCTACCGCATCAAAATTCTTGCTGATCATTATGGATTCAACTTGCCTGTATTCTGTTACAGAATTTATTACAACAGAGCTGGCCAGAGTTTGATTTTATTACATATATAAATGCATACAAGTTTAATAATGAAAACTGTACCTTTATTTCATACAGAAAATATAATTTTTAGATATAAATAAAAAAAATCAGTAGCATATAATAAAGAAAATAATAAGCAAACACAAATCATCAAATCAGTTTATATTATTAAATAAAAAAAAATTAGCATCGTATAATGCTTAATAAATGTCTATGCAAAAGCTACTTGCAAGAATCCAGAACACAAATCACATATGCTGATATAAGAATATCTCACATAATGTGCCACATAATAATAAATGAAAAAGCATTTTATATTTATGAGGTCTTACCTTATCTTGCTTATACACGCCAGATTTCACTATATTCTCACAAATACTATGAAGCAGTTTCAAAGATGGAAGAACAGAAACTCCCTGAAATGAAATTGCTAAAAATTAATTAAATAAATCTTTCCAGTTAAATGACAGTTGAACTAGGAGTAATTATACTGCAAGTTATATGAATTTTACTAAATTTTAGCAAGATACTTACTGAACGTAAAAAAAACTGAAAGTAATTATTACACTTCTTTATGCTTGAAAGTCTTAATTATCTCACAACACTATACAGATAACAGAGAGTACACTGCATACATATAAATGATATGTTAATTAAAAATTTTTCATTTAAAAGACAAAACTGAATTTGTCACCTCCACAAACATTAAGCTGAATCAGAGGTGATTGGGACTCCATGTTAGATATCCTGAAAATACCATGGAGTAAAAACAATTTTTTTTTCCACTATTTCTATGCTATACAATTGGTTATACCCATTTGCTGTTGTATAATTTCATAGTCTAAAAATCTTCAATTTATGTAATCTCTGAATGATATATATTACATTACACAAAATTTGAGAGATATAATGAGTGCACATTTCATAAATCTGCAAATTTCGGATTTATGAAAGTTGAAAAACTGGAATTCCGGCTATATCCAGTGAATGAATATATACCTCTAGTTGATTGATGTACTATTATTTATTACATAAATCTAATTGTTGCCAATGATTTTTCAGATACATTTTAGGTTAGTGAAACTGGTCCTGCACTTTCAAAGAGAAAACATATGAAATATGCATGCACAGTTGAAGTGTTTTTAGCAAATGATTTATTTTTAAGGTCCCAAATTTAAATAAATTACAGCAATAAAATTATACTTATTTATATCAAATTGGTACTATTCAGATTATAAATAATTACAGGATATACCTGCCCAAAGTTTGCAGAATTAGCAAAGTTAAATAAAATTATGCACATACCTTTCTAATATCTTCAATACATTTCACACAATACAGCTTTTTTGTTTGATCTTTATGAGACACTTCTCTTAAAATTAAAAAATGTTCTTCTAAAGCTAATTCCACTAAGTTCATAGGAAGTACAACAGAATGAGCAAGATCCCACAAAAGATCTAAAACCTGAAACGAACAAAATTTATTCTTGAAAACAAACAGAACTAATAATATGAGTCACCCCCTTCAGTTTTGCATTAATAAATGCTTTATTTAAAAATAAATAAATAAACATATAAAATATAAATTACATTTTTAATTAAGATTAAATAAATAGTAAAAACATAAAACATAAACAGTAAAAACATAAGATTAAATAACAATAATAACCCAAGATTAAATAATAACAATATGAGAATAGAAATAAAACTTTACTAAAAAGGGTAAAAGAGGAAAAAAATAACTTTAGAGGTAAAAAATAAACTTTACAGTGGCTACTCTACAATGAAATGTCGCTGAATTTGGGGTCCTGATCAGTAACAAGCTGCTGCATCTTTGATCTTGATAATGCTGCCATATGAGGAGAAATTGATTCAACAAGTCCACACAGCTGCTCCTGCAAACCTACCAAAATTTGCCATAAATCAATTAAAAATGCTGGTAGTAAATGGTATGTTTGCGCACCTTTTCCTAAAGTATCCCAAAGGTGTTAAAAGGGCTTTCAGTCCAAGTTTCTGAGCATCCATTTCAACAGAGAGAATTCAATGAAATAATCCTTGAAGCAGGTCGCAGCCAACTGGGATCTGTAACAGAAACAGCTGTCCAGCTGGTATACTCGATTTTCATCAGTATGGCAGAAAAGCATGGAGGGTTGTATGTGGTTGCCAAGCATGTCTATGTACTTATATGCAGTGAGGGAACTTGGTACACATATCAGAGGCTCCAAACATTGCCAAGAGAAAATAACCTCACACCATCACTGAAACCACTATGTCACTGTACAATTCCAACCTGGCTTCATATTCTTAGCCTATTATCAACATGATGCAGTGAGAATTGAAAGTCATCATTCCACACTACTAACTTCTAGTTGTCCATAGTTTGTGGCCCATGCAAGATATTATACACACAGGCATGCAATGAAAAGTGGTATTCTCATGGATCTATCGCTTTTAAAGACCATTTAGTGAAGCAAATGTTGCCCAGTCTGCTCTACTACTGTCTTATTGGACTCTTCCTTCATATGGGTGGTTATGGTTTGGTGTTGTTGACTACACATGATAATGGCTGACTCTTCAAAGATCACAATCATTCAAGGCTGTCTGTCCCTTGTAATTTACCCAATTACTTCACTGTGTTCTCTTACCATAGTCTTGATATCAGGAAACAAGAAAAACCCAATTCTCAAACTACTTTTAAAACTGAAGAACTCATGTATCAAGTACCTATTATTTGTTCTTGGTTGAAAAATCTAAAATGCAAGATTCACCCACCATCTTACTTTTTAATAATTGCTGTAAAACAGCCACATTTTCAGATAAACATATTTCATAACAGTATTCTCACATGTGCAGAAATCAAGCAAAAGTGCCATTATGTTTTTATAAAACTACCCGTTTTCAATTGAATGTCATTCCAATGTATACTGCCCTCCAAAAGCTAAGGAACAGAATGTTTTTCGTGTCTAATTTGAGAATGAAGCAACACAGAAACCAGATATTCAGAGAATATGTTCACTGAACAGTTCTTTAAAATGGGGTGGTAATATTACAAAAATGGATTCTAATAAAGAATGTGTCCACACCTAGCTGCAATACATTGGCGGCAGCGACGTTCCATGCTGTCAATTAAGTTGTTGATCAGTGAAAAGGGAAGCAACGACCAGACATGGAGTAATCCCTGTTCAAGATTATCTAACGACCTTGCAGGAGGACTTAAAGCAGCAACCTGTCTCCTAAGGTAGTCCCAAAGATGCTCCATCGGATTCAGGTCTGGGGATTGAGCTGGTGATTCCATCCACTCCATATCGTGACCCTCAAGATATTTTTCATAAACCCGAGCTCGGTGCGGACACGCATTGTCATTCATCAGAAGAAATCCAGGACCAATAGCAGTGGCATATGGGTGGACATATTGATCAAGGATCTTGTCTCGATACATCACACCAGAATGAACACATGTACATGAACACATGTACGATCCATTGAACACATGTACATCAGTGTGACCACCGACAGAGATCCCAGCCCAAACCATTATTCCACCACCTCTGGAGCTGTGTCTTTCCATAATGTGGGACTTGTTGTATCTGGTGCATTGTTCCCTCCAGATCAGTTGATGACCTAAATCACTCTCCAATGTGAACCTGGACTCGTCTGTGAAGAGAACAGATACCCATTGTTGACTGGTTTAGGAGACGCGTTCTCTCCAACATAAACGGGTACCTCCAAGTCCTTGGCTCAGCGGACACAAACAACTGGTCGTCTTGCATACAGACTTGTATGACCAGATGTCTGCACACTGTAGTAGCTCAGATTCTTGTTCCTGTTGCCATTAAATGATCTGCCATGAGTTGAGGCACAGTAATATTACTCCTCCTTCAGGTCAAAAGAGCTAAATAACAGTCTTCCACAGGTGTTGTAACCCTAGGTCTGCTTGGAACATGTCTTCTAGACACAGAATCCTCGGATTCAAACTGATTCCATAGTTGGTGGACCACACTACGAGAGACATTGAGATGAGATCACCTTGTGACATCCCTATTTCCATCTATCCGATCACCTGCCACCTCAACGAATCAGGCAAATGACTTCTCCCGGGCATTGATAGACTCTCCTGGATATTGTCCACGAAAATGTAATAACAACTGAAGATAACACTCGTGAACAAAAATTAGTTTTTGTATTTTTTTCTCCAACTCCTATATTTATTTCTATAAAATAAAAGTGGTAACTATTGTTTTTCCATATATTTTCTTAAATTTTATTACTGTCATGCATATGAACTGTGAATTTAAATGTTACTGACATTTTTGTAATGGTGAGCTTTGAGAAACATGATGTTCCTTAACTTTTGGAGGGCAGTATATAAATTAAACAAATAAACTTGTGTACATGCATACATATATGATTCCAAACATTCAAATTCAGCATTTCAATTTACATAAATTTGCAGATAGGTGAGGTTTGCAAGACATAAATTCCTCTATCTGTTTATTTCAAAACTTTCTCAGCAAATAACTGTTAAAAACAAGGCAAAACTAGCATTAACACATCAAAAAAGCAGTAGATTTATGAACAAATTTTATTAGATGAATAATAAATGACTTTAAACAGCCCTACTTGAAAACTTAACTTTATTTTGAATTTTTCAAGTGTGACTTTTAAACTCGTGTGATTTTCACAGAAAGAACATCAATTCCTTCTCAGAAACTTTCTAAAAATTTTTAATTCTTTTTTTCTATTCCACATATAAAATATTTCAAATGAACGTATATACTGTATTTAAATGAAAGTGATGTATTTCTGTTTTCATGTAAAATGACTCTAAACTATTAACTAACTTTATTCTAAACTAACTTTTACTCTAAACTATTAACTAACAGGAATATATATTTAATTATTAACTAACTTTTACTCTAAACTAATAACTAACAGGAATATGTATTTAACTATTAACTAACTTTTATATGTATTTAATTGTGGTATAAAAACTTAAATAGCATATTTCATATTTTAAATAAATAAAATAGCACAACTGATTTTTAATAATTTCAAAAACACACATATCATACCAAAAATTTCCAAAATATAAATCTAGATCTCTGTCTTACACACTGCTTATATCACTGACACACATAATTTGATTTCCCACATTTTTCCTATTACATGACTTTTTTTTAAATCTGATTTGTATGTATTAGATAATGCAATATATTAAACATATTTTTGTGTTTAAAAAACACATTTATCTGTAAATGTATGCTATTGTTTCACATGCATTTTTTATCCTCTATTTAAGATTCCCCATTGTAAAGGTTGTACCCTAAAATATACATGCTCTCCAATTTTTTAAAGGGTTTCAAAATTAAAAGTGTGATATTTACTTTACATCATGTACTTTACATAATCACATTAAATTCATAATATAAAAATTAAATATTTAAATTATTTCAAAGCAAAAATTTATGGAAAGGATAAAAATAATTCAAATTTTCTTTTCATAAATTTTGAAAATTCCAGAAATGAAATGAAAGTCAGTCTGTTGCATATAAAATACGACTCACCAGTGGCCGAGCGGTAATGTCGCTGAACACTGGTAATTCGGTTCGAGGTTCGAATCCTGCGAGCAGGCTGGCTGCATGGGCATTTTCCTGGTTTTCCCCATGTGTAACGTGTATACGAGCCAGTTTGCCTTAGAAAGTCCTCCACGAAGGCACCCCTCCCCTTAGGCAGGCAGCCCTCGAGGCTTTGCAATAATCACACACACACACATATAAAATACAAAATATAATCATCTTATATTATAAAAAATAAACTATTTTTTTTATGTCTAAGTGATAAAAGAAAGCCAAGTTTGAACTTCTATTCCTTTTATGATAATCAATGTTGTATTAGAAAGCTGGAGATAATAACAATATTATTATACTATTTTTATGGTCTTATATAATACCAGAAGTTCAATTTACTTTAGTTGAAGCTCTTCCTTGGTTAGTCTCTTTTCCAATTCTGCCCATGAAAATTATAAGCCTCTTCTTCATTTGATCATTGCTTTCTTGCCATCTCTAAAATAATAATAATAATCAAAATAAAACATTTTAAAATACTTTTCTAATTAATAAAAAGAATCTGATGTGGAAACCACGACTTCCTTATATGGCCTATTAAATTATACACATTTTTTGCTGCAATTCAATTCAACTTACTTCCTCGAATTTCATTAGAAATATTATATTTCTCATTCAATTAATTCAGTTCCCACTTTGCAGCAAGGCCAAAAATATATAAAAACTCAAAACATTTTCATTAAAAATTGTAAAATACAGAAAAACATAAAACACCAAATACAGTCAAAAACAGTTGCAAGAAAAAGCAATTCGGTCAGCGGGCAAGAAGACAAATTATTTGGTGCACAAAGCTGAAACTTTACTTTTGGTCCTACTTGGCAAAAACACACTGAAGTTTGTGCATAAATTAAATTAATTCACTATTCTACTAAGAGCTTCAAATGTAAACAAATAACAGCTTAATACCACTTAAACAACATTTAAATTATTGATAATTCTACACCTTTTGTATGGACATTAACTAAAGGCACGAAAACTTTAAATGAACATAAGAACAGCATAATTCAACCACTTTTAAAGCAAAAATTACACAATTTACCAACATGTAAGAATTTTTTAAAGAAAGAAAAAGAAAAAAATCTGAAGGGTTTAAGATTTTAAATTACGTCTAAAATTTTTTATTTTTTTTATTTTTTTATTTTTTTAACGTTTAGTGTGTTAACTGTATTTATTAAATATCTCATTCTTTGCACTTAAACCATAAAATTCAGTTCAACAGCAATGTCGCAAAATAATTTTAAAATGAGCGTATCTTTAGAATTTCTGATACACAGTTCCGCGCGATAAAAAGGTTTTTTTTCCCCTCTGTAGAGTCTTGCCACTGCTCGCTTTTACATCATTGAGTTTGCTAATTAAAAATACGTTTAAAGTTTTACAAAATATTAAATCAATAACAAAACAAATTCCAAATTTCAAGTTTGTGCTTTCAAATGCCCATATTTCACAGTAGTATTACATCATTCAAAATTGGATGGCTCTAGGTACCATTGTTTTATCACAATGCGAGAAACATATATATACATTTATGCAGATTCTTCATTATTTAATTCCTTCAAATATAATACAAGGCGATAGTATTTGGTGGCAACGATTTGAAAAGTGATACAGCCTTTTAAAATTTTCAATGCAAAATCGCAAAATGGAAGCAATAGTCCTTCAGGCACAAAGCTCATATGGACTAAAAAAAAAACAGAGCTCATTAAGCTCACTAATAAGCATATATATTACGTATATTTGGTGCATTTGATTGCAACCAAAAAGGGAGGTTATACATTTTACAGCTGTGCAACATACAAAATTTCATTATTCTAAGTCTACTCATTTTTTAGGTACATGAGATACTTTAAATAATAAATATATCTATAAATGATAAATCATGAAGACATCTCTTCTGAATCCATTTTACAATCTGTTTTTGGAAGAAAAAAAAAAAAAAAAGAGTCCTTTATTCTGTTAGTACATACAGATGTCATGCAAAAACATCATTCAAGTGAATTCAAAAGCGGTCAAAATGGATTTTTTTGTTGAAATATGATATGCGAATTTTTCACAATTACAATACTTCCTTTACTTCAAAAAAGGAAGTTAAAAAAGGAGTGTATTTAGGAAATTTAAATTCTTACCTCTTGCACTAAATTTAATAAATGATCAAACTGCTCCATACTGAACTTAGAAGCAGCTGCTGTCATAATTGAGTGTATATTATCTATAAGCTGAGCATTCTGGCCAACCTAAAACATAAAAACACTAATTAAAAGAAGGATTCAAGTTAAGGAAGTCCTTGTGAATAATTATTCAGAAAGCAGACTCTTCGACTAGTAATAGTGCATACTATGCTGTAAAAAGTAAAAAGTTCTTTCAAAATTCTCAGCCTAACAACTTTTATGAAAAATCTCCAAATAATTTATTTTTTCAATATACAACTTTAGTAACACTTAAATTTTGCTTCATAAAACATCAAAGAATAATACATAAATTTAATTTTCATAGATTAATAAATTATATTCATTGTTACACTAGCATTTACTACTAAGGGCAATAAATATTAATTTAATGGGAAAATATTAGAAACCTGCATGTTCCAAATTTTAGTCAGTTCTTCAATTGAAAGTCGATGGCCCATGAATTCTACAATTCCTTTAATTTTGTCTGTATATTGCACCTGATCAATATTTCCTAAAATTAAATGAAAATCCTGATAAATATTTCATAAAAAAATGAAGTTTTGCATTTATATTTTTATATAAAGTATACCCCATTTTCAAAAACAAATATTTTTTTGCAGAAAAAACTTTAGTTATATTTAGTATATTTGGAATTTCTTATCAATCGACAAAGTATACATTTATTACCTAGCCAGCAGTAATAAATAACAGAAAAAAAAAAAAAGAGATTACAAGCTGCTTATGATTACAATAAAAATTATTACTTTTTGGAAAGGGAGAAAAACTAACAGAGAATCAAGCATATACCTTCAAGTGCAATGGACAATACTTCATTTTCAGCAAGCCAATTCAAAAGGCTTTCAGAATCAATGGCTATTTTTGAACACCTTATGCTTGAACTATCATCAATGAGCTTCATTACCTAAATAAAAGGGGAGAGAGATTAATAATTTTGAAAATCTTATAAAGTAAACAAATTTTGGTTAGAATTTAAAAAATTAAATTAAAAACAGAATGTTCATATTTATGTACAGGGTGCTCACAAAAAGGATGATGATAGACTTTTTTTTATTTCTTTAAATACTTATCCTAGATATGAACTTCCAATAACAAAGTTTCTTAAAATAGGTACAGAAATACATAAAAATAGTCTCAACACTAAAGATGGGGGGGGGGGGGAATCCGTAAAAATGAAATCTTACTAAAATGTTCATTATCATAATCAGTCAGCTTTAACAAAAATGATTGAGAAATAATTATAAATATCTACAGTAAAATGATGCTCGTGCCTCTCCTCATAGTACATTAATTTATTTTAAAATGCAATTACTATCAGTTACATTTTAAAGACTATGACTGATAATGTAAACATGTATATTTCTTAACAATTAGCCATTAAAAAATACTCACTAATTTTATACCAAGCTACAGGAAACAAACAATGACCTTGACTAACAGCAAAAATATGAGATGAAACTCCATATGCAACTTAATCTAAATATTTTTCTGTTTCAAGAGACACTTTTCTCTTTCAAAAGGCAAAAAAACCTCATTTGTAGTACCTCCCCCCCCCAATTTAAGAACATTAAAAAAGAAGAAGCAAAGAATGCCAATGAAATCTTCCATGAGAAACTAAAGAAAAATTTAAATATATAAATGTACACCATTCAAATTTATCTTAAAAAAAACCAACAGAATATAATAAAAAATATAAGTGAAAAATCCTTAATTATGTGTGTAAAGTAGGACAATATAAATTATGTGCACTGCCAACAAATCACACCTATTTTACAAACAGCAACTTGTTTGCATTAAAAAAACTTTTAACGAACTACTTAAAGCCAGGTATGCAATGCAGATATACAGTACACAGTCAGAAATTCCAACAACCAATAACTGCAGAGATCTAATAACCAGATATCTGGACACTAGTCCCTCCAAAAAAAAAAATTTAATAAAATATCCCCCTGCAAAATCTAGGAATGGAGAATATAATTCTCAACAAAAGGGAGCAGGTGTCCATAAATGCAATTTTTTTTTTTTTTTTTTTTTTTTTTTTTTCCAGACTAAGTTAGATACCTTATGAGACTTTTAAACATCAGCTGGGTTGGAAATCACAGTGACCAGTGACAATACATTGATTGACATGATCACACTTTCAGCCTTTGAGTGATCATGGAGGGGGATTAGTATTTTTCTTGACCTAAACAATAAGTGAAGCCCCTATGTTGCCATATTTACAAGTCATCTTACTAGATTTAAACTGATGAGTTAAAATCCAACAATTCTGGATCTCAGACTTCATACTGTACTTCTTGTGATAACACACCCTGAACAATGTGTTTGAGATAGATGATTTATAGTTTTCTGCATGTCGATCCTTTTAAGTTTCCTAATGGCTCTTTTGTAAACTCGGTCAATTTGAATATTTTGGAGTAAAATACTATGTGAAATGTTCCAGTCAATTCTCAGTTACAGCATTACTATAATACACTATCTACCAATAAATATTTGGACACCCATGCCAATATCTGCAGTCATGATATACGTCATGCCCTCCATCGTTAAATATCTTGCAGGAAACAACACTGGCATCAGTCGCATGCAAGATGCCACGAAGTCAAGCGTTATCTGATTTTAGGAAAGATGGCAGGCATCACAGAAATGGCCGATTCTTAAGGGACACATTTAGTGAGCTGAATTACCCCAAATCAACAATGGCCAATGTGAGTCAGAAGTGGAAGTCGAGCAGTGATTGTCGGAATGTGCTCAGATTCGGCAAATCCGCGAAATTGGAAGATATAGATCGATGGGCGCTGTCCAGAGAAATTTAGAAGAACTGAAACCAGCTGATGGCTCACTACCCCATGAGTCTCAAAAAGCATCTAGGAGTGTTGTTTTGATAAATGCCATTCATAAAGAAGCAGATCTGCTTGATTTTCATGGATGTGTTGAGGCCCATAAGCCTTTGATCACAAAATTCAACCACACTGTTAATATGGTAAAAAGCCCGTCGACAGTGGACCGTAAAATCAGTGGAATGGACAAATCAAAGTTCACCCTCTTCTATTCAGATGGCAGGGTCTGTGTCTGGCATCTGCCTGGAGAACGCCTCATGCTAGAATGCATTGTGTTCACAGTAAAGTTCGGCGGAGACGGAATTATGGTATGGGGTGTTTCTCCTGGTATCCCCAAAAGGGACTTTTAGTCTAAATTCGTTGTTAACTTAATGCCGATGCCTGCTACATTATTTTGGATGATAGTTCGCTTCTCACGTTGTGGCAGTTTTACAGATTGGATTCACGTTACTTTTATGAAGACAACGCCAGTTATCATGTTGCAAGGTCCACATTGTATCGGCGTGATGAAAATGGGGTTAACTGAATTAACAGGCCTGTCCAGAATCCTATCTAGAACCTCTGGAACGAGTTGGATTGACGATTGAAGGGGTGCAACATTCATCCAACATACGTGAAGGAACTTACTCGTCTTCTTCAAGCCGAGTTGAAGAAACCAATAGCCATCATACAAAAACTTGAAAAGCATGCTTCGGAAGTTTGAGGCTGTAATTCTTGCTTGAAGAAGCTCTACCGAATATTGGACATGAAAACGTTTTGATTTTCTTTTCTATCACATGTGTCCAAATACTTATTGGTAGATAGTGTATTACGATATTGATATTTCAGCACAATTTTACAGAAAGAACTCTGAAATTTTGCAGTTTTTCAGGATATAGCCTCCACCTCCTACTAAAATTTAAACAACTAACGATATACTGAACAGAGTTAGTTACCATCATTCTTAAAGAAGTGGACTAAATAGAAATTTCCAACATTCGAATTTTTGAGAGAACATAGAAATATTTACAGTGTGCTATATCTAAGTTCCTCTTAAAAGCCCAACTTAATTATATTTTCTGTCTTTGAAAAAAATACTATTTTTATAAGGGGATCAAAATATTGATAATAATGATTCTGGAATAATGATTCTGAAAGATCAGATGATCTTTCCTAGGTCACAATTGAGGTCACCCAATATCCTAAACAAGCTTACCCATTACCCACCACCAAAAACAGGATTTTCTATATTTGCTAGACATTTATCCATGCCAACAAAGAACTTTATGCCATGCAGTAAACTCTAGTAGATTATGAAGAAGTGCAGAGAACCTCTAGCAAATTATGAAAGAAATGAAAATACAGTACAATAATTCACAAATTATTAAAAACCTCTCTATATCTAATACAACAAAACTGAAATTACATATTATAAAAACAGGCATACACACCTCTTTCAAGCCATTCATTCGAGCATTAAAATGTGGGCATTTTAACATACGAAGAATAAACTCAAGGCACAAGGAATTCATCAGGGTCACTTGCTGAGGCCATAAGTGAAGGCACAACAGTTTCATACTTTTCAATAAATCAGATATGGAACATACATTCTGGAAAATACAATTAAAATACCAAATTAACAATGGAATCAAACTTTTAACTACATTTTCATAAATACAAGTCATAAATAAATTATTTACAGCATATAACACAAGATGCTACTGTGTTACATGCTTACTTAAAATAAAAACAAGACATTTATTTTGTTTTGTTGTAAATAAAAACAATATATATATAATTTTTTTTTCTTGATATGAAAATAATATAAAAGTTTCTTCACACATGTAAAAACATAAAAGAAAGATTTAATCTTTCACTGCAATTCACATGTTAACATCACTGAAATTGACGAAAATAAAATTCTTAAAAATTAAGTTTGTTACCTAGAACAATGTTTACAAGTAAATTTAACAAATTACAAATGGCCCATTAATTTGCCTTATACTTGGAGAAGACCCAATATGATACATTACTATGCACTATGATGAAGCAGGAATTTGATTTTGTCTTTTCCTAAAATATCAATGATCAGAATGGACAAATATAACACGGATTCACATATAGTGTATTCAGGCAAAACCGCATTTAAATACAGATATAAAGTAATTTCATATTATTAGCAATAGTTACTGCATTCAGTTTTTAGAAAATATTAACAGAAGCAAGAAAGAAAATGAAGAAGAAAAGGAAAGTAATCATATTTATGGCAAAACTAACCTCAGAACACAATAAAAGCTAGAGATGAGATTACAGGGTTTGTACACATTTCTGCACATGGAAATTAAGTACTTTTACGGACTTTTAAAGACCATTAATGAAAAAATTGAGGGCCTATCAGCAAATGGGAACTGAATAAATTAAATTAAAGATATCATCTACGCCTGAACTCCACTTTCGTAATATCATCCTAAAAATAAAGCAGATCTGTAAGTACTATTAAACATAATTAATGTAATTATTAATAAGTTTGAGAATAAAATAAACTTTATGAAATTTATGAAGTAGCATTAAATATTTTACACTTCTAATAGTTGGACATATTTGAAAGAAGATAAGTGACATTTTATTTACGTTTTACTAACAGTTGGCTTTATGCTGTTTTTTTTTGGGGGGGGGGGTCTCATTTTGTCACAGTCTAGAGGTTTAAACAGCAGGTAGGTTTTATGTCAAGCAGCATAGGTTAAAATGAGAAGTAAAAATGCATGATTCATAAGAAAAGAGTGGTTGTTGTCACCACTGCTGTTTGCCTACAGAGAGACTTGCTGATCAGAAGAAACTTGAAAGGTCTAATCCAGGCACTGTTGGCAAGTTTTGATAGTTCGGCTCTATCTGACATAGTTAGTGTTTTAGCTTTGTGTAGAGTTCCAGAGGTTATAATACTTTAAGGTTCCAATAAGCCAAAGCACCAGAGTGATAAGTTATGTATTATTTCAAGTCCCACTAAATGCAAAGAATAAGTTATACATGAATTTTACATTTTTGAGTTTTATCTTGTGACCACGGTAAGAATGAGTGAAATGTAATAACTCCCTCTAATATGCAGAAATAATTTTTAAGGGTAAGCAGTTAGTTATAAATAATTTAATTAAATTAGCTAGTTAGATAAGTCCTTATGCATTTACATGGCCAATATTAGATTTGATTCATTTTTTTAACAATATTTGTTAAAAAAAGCCCTATTAAAATCACAATGTAATTAAATTTCACAGTTTAAAATATATGTAATTTATGGCATTGATTCTTAAACGATATTAGAATAACTACAGATTAAAACCTGCAAAATATTTATGTTTTGTTGCCAGAAAACATTTATGTTTTGTAGCAGCAACACTCAACAAAATATTTATTTATGCGTCCTTTTAATTTGAAGCCTTCCCAGACATTTTGGCTAATCAATTTCCTTCTCTTTAAGCATCTTTTCTAACAATTAGAAATTTGTCTCAATAGGCAAACCAATGTTCTCAATAGTTTCTGCATGCTTTGTCTCATAACTTGTAAACCTCTTCACAATGTACTACCTATGAGGGTTTATTTGATCTGGTAAAAGTTAAATAGTCCAAAATCCCCACACAGAAGTGAAGCAAATTATTGCTATGTCTGAAAGTAACTACAAAATCAGACAAAGGTTTAAATAAGTATCTTATTTAAATAGAACTTAGACCATTAAAGCATGTTCTTATGCTAACAAAATCAATTTCAGCTCATGGTGATGTAATTAAACAAGAAGAGTCAAATTCAAACTAAAAATGTGAACTCCTGGTCAAAGGCTATACAATATAATTTTAATTTATGCTAGCTCAGTAATTCTATCATCATAACAAATTCAAATGTCAGCAGTGAAAATCCAAAGATATAAATAATTGACCTAAAGACAAATAATTACAAATGATCAGAGATGGCAGGAACTAATGCAGCAAACAAGCGGAGGTCTGTCTTCCACTCCAAAAATCTCAGTTTGAAAACTGTCTAAGTGATTGCATTCTGGTCAGGAAATCGAAATGAGAAATTATAGTAAAGGAGTAAAGGCTGAAATTATAAACAATTGAGTAATTTACATAATAGTAACTGTACATATCTTTGAAGAATAATATTCTTTTTCTTATGTATTTAGTTTCTTTCTTCAACACATTTTCTTTTCATTTTAGAATTTTTGGATTTAAAGATGTCAATTAATGCTAATAGAATGTATATAAAAAGCTACTAATTTTATTTCATTAGTCATTTGAACATTCAGAAGAAATATGAAATATATGTGGTAAGGGCCGGTTACAAAGCTGGTGTGGCAGAATTTTTAGAATTTAGTGACACACCAAGCAACAAAATCTAGAAATGACAAAACTTTTAGAATTTAGAGCAGGCACTAAAAGCATAATTTAGAAAGACACTAGGCAGCAGAATTTAGGATCCATAGAGATTGCATCACGTGGGGAAATGCCCTGTGTATGATGCATTAAGACATATTAGACGAATCTTTGAAATTGTCAGTTTTCAATTTCTTTATTAATGACAAAATTAATTTCTACAATGCCTGTCCATGTCATCAGATTAAAAGCATTTGATATTTTCCATGCTTGTGGCTAGTAAAAAGTAGGAAAAATAAGGGGAAGATAAACATGTTAAGAAAAAGATTTTAGTATCAGAAGAAAAACATTCAAATATTATGTTTTCATTGTTTTTCTAGATGTTCTCCAAAAAGTAAGAAATTCATCACAAACTTTCTGTAAAATACACCCATTGCATGTTAGTACCATGGAGACATTTTTCATTTTGTCACATATTTCTTTAATTTTCTAGAATCATAAATCTAGCCTTCAAATCCTCCTAAACTTTTCAGGCTTCAATGTCTAAAATCGTAACGAAAAATTATTCCTACCAATTCTGTAACAGCAACAAAATTATTTTGAAAAAAAAAGAGGGAAAAAGTGTAAAATTAATTTTATAGAGAAAACTGATGCATAATTTGAGAACTCTGAATATTCTGAGACAATAACATGGGAAAAACTCTTACCATAAAAAAATTAAAAAGATATATTTAATTAATTACATAGCTATTTTGCTTTTGCTAAAACTGTTTCATAAATTGTGCCTTATACCATTATAAATTATTTATTTTTCAGATTCAAAATATTGTATAATAAGAGGCCAAAAATGGAACTATATAATACGACAGGAAAAAAAAAAAAAAAAAAAAAATATTTTAATGTTATTTTTTAACTATAATTTCAGTATGTTTTATGATATATGAAATTTATCAATATATGAAAATAAAAAGTAATAATAAAAATATAAGAATATATGAAATTTAATGTATGAAATTTATCAATGTTACAATGTTTTAAAAAAAAAAATCATCGAAAAATTCCCCGATTTTGGAAATAAAAATTTGTCTCTAGAAACTGATCTCAAAATCACCAAAATGTTGATAAATAGACAAATTTAGAACCATTTAATAAAAGAATTCACATCCCCAAAAGCAAAAAGTTGTTTAAGAGCTCTTCATTAGAAATTAATGAAATAATTTCGAAATGCTAATGTTTCATGTCTTGCTCAGAAACTCAAGTATCCCACCATTTATATTAGAAATAGGAACAAATTATAACCAATTCAAAAGATAACCATATTTGTCAGTGAATAGCGAAAAATATTCCTCCAAAATGCTAATTCACATTAAAAATGGCTGTCGTTAAAATAGACAGAAATTTCTGATGATTAAAATTAAGGACCTTCTACCCATTTTGGTCAAAATTAAGGACTTTTAAGGACCAAAAATCAATTTTGAAAAACCTAAGGACTTTTAAGGCCTCTTAAGGACCGTACGAACCCTGAATTAAATTACTGCTACTGACCACATATTTCCTTGGTACTGCAGTTTTAGTCACTTTAGTTTAAAACTTTAGATCCTCTTTCTTTGTCACTTTACAACAGCAGGTTTACTTTTTCTGATGTATGCAACAGAAAGTATATTCCATTCCATTTTGCAGTGCTTATAATTTCCATCAGTTTCAGAAAAGATTTAAGATGTAAAATTAGATAGATAGTAAGACAGTTAATAACAAAAAGTTAAAAAAGAATAGAATTTGATTTCACATTAAGATATATATATATATATACACATATATAGGGCCGCTGTAACAAATTACGTGTCGAAAGAATCAGATAAGTAAAGTAAGTTTGCTTTTGAATTCCATTTTGATGTCTAATGAAGTTAATTGAAATGTCACATAAAACTGAACAAATATAAAATTCAATGATTTATTTACATATTGCTTTTAATAGTGTTTTAAAACCTTTCAATTAAGCAATATATTTGGGTAGATAAATTAAAAGATCTGAAGTTCTGGCTAATTTATTCACCTGAAACACTTTACCATTTTTTGCATATCCCTTTTATTGATTTTTTTAATATATATTAAAATAAAATATGTACAGATTATAAAATACAAAAGTATACATATTATAAAATACAAAACAATACAGATTATAAAATACAAATTTTGGATAAATAAAAAAAATCTTACTTTTTTCAGAAGAGCAATCTACCCTCCTATACTGATTAATCATTAATTGCAATTTGAAAAATTCAAAAATTAGTACTTATCTCTTTTTAAAATTCTGGTTCATTAAACATCAAATACATCTTATATCTCAGATAAACTGTGGTTAAGTTCATAAATTGATATATAGCTTACAGTCATAACTTAATTCAATATTACATGCAGTACTGCACTAAATCCTTTCAATGCACTTAAAGAAAAATCACCCTCCAACTCCCCCTTTTTTTTAAGTAGCAGCAGGTAGTTTTCTTCCTCCAAGAAACAAAAATTATTTTGCCAGAGTTTCTAGTTCTTAAAAAAAAAAATTTTTTTAAAGGCTTATTTATCTTTTTTAATTCCTCAAATTTCTTTTTTACTGAAAATTAATACCAAAAGTTTTTTTTAATTTAAGAAAATTGGTATGTGATTTTTATGTTTACTATTTTGATGTGCTTAAAAGTAATTTTAAAAAATTTTAAGTTAATGAAAATTATAACATCTCTTAGATTTAACTTTAAAAAACAAATCCTTTCTTGAAGCAAATCCATTTTATTTCATTCATTACTGCAAAGAAGAATAAAATACATATACAAGTTTAGAAAAAAATAGGAGAAAAGCAATCAAGTTAAAATCTAGATTATGAAAAATTACTAGCTCATATAAATATATTCAGCAATATTATAAAAATGAACAATAGTACTGTTACATTACCTTGCTTTTTATATCATTATCAGAGAGACATTTAATGTATTTCACAGCAATATCCATGCAAGTAGATAAGTATGGGTGCACTTTAATAGGATTTAAGAATTCTGCACATTTTGCAAGTGGCGACAACAAAGCTGCCATCCCCTATAAGAAATTATATCAAAATCCATCAAAATATTTGGTATGATACATAACAGAATATATATATTTACCATTTCAAATATATATATAAAATTTTTTTTTAATTTATTTATTGGTTGCTCAAAAGTGTTCATACAATTTTAGACATATTTATTTGCAAGCATACAAGGGGGATATATCACATCTAAGCCCAAGTTCAATAATATTTACTTCACAATTTTTTCATTTTTTATTCTATTTAAGTTAATAATTCAATAAAACTTACAGTATTTTTCAAACAATAAATATTTTATCTTTTAAATAATTTTATGATATTTATTTTAACTACACACATTCATGACTTGGGGGAAAAAGATCCTGGAAGAAAACTTATGTCAAACTTAATTATATTAAATATGTTTTATCATAACAGGTACAATAAAAACTATCGTAAAAAATACTTTATCCACATTTCTGATTTTCAAAGAGAGCATTTGCATATGCAGTTATCATAAAGTAATACATGTCTCTTTTAACTTACAGTTCCAGTAATATCATCACTACTGAAACGTTTCCGGATTTCTAGAAACCCATCTTGTTGGCCAAACTGTAACGAAACAAAATCATTGAAATTACGTATTTTTATAATATCTCACAGTTATAAATACACTGTATAATAGAGATATATTATACAGTTATACTTTATTCAGATAAGTCTTAATAATTAAAAAAGCTGCATTATAAAACATGAATGAGTATCTGTATTTATTTTACAACTTATTCTTCTATGATGTTATTTCTTAAAATAAAATTCCTAACTAAAATTATACTATATACAGCAATGACAACTGCTTAAATTATAATTAAAACAAAAATAATATATATTCATGTTGAGATACAAATATCCACTGTTATTTAATTAACTCAATGCATTTCAACTATCCCATATGCACAGGAAATACCATTCATAGTATGCAACATTCACCACTGAAGCTTCATTCTAAAAAAATGAGAAATCCTACAAAGGTATATACAATGACTGTACATTAAAAATGTTTGATAAACAGTTTAATAATTTAAAGATAATTTCAATCGCCAGAAATTAGAAGAAAATATTAAAAATGATTAGCAATATTTTTACTTTAATCATTTTTATTGCCTATATCATTTAAAATAATTCCAATTTTGTCCAATTTCCTTAAGCAAGATGTACTTAGGATGAAATGATGCACAATGAAACACATTAAAATAATTTTGCATAAAAATATTTATAATAAACGCACTAAAAACTTACTTTATTAATTAAGTCAATAAGCCACCCATATGGTTCCTGAAATGCAAGCAAATATATAAATAAAAATGTTCAATCTACCTAGAAATTTATCACATTTTTATTACAATAAATTTCATTATTAAGAAATGAACAAACACACATTATAAATTATGCAAAACTGCAGGAATTATTATTAATAATAATATTGTATCTTCCCTCCTCTGGAACTTCAATTTAACTTTTAATATCAGCTGAATAAATGCTTTCCAAACATTCTTCCATTCATCTCTTAAATACTGCTTCATGAGACATGCAGGGAAAAAAAAAGATTATTAAGAAGAAAATACATCAGATTCCTCTTGCAAAAATGTATAAAGCTTACCTCTAAAATTACAATCAACCATAGGCTGACTATGCCCAAATTTAATCTTCAAGTAGCTATGCAACTCATGCTTCTAATTTTCTCAATATTAAATATAACTGACAAAATATTTTAATAGCATAGCAAAAGGCAAACTAAATGAAAGCTGACAAAGGTTTAACAAAATTGCATCTTAGCACATATTTATTCTCTAATTAATTGCTGACATTTATCCAGTTAGTGATTGATTAATATGAAAATATTCATAATAGCACATTTTTTATTTTAAGAAATTAATTTTGTTTACAATACAAAGCCTATACTTACATTTAGAAAAATTTTGAATTTGCTATAAAAAATATAAAATTTCATTCTCATTTGACAAAAACTGACTGAAATATAAAAAATCAAGTTCATGCTCAGGGACCATACACAAACTGAACAGCAAAATGTTTGCATTTCTGCAAAATTAAAAATAAAATATTGTTTAGAAAAAAGTTTTTTGATGTTAGAGATTACATGACAAACATTTCTATGCAGAACACTGAAAAAATATTGGACAACATAACCCTTTTTTTTTTTTTTTTTTTTTTTTTTTTTTTTTTTTCAGAAAGGAGACCTTACTCACAGAATCTCATGGGACTCATGTTCTAGAAGACTTTGGCAGGCTTCAGCTATAAGTTGCCAAGTAGCCAACTCATAATATTATTAGCATTAATTAAAAATAAAAAATATTTCTACCTGATTTTTTTTTTCATTTACTAAATTATGATTCTACAGTAATAAAACTTCATGACAATAGTAATAAGATATTTTTAAACTTTAAAAACTTATAAATTACTTGTGTGAAAATTTTTTCAACGTGTCAAATGTAATGAAATTATAAATAAAGACACTAGTAAATCACAAAGAATAGCATTGAACGGCATTTAAGTACGAAAAAAAAAACTACAAATTACCGTAATTTACTTTTAAACCAACTTGATGCAAATTTAAAATGATGTCAAATATCACAAATTTTGAAATTAAATATGAGTCAACTTCTGTCATGTGAAAATGAAACATTTTGTACTTTATAACAAATATAAAATTTTCCTGAATTATAAATACACTGCTCAGAGGAACATGTAAAAAACTGGATTTCCTACTTTATACAACTAATTTCGTAAAATTAAAAGACAGTAAAACATGAATCTTTGCATAATTTAAAACTTTTTTGTAAGCAGAAGTATACATCTATGACCAATGGTTAAGAAAATAAATGCCAGATAAGGACTTTAATGAACACAGTGTATATCAAATATATATGGCAGCCAATGGTACTAAAAATTCATTGTGAAAGATGCTTAAAAAATTGAAAAAGTTCAGATATTGTTATGCTAGCAAGGAAGTTTTCATTTTCATATCATTACATATTTCAGGATACTAAACTTCAGTTATTTACATCACAAATACAAGACTCCAGTCAACTAGAAAATAATCTCAACTTCTCGAGTAAAATGTTATCTATTAAAGACTATCCATTAATGGCTAAGTACACAATACGTACTTCTGTTAAACTCTTAAAATAAGTTAAAAATGTAATACAGTATAAAGTTCGAGATCCAGACGTCCAATATCAGGATCAGGAATGATTTAAAATCTGGTCCTCAAAACTGCCAACAATTTTTCCCCCCTTGTAAAAAAATCATAATGGGGTAATAGAGTTTGACAGCTGATGAAAAAGAAAGTGTCGCATTTCATTTCTCTGGAAATATGGAATTTTGGCCAACAGTACAGAATGTAAAAATTGGTATTCCATAAAGTTGTACTTCTAAAATGATCAAATTTTAAGGATCAAAATTTATGAATGATGCCAAATTTGTGCAATTTTTTTTTAAGCAAAAAAATATTACTGTGTACATATATGGAAATCTTACTGCACTGTCAATTTCAAAATGGCTGTTGTCTTTCAAGTACTGGAGTAACGAAAAATTAATCACCAACCAGCGACTTTTTTTTTAAAAAAAAAACTAAGCAAATAATCAAAACACAGCAAAAAAAAATTTCAGTGCTTCATAAACATTTGCTCCCCTCCCCTTTTTAAATCACACACACTTGGAAGAAACATAACCTTACACTTACCTGTATTCATAAGCATTAAAAAGTTTATATTTTAGAAGAACTGCATCACGATGCCCATTTCTAAGTACATTCTTTTACTTAAAAACACATGAAAGCCAAATATAATCTTAAAAGCAACACTCCTTAAGATCAAATAAGAACAAAAAACTATTATATAACAATTTTAAAATTTAAATGGTGAAAAATACAAAATAACAAAACATTACACGCAACTTACAAGTCCACTTTGACTGACTGCAAATGCTGGACCAGGACCAAACATATCCAACCATTGGTTAGATGAACAAGGTTTATGTTTATTTTTAATGTGGAACTCAGACTCTGGATCAAAAGCCTAAAATAATGAACCAACAAGAAATTAATGCAAATGTTCCATTAGATATATTTCAATGTTACATATACACAAACAGCACTTAAAATATACCTGAAATTTCTTAAAGATTAGAATTGAAACATTATATTTGTAATTAATGTTCTATATAGAAATGTGTCTATCTACAGACATGTCTAACCCAAGGAAAGACCCATGCTGCAAACCAAGAATGAAATGGTAAATGCAAATTACATTTAATTTGATACGTCCTTGTTAAAGCAGCCATTGCACTTAAATCAGTAAAGCTGACCAAACTTTGCAAATTTAAAGTTTCATCAAAAACTTATGCAATCTTCGTTTTAATTGCTTTGCTCTCAGCATATCGTATATGATACAGCTTAGCGCCCTCCGTGGGCCCACGATATCAAATATGATACAAGATCGAAGTGTCACAGACAGCCTACTGTATATACTAAATAGAATCTTTAGACTGATACCATTATTGTGGTCAATAAAATTTATTATTTTACTCTATGAAAGTAAAATGTGCTATGCTAATAATGAACACTCATAATTTAGAAATGTTTCATGCAATGTAAGCAAATTAGAATTTTTTTTAGGTAAATATGACAATAAGACATAATAGGCACATTTCAAATTCTTAATTTTTTACTCCATTACTGTACAGAGATAATTTAAATTTGGAAATATAAACATTAATACTAATACAGCACTTATTCTGAATTTTTATTTCAAGTATTTTCTGGTAATTTTCTGGTTATGTAATAAGAAAAATTATTGAAGTAACATATGCAAGAATAAATATTTAGATAAAGGCTTTATAGGAATTATTTTTGCATGTTAGGCTTAATTGCAAAATGTGCTGATGCATACGAAGACATACAGCACTCTGAGAACATAGGCACACAGAGGACTCTTGTTCACTCATCATCGGGAGCGAAGAATTTAACAAGGAAGTACCCTTAATTTTAAAAACTCTGCATATTTATAAGGGATCTTGAAATGAATGTATTTGGAAACACCCCATGTGCACATCTCAGAATTAAGAAGAAAACTGCACCTAAAATTAAGAGTAAGAAATATTAGTTACTCTTTTTTTACTTCCTTGTACGAAGTAAAATGGAAGTATTGTAATCCCGAAAAGTTTCAGGCAGCATATTTCAACGAAAATATCCGTTTTCACTGCTATCGAATGCAATTTAACAATGTTTTTGCATGATATCTGTACGTAAGGACAGAATAAAATACTCTTTTCCTTCAAAAAATTATAAAACTGTTTTGAATTCTGAAGAGAATTTTTCGTGGCGTCTGTACGAACGTATGTACGTACGTGCGTTCGTATCTTGCATAACTCAAAAATGAATAGCCTCAGAACGTTGAAATTTTGTATATAGGACTGCTATAACATGTAGATGTGCACCTCATATTCTGGTTGCAATCGGCCGCACCAAACGTATATAAATATATTTATATATATATCCACTCTGTTACCCGGCTCAGTGATCTCAATTTCTTTACTCTTATATGTTTGTAAATTGTACATTTTTTGCTTTAAAAATGATTGCATTATGTTGTTTTTATCTTCCAGTTAAGTTTTTTATGCCTTTAGTAAATCTGTGTGCAATATTTTTAGAATTATCAACAATTTTAAAGTTGTCTAAGTGCCGCTAAGCCTTTTTTTAATGGAGGCCATTGATGTTTACATTTCAAACAGGAGACTAGTGGAGTTGTTGCCAATCTAGAGAAACTTAGCTTCGCAACAACAAAGATAATGCATTTATTTATTATTGCCAATTAAATCATGCTTAGTTCTTTCTGGAATTTTTCCGAGGAAATAAGTGCTTAAGATTTACTTCGTAATTTTTAATATAGATATTTTGAGTTTTTATGTATTTTTGCCTTCTCGCGAAGTGAGAACTGAATTAATTAAATGAAAAATATTCAATCGTCTGTGAAAAACTGCTTCTTTTTTGTTTTGTTTGCTTAATTTCTTTTATACATCATTCTAGCTTTATTATAGTATTTGAATAGAACATGTGGCAATGATTAGATAATTCTATTCTTTAAATGATATAAATTTTGTGCATTATGAGTTATAATATGAACGGGATATATAAGTTAACTGTTATATAATTATTTTATTATATAACAGTTAACTTAGTTTCTGTTATATAATTATTATATAAGTTAACTGTTATATAATTATTAATACTGTTAAGTTAATCTAGCACCAGAGTGTCGCCATGGTAAACAAATACTAGAGTAAATTTTAAAGAATGCATTTATTCTATTGTGGTTTATGCGCTGTCGGCGAAGTAGATTTAATTCAATCCAAAAAGTTTAAATGAAATGCAAGAAAAAATGTGTATAATTTAATATTGCAATACAAGGAAGTCGTGGTGTACACATCAGATTTTTTTTCTGAAAATTCTGATGTCAATTAGTAACCTAACAGTAAAACAAGAAAGTAGAAGTTTTTGATTATTATACTTTTCTTTGAACTTTTTTGAAACTGAAACATGTTATTTATTTTTAAAAACTTTGTTACATGAGAGAAAACTGGAAATCACAATTGAGTCAATTTGGGGTTACCATGGAAAGGGAAAACTAGTTCTCCATACAAATGACGGTTGATAGCGCGGAATTCGATGCTGATAGCTGACTGGTTGCAAAAAACAAACAACTTACAGTTTTTTGATAAAAGGAAGGTAAAAAATCTTGTATCTTTCTTTCAGTGGTAAAGAAGGTAGAAAAATTAATTGAAAATTTTTCATCTGAAACAAATGGATGAATGATACCAGCCTTAGTGTTAGTATGCAGCACTTGAGTTGAAAGAGTATTACAGCAAAACCTCCCTACACAAACTGTCTTCTGTGGAGGTGGTCATTTTACAGAAAATGATTAATTATGATCTTTAATATTATCATTTAACCATGCTATTATCAATACTGGCAACTTTCAGAAGTAGCCATGACAAGGAAAAGTAGTCACAACACTATATTATGCACATTAAAGTAATTCCTACCTTTTCTAAAACTTGGCACAGTGTCTCTGGCACAGGATCATGCTTTAACCGTGCAGTAACTAAATTTACTAATAAATGTAACATACAGCGAACTCCTTCTTGGACATCTAAACCCCAAGACCGAACTGCTCCAGATGTCAGTAGCTAGAAAAATTAAGAGCAATTAATATAATGCTGCATCAGAATGCTAACTGTTCCAAATGTTTACAAATAAACATAATCTATATGACAATCATTATTCTGTTCCTTTATAAAGGAATGCTTATTTGCATAACAATAACTTACATTTGAAAATGAAAAAATAAATTAAACTTGAACTCTTTCTATAAAATGCATCTAATCTAATCACATAGATCAAGAATGTAATATTTACAGTTTATTTCATTATAAAATTAACTTATTATTCCTCCCATTCCACGTTTAACACATTTGCTAGTGATCACATGCTGCTGTTATTGTGGTGGTATAATCTAATACCCCACATACCTATTTTGGCACCAAATATATTAAACGGCAAATGGGAGATGAGGCAATATCCAAAAAGTCAAATCATGGTGCTCATGAATTACTGTCTATCACATTTTATACCTAATCAACAGGAATAAGTATTTAAATATTGATACTTATGTACACTATTTTCAACAACAAAAACTGTGATGAAAAGAGTGCTTTTTCAGTACAGTCAAAAGTCGTTAATCCGGACTCGTCGGGACTTCGGCGATTCCGGATTATAGATCATCAGTTTAAATCTGGTAAGACGGCATGCAGAAATTATAAAATTAAAAATATGAAACCGTAATTTATGAAATAAAGAACAATTATGATCTAAAGGGTATCAAAATTTACAAAAAAAAGCTTAATATTTATTTGTTTACTTTATTAAACATTTCTTTCAATGTTATTAAACATTTCTTTCAATGTATTTCTTTCAATGTAAAAGTTGTTTAAGTTGCTTCGTTTTTTATGTGATAATACATTCTCTTTAATTCTTTAAACAGACATAATTTCTTATTCAGTTACAAAGTTCCGCTGTTCAAGTTCCATAATTGCTGTGTCGAGAATACCGACTAATTTGTCAATTGAAATTTTTTCATTTTCAATAACCTCTGTCACTTTTCGCTATCGGAAGCGAATTATAATGACGAGGAATTTGATTTAAATCATATCAAAGATGGGGTACATCAAGATGAAATACTACATTTAATAAGGAATTATAAGCCAAATAAAATAAAAACATCTGCCCTGAAGATAAGGATAGTGCTGACAGATCAACTTCCAATTCATTGCGCGGCGCCGCGGCGTTAAAGATAAACAAAATTTAGATAAACAAACGTTAAAGTTTAGATAAGCAAAGGATATGCCTTTATCCATTTTTTGTAGCAATTCCACTTTTTGTTTAATGAACTTCAAAACATACTTTCGCTTTGTAGATCATTTACATATTAATAAATATATATCAGAAATTCTATTTGACATAATCGAAAGTTCAAGCTTACTTTTATAAAATTGCTCTAACAGTCTGCAAAAAATGATAAGCCGGATCCAATTCGAAGATTAAGGAACAACGCAATCTGCAACATTAACTGAAATAGATAATTAAATAATTTTAGCTTAGCTTTTACCGTCCATTATACATTAAACGCGCACTCGTAAACGTATTTTGCGCACGCGCACAAGCATATTCTCAGCAGTAAAGGCCTTACGTGCATGCGTCAACGCGATGCATGCTCAGAAAGTTTGAAGCTTTGAGGTCCGGATTATGGGTGTCCGAATTAACGACTTTTGACTGTACTAGTAATGGATATGTCTGACATCAAAACACACTCAAAAGATCTTTATTTTGGTTACACATAACCACAATCTTCAGTCAGTCTGTTTAGCTTCCAAAAAGAATTGTAAGAGATGCTATTTCTTGTCATTTTTTTTTTTTTTTTTTTTTTTTTTGGTCACCTTTTTTTTAAGGGGGAATGATTAAAATTTTAAACCTACCTTCTAGAGAACAGCAAGGAGACTTTTTTTCAAAATTAATGCAACAAGTTATACTGGTGAACATTTACTCAAACCACTGAGATATCCCAGCATTTAGCAAAATGGGGTAGTAAAAAACATCTAGCAACCATTATCACTTACATTTATATTTAATGAAATTTATATTGTGCACAAAAATGATTTATATTGTGCACAAAGATGTGCACAAAGATAAAGTTCACAAAAATGATGACTATTTGGAGGGGGGGGGGAATTCCATTACCTTTCAGAGCTGATGGGAAAATACATAAGAATTCTGCTCCATTTATCTGAATTTTATGATGTTTTAAAACTGTAAAGTGCCTTTTTCTAATTATCATCCAAAAAAAAACATAATTATTTTTAAAATATTATTTAATTAATTTGAATAAATTATTGCATTGTCTTGTGCATGCTCTCATGATTTAGTAGCAGGATGTCCATCTAGCATTAAAAAATCTGGTTTCAATCTCAATGAAAGCATAGCTGATTTTTGTATTTCCTGCTCCAAAAACATAATATTTTCACAAATAATAACAGACAAATTTAATTAATAAATTTTCTAGTAATCCATTAGTAAATTCTTTTTTCCTTTTTATTTTTGATAAGTTATTTATTTTTCTCTCCTTATTTTTGATAAGTTATTACGTTTTTTGCCACAAGAAACTTGAAAATACAATTACACCATCACCAAGAAATACACCAAGATCAAACTGCTAGGTGTATGTGCTAAGCACCTTCTTGCAAGAAGATGTGAATCACACAGTTAAATTTCTTACATGTAAAAAGAAAAGGGAGAGATAATCTGATCAGTCAAATTTAGATGGCAATTAAAGTGACTTTCCCTCTTTTATAAAATGTATCTAATAATCCATTCTATATACATTAAGCAAAAAATGCACGATTTACCAATATATAAGAATAAAAAAAAATTGAGCTCATTAAACCAGGAAACAAAGTGAATACATATATAAACATGTGTGTGTAAAGTAGGAATTTATATACATATGAAATTGTGTGGAAATAAGTAACATATTAAGGAGAGAGGTAAAATATAGCAATTACAGTAGCACTTATTTCTTACTAGTTTCTGGTAGTTATAGATCTGAAGATGCTGATCATGTAGCTTTAAAAAGGTTTTCCTTCCCTTCCTGAATAAAGCTGATGCTGAGCTGTACATTGTTGTTTTTCACTTTGTTACTTTGATGAGGAAGTAGATTTTATATATATATATACATGTTCGGCGCAGCTGATTGCAATGAAAATGGGAGATGCACAAGTAGATGTTGTAAGTTCCACATACAAATTTAAACACTCTACAGTGAGGACAAGATTTACTTTCTTTTTATAAGAAAGAAATTTCTACAGAATAGAAATTGCAAACACTTGAGCTTCAATACTTCTCGCAGCCACTCATGTTAATTACCATTTACGCATTATAATATTAAATTTTATTTACTAGATTACATAATTTACATATTAAATATAGTGACTCCTCATATTTTATAGATAATATAATAGAAGATGATAGAATACTACAGTTACTAACTAAAGGGGGAAAATATTTAACAAAGTTTAAAAAAAAAAAAAAAAAGAAATGCAAAATATTTTTTACAGCAATAAGGAACATTTACTTTGACAGAATAAATTTTATCAAGTTATGACTAAGGGAAAAAACTAACACTTGCCTATGAAATTGAGGATTTTGTGTAAATTTCCTTTACTGTGTACAACCTTTTGCTTGGTGCTTTTTAATAAAATCAATGTGAGAATTTTGCCATTGAAGTCGTTTTCTTTTTTATGCACTCAATTTCAATACTTGTTTTTATTCAATGTGTATTCATCTGAATACACTCATGGTTGAAAACAAATTATTCAACAGTTATTGCTAGTAACAAAGTATCTCACTGTATGTCATGGCCAAGCAATTAAAACATTATTCATGTCATAAGGAAATTGCATTATTTTAATTCAAAATGATCATGACAGTTTCTGTTTCATGTACTACTTTCTTTCTGCAACTAATGAAACAACATAAAGTTCATATACTAATTTTTTTCCCCCCTGTGATAAGCATTGACTGTTGAAAGTGCTGTATTGATGAAAAAAAGAAAACCTCAAAATGATACATTAAAGATTAAAGAAAAGTTGAGATGGACCTTGTCTATTACAAAAATCTGAAGCAGACATGGTAGAAGAATTTCATTGTATTTGCAGTATTTGCAATAAGACAATTCTCTATTGATGAAAACTACAGGATTTGATGTTATTCATATTAGAAATAAATTACACTGCAGCCATTATCTGCATACTGTCAGAACTTAAAGAAGCAGCCAGAAGAGTATTATAGCAATGACAGGATCTTAAATGAAGTCTTGTAGGCCACTTCTTGGAAGTGTATGCAACTGGTAACAGAAAGAGCCTGTAGTGATACACTTTTGCTACCTCCAAAAGCAAATAACTGCAGTTTGTGTCACCAGAAGATGCAATTTACATGCGTGCCAACCACACCCATAGGCAAGGTCCCTTTAGATGGCTATTCAGACATGATGACACTTAGGAATGTATCTCTAGATCTTCCTTGTCCTGAAAACAAAAAACTAAGTAACAGCAGTTTTCCAGCCATGTCATTTAATAAAATGTTTAATCACAGCCAAGAAAATGGGTACACGATATCCTCTAATTTAACAATCTAATAATACCAATGCAATGGGGCCATAGCAGAACTTTAAACACAAGTCCAATCTTTCAATAATCACACAGCTGTGCTAAAGGAAAAGTGCATAAAGTGTGATTGCTATTTTTGTATAAAAAGTAGCCACGATGAAAGAAAATAGCAATCTCATCAAAGTAAACTGCTGACTGAAACCTAACACTTTGTGTAGACAACCAGCTATTATAAATAAGACAATACAAGATGTACCACAAACAAAACACTGTGAATCATGAATTTAATTTTGTTAGTATGAAAGTCAATATTTACAGGAAAGAGATTATGTGAATCTACAAAATGGCAAAATAAAAAATAAAAGTAAAAAAAAAAAAAAAAAAAAAAATCTACAGCTTAGCATCAGCCCTCATTCAGACCCAGCAGAGTTTAAATGGGACCAGTAAGCAGAGAAGGAAAATTCTTTTAAAGCTACATTAGCAGCACCTACAAATCTATAACTGTCAGAAACTAAAAAGAAACAAGTGCTACTGTAATTAGGTTGTATTTTACTTTTACCTGTAATATTTTAGTTACTTCTGCACATTTTCTGATTGAAAGTTATTTTCACACATATTTAGCTCAGTGATTTTTGATTTCCTATCAAAGTGGTCATTATTATACTATGTACAGAGTAATCTAGTATAGCATAGTATAGCATTTATTCTGAGCTAGGTTACTTGATGCATTAAGTTTCAAAACATCACATTAAGCTTTGTAAAGGCCCTACCAGTGGCTGAATGGTTAAGATCATTAAATGCTGGAAAGAAAAGAAAAGTTAGAAAAGTAAAGTCTTCACATTATGGGCTTATCATGACAACTGGAATATAGTAGGACCTGGGTTAATAACAGCAAAGTCAAGAAAAATATACATAAAATAGAAAAAAATACATAAAAGGAAAACTATAAAACCTTCTAAACATCCTTCTCTATTTGACCTTTCAGATAAAAAATTCATATTTTTAAAAAAATTTATACAGTGTAGACTACCCCAGCTTTTCTAATAGATTGTTAATGAAATTAAATGGAATTTCATTTTCTTTTAGAATTTTAGTGAGAATTATAATTTCTTCTTGTTGTTCTACTTCAGTGCAAACTTTTTTAATTCTGTTATTCTGTTTATTAATTAATAACTGCATTTGCTATAACTTTTTTACAGAGTTAGAGTACTAATTTATAAGTTTTATTTGAAGTTCCAATTTGTAAGATTTATTTTATAAAAATTAAATTATCTTCTTTTATCAAAAAGTCGTACAGTACAAAGTCCGAAATCCGGACTCGTCGGGACTTCGGCGATTCCGGATTTGGGATTTTTCCGGATAATAGATCATCAATTTAAATCTGGTAAGATGGTATGCAGAAATTATACAATTAAAAATATGAAATTGTAATTTATGAAATAAAGAACAATTATGATCTAAAGGGTATCAAAATTTACAAAAAAAAAAGCTTAATATTTATTTGTTTGCTTTATTAAACATTTCTTTCAATGCAAGTTGTTTAAGTTGCTTCCATAAAAAATTCAAAAAGTTCCTTTTTCTCATGTCACATACAGTTGACTTTCCAATGCCATACTCCTCACATAATTTTGAGACAGATATGCCTTTATCCAATTTTTGCAGCAATTCCTTTTTTTTGTTTAATGGACATCGAAACATGGTTTTGCTTTGTAAATTCTTTGGCAACTCCAGAACTGGAAACTCTTTTTGATATAATCGAAAGTTCAAGCTTAATTTTTATAAAATTGCTTTAACAATCTGCAAAAAATAATAAGCTGGATCAAATTAGAAGATTAAGGAGCAGTGCAGTTAACTGTTGCAGACTGCTACAGTTAACTTAGAATCAGTTAAGATAATTTTAGCCTAGCTTAATAGCGTCCGTTATACATTATTTGCTGTGTATCACAAGATTGGCGACGAAAGCCAAGTTATTCCACTAAATTTTCTCTTGCTCCTATTGAGTACTGAATTAAGCCTGAATTGTATTAGTTATTTATTATACCTTCGTTTATTTCTTGCACAAGCTTAAAACTAATCTGAGTCCTAAATAAATAAACTCCAATTTGTAAACTTAAGGCTTTATCTAGGGACGGCGTTAGATATCGCCTGGTGCAGTCTCTAAATTCTGCTACAAAGCGCCTTCCTAAGTTCTAGATTTTCCGCACGTCTAAACTTTGGATCCCAATGCTTTTCCCCCTAAATTATAAAAAACTTCTCATCCCTTAATTTTGCTGCTCGGTTAATTATATATTGGTTTATTATTTGGGTGCTTCCCCAAATTCCAAACATTGTGTCTTCCCTAAATTCTGCCACCGCTTCTCGGTTTATGGTGAATAACATATCAGTTATTCTTAATTAAATAGCACTAAATGTAAATTTTTGGCCTATGAGTTCCATTAACAAAATTTATTTTTAGCACATGAAAAGAAATAAAGAAATTTTTGTTGAATTTTTCATCGTCAACATTTCTTAGAGCATTTAAAAAATCTACAATCATCGCCAAGCGTAATGTTAGCAGAAAAGGTTGCCTTACTCTTGTCATTCAAATACTAATATATAAAACAAAAGTTTAGACATCACTGCATGAGTTATTACTGAAGCTGTCATGTATTGATAAAAATGCAGTGTTGAAAGCAAAATATAATAAATAATGACTCGCCAGGTCGGCATCAGGGATATAATATAGATGAATGTTTCAGTTTGAGATGTAATGCCAAACTGTTAATCTCACAAATGTATGCTTACATGATTGTTTTTTCATAACGATGTACAGTCAAAAGTCTTTATCCGGACTCGTCGGGAATTCGGCGATTCCGGATTATCGATTTTTCCGGATTATAGATCATCAGTTTAAATCTGGTAAGATGGCATGCAGAAATTATAAAATTAAAAATATGAAACCTTAATTTATAAAATAATGAGCAATTATGATCTAAAGGGTATCCAAATTTACCAAAAAAAAAAGCCTAATATTTATTTGTTTACTTTATTAAACATTTCTTTTAACGCGCGGATGCTTAAAGCATACCTTACTCATAGCCGAAATTAGAAAATTGCAACCAGAAAACTATGTGATTTGTATTCGTGATATTTATAATGACGAGGAATTTGATTTAAATCATATCAAAGGCGGAGTACATCGAAATTAAATACTACATTTAGTAAGGAATTATAAGCCGACTAAAATAAAAACATCTGCCCTGAAGATAACGATAGTGTTGACAGATCAACTTCCAGTTCATTGCGCGCCGCGACGTGCCCCCCCCCCCCACGCAGAGCAGCGTGAAATTGATAAACAGATTTCGGAACGGTTAGATAAACAAAGGATATGCTTTTATCCATTTTTTGTAGCAATTCGTTTTTTGTTTGATGGACATCGAAACATACTTTCGTTTTCTAGATCCTTTGGGAGCTCCAGCATCGGAAATTCTATTTGACATAATCGAAAGTTCAAGCGTACTTTTAGAAAATTGCTCTTACAGTCTGCAAAAAATAATAAGCCGGATCCAATTTGAAGATTAAGGAACAACGCAATTATCAACATTAACTGAAATAGATAATTAGATAATTTTAGCTTTTACCGTCCGTTATACATTAAACGCGCACGCGAAAATGTATTCTGCACTTGAGCAGATGCATATGCGCAGTCGTAAATGTCTTGCGCGCACGAGTAAAACGCCTATGCGCATGCGTCAATGCGGCGCGTGTGCAGAAAGATTTTAGCTTTGAGGTCCGGATTATAGATCATTCCGGATTACGGGTGTCCGAATTAACGACTTTTGACTGTATTTTCTTTAGTGCCTAAGTGAAATTAAGAATCGGAATTTTTAAGAAAAATCTCCACACGTTTTATTATGGAAGGAAAAATCAAATGTGCATGCGTAAAGCATACCAAAAAGAAAAATTTGTGCCTTTGAGGTCCGGATTTTAGATCATTTCGGATAATGGACGTTCGGATTTCGTACTTTGTACTGTATTTCTTTAAGATTGTGAATGCTTAAGTCTATTACTAATCGATTTTTATTGGTTAAGTTTTAAACAGCTGGGGTAGATGTTGCTAAATTTTTTACTTTTTGTCTATATATATATATTACATTGTTCATTATAAAATTATTACATTGTTACATTGTTTATTGTCTTATATTTAACCATAATTTTACGTACTTTTTTAAAAGCTTCAGGTAAGCAGCGTTCAACAAATCTTCTGCAGCTATCATGAGCTTCACAAAGACCTTAAATAAAATTTATCAAATCAGAAAACAAAATATATGAATAGAAAAAATGATAACAATCACTTACTACAAAAAGCAAAACATTCACTACTATAAAAAAAGGACAGTTTTTTAAGCATTCTAAGAAAATGATTTCAGCAATTTATCATTCACTGGCACAGAACAAATATAATTAACTACAGATGAAAATAAAATTCAAAATGTCCAAAATTAAAGATCAGTATTTTTTTAATGAATAAATAAGACAAAGATTTAAAGGAAACAAATACAAATTTATGAACAATAATAAACAGCTACACATTTATCAAAAAAGAACAATAATAAAATTACATTACAACATTTTCTCCACTTCTTAATAATGTTCCTTAGATGTTCATTATAAATTTCACGACTGAATAATTCCACTATCATGACAATTTTTTAAGCAAGTTAATTGTAATTATCGGTTAATAATACCACTTTACCCTTTGACTGTGGGTACAAAATTCACGAAAACGAGAATTCAATTCAAATGATATCATACATGAAATTATAAATGGAAAATGGAATCCTATATTGAAGGAGAAATAGTGGTTGTGAATTTATATACCACAAAACTTAAATACCAGTGTGATAAGAATGTTCCCAGCATATATTTACAATTAACAGTAAATGTGTTATTTACGGGTACCATGTTAGAGAACTAAGAAATGAAAAGAGTATTTTTTATTGTATCATTTTAAATTACTGATATTCAGTGTCTCACATCTGTTTGCACACACTTATATTTTTTTAATTTCATTTGAACACATCAGTTACTAAATACTAGTGAAATGACTAGTTCCCCCCCCCCCATATACTAACAATTATCATTTTTAAACCTGCTTGTCTTGATAAACAAATTATTCAAAATCTTTTTGGCAGACAAAATAATTTGGTAAAAGTATATTTTAGGGTACCCCTTGGCGAAACTTGGCGATTTTTAGCGGTAAATGGATACCGATTTTGTGCAATTCTTTGACTTTTTATTTTGGCTTGCGTAGCGGCAGTTTTTGGCCCAAAATTCTACACAAAGCCAAAATAGCAAGACAAATAATTGCACAAACTCGGTATCCATGTACATATCAACCTATTTTCACTTAAAAACACATCTAAGAATTGCACAAAAGGCATTGTGCCATCTCTTGACTTTATCCATGTACACATCGACATATTTTCACTTAAAACGTCAAAGGAGCAGCCAACAAAAAATATATAATCTGAATAAACTACATTTTAAATCAAACAATGAAATAACATAAAAAAGGAAATTCATCTTAGTACTACACAAAGGAAATATCCACTTACCTTATTTATGAATTTACGCGTCTTCAGTCAAACAAAATTCCTTAACAGCATCCAAACTATCTGAACTAGAATCTGTATACTGGTGTCACCACATAAATTCCCAAAATAAGAGTAAAAAATATCCCATGTTCGACCATATGCATTTCCTTCCTCCCAACCGGACACATAATAATAACTACTAAGTAAACGTTGATTTACACACCAGTCAATTAATGCTTTTTTCTCTTTCCTTCCAAATCCTACAGAAACTTCAAATTAATCTTACCGCATTCAGCCAATTTACCATATAAATCACAAAATAACAACATACTAATCCATCACACACAAGCCCTTACCCAAAATCCGACACACACTTTCCAAATTTTTTCCCATGATTCAAATTCGCCGCAACCAATTACATCATAATAGAGTTTCCATAGACTTTAACTACTCAGGTTGTCATAAATGAGACACCAACTTGGTGATAAATGAAACAATAATTTTGCGATAATACAAGGGGTACCCTAAAGTCAACTCTAACCAATAATTTATTTGAAAAGTTCTGAAAATGAATTCATATAAATATTTAGATAATTTATAAAAAAAAAGTATTTATTTAATAAAGACATGAAAATAACCAGGCATTCAGTATTTTATTGGATATCATTTAACTTAAATTACACTTTTTATATGCTTTGGCAAGGATTCAATTAATTTTTTTCACGTAAGAATGCTCCATTCCTTTATAAGAAATACTTTTAGTAGAACTTTCAAAGAAATATTATATTTTCCAACTCACTCCTTGCATATTCGATAGAATTTAAGGGGTATCAGCAACCATTATACCAACAATGTTAAATTGGCCATTTTCAATGTACCTTTTCTCAAAATCTGCTGCAGATACATCTGCTTTTTTGTATCTGCTGTAGATACATTTGCTTTTTAGATACATCTGCAATCTTCTTTTTCGTGTGATTAAGTATACCTATCTGATTATACCAAAATGAGCTTTTGAAACATTTTGAATTTTAGAGTAATTTACAGAATATTTTGTTAGGTATAGTAAAATTTAGCATTTTTCTCACACACAATTCTCTTTCTTAGTTTATTACAAAAAGCTCATTTCAGTAAATATTAGGAAACCTAATAAATAAGCCATAAAAATTTTAGATAACTGTGAGCAGTAATTCCTGAGAAAAGGTACATTGAGTATAAAAAAATCATGTTTGGAGAAAAACGTATTTTTATATAGAAATCCTCATTGATCAAAACATTCGATGACAAATTAAAACTAGATTTTTTACAGTTCAAATTTTCATAGAGATTAAAGAGTGGTATTTTTAGAAAGATAAAAGTGTAGAGAATTTGAAAATGTAAAAATCCGAAATCACAATTATTTTAAGAATTTGGGGTTCCAACACCTTAAACCGCAAAGTTATGAAGCTGTTTAATTTTTTTATTTATTTTTAGTCCAAAGGGGCTTTGTCCCTGAAGGACTATTGTTTTCGTTTTGCGATTTTGCGTCGGACTCATAAACGTCGGTTCACTTTCAAACGTGTGCCACACAAATGTTAGAGTCCTGCATTATATTTGAAGAAATTAAATAATGAAAAATCTGCATAAATGATTGTCTATTTCTGGCATTGTGATAAAACAATGGTACATAGAGCCATCGAATTTGAATGACAAAATCCTACTGCGAATGGGCATCTGAAATCCCAAATTTGGAATTGTTTTATTATAGATTTATATTTTGTAAAACGTTAACGAATTTTTGATTTACAAACTCAATGCTTTAAAAGCGAGAAATGGCAACGTTATATAGAAAAAAATACTTTTATCTCCAGCTTGCGAGACTGTGTATATCGGAAATTCTAAAGATATGCTTAATTTAACATTATTTTGCGATATTGCTCTTGAACTGAATTTTATGGTTTAAGTGCAAAGAACATGATATTTAATAAATAAAGGTAACGCTCAAAACGTTAAAAAAACGCCCCTTTGCGTCCAAAGAAATATTATATTCAAAGAAATCCATCACACACAAGCTGAAACTAATTTATAACTAAACACACAAGCTGAAGCTAATTTAAAATCTGAAACATTTCAGATTTTTTTTTTTTTTTTTTTTTTTTTAATTTTAGGACAGTTGCATAATAATTACAAACAAACATTTAGGGTTGTATGTTTATATGATGGTTAACCTGATAGAAATTAAATCTACTCTGGATTTGTTTTGAATCTACTCTGGACTTGTTTTGTTGTAATGTTTTCAGAACTTCATTAAAAATATTTATATGTATGTTTATAATGATCCATATTATTTTCTATAAAAACCAAATTTCCCTTGCTATAAGCAACAAGACATCTTTAAATCAATGTGTCTTCATCCCTGTGCTTAATAGCAGGTAACATGTTTTTTGCATTCAATTCTTCATTCGACTTTCACCACACAGTAATTCACCAACTGGACTCTTAATATATTGAACTTTGACTTGTCTACAAATATAACATTGTGGCATTTGATAAATATTTGCTAACTATGGAGTTTACAAAAGCAGGTGTACTTTCCTTGTTGGAGAAAATTTTCGTTCTAGCTGATCGCCCATTGTATGCATATGCCCTTATGACATTAGTTTCAAGGTTAACATTTAATGCAAACCATTCTTCTAAATCTGCTGCAAGTTTTATAGCACTAAGTTTTGGATCTTGTTTGATTTTTCATGGGATATTTGTCAGATTCCTCAGTGTTAGCATGGAATGTGGTTCACACTTCAGTGCAAATTTCAACAGTTTCGAGTAATTTCCATCGTTTTATAACATCAAATATAGTAGAACACTTAATTTCAAGGATTTTTTAGTTATCTTGAATAATTTTAACAACCTTTATTCTTTAGCATGACACTGCAAATTAAATTCGTTAATTTGCAGTGTCTTGCTATGTTAACACTGAAATATGAAAGCATTAATATATTTCATTAAGTAAGTAAAAATATCCAAATGCAGATGATAATTCTTGAGATTTAACATAAAACAATTTTTAATTTAAAACAAAAAAAATAATGAGACAAGGAACATCGGTTGATCTTTGCAATATGGTAACTGGTAGTTTGGCGACATTTTGGAGGCAATAAAGGTTACTACCTGGGACTTTGATAATAATGTGAGCAATATTCAGTTCCGATTACGCATTATTTTGTGTGAGGGAAATGAGAGATCATGGGATATGTCATGTGATATTAATGGACGAATTACGGTTCTTTAATCGGAAAAAGGGGGAAATCGGGGAAAAAATCTGGAAATTTTGTATTTGGCTTTATTCTGTGTTGTGTGAAACAGTGTTCGTGAATTTTTGGATCCCATGGCCGTAACTAAAGTGAATTCGAAATGGGTATTTATGTATGTATTAATTTAATGTATGTGCTCATTTATATTTAAGTAGTGTTTTTGAATTTAATTATATTTTAATTAAATGATAGTTATTTTGTGAATTTTATGTTTGTAGGAATTTGGTATACGTTTTAGTTGAAGTAAACGTGCATGGAAATAATTTAAATATCTGATACTAAGTATTTGTAATGCTTGCGGTATGAATTCATGGTGACGTGTATAAATGTAATAGATGATTTAGAGGTAAAAGCTTTTGGATATTTTATTTATTTTATATGTGGAAATGTTCATATTGGAAAGGGTAAATACTTTTTTGCGATCAGGTAATTTCATATATGTTCTTTTTACCGGTTTTTAAAGATTTGAGAAAAATTGTGATGTATTTTCGTGAAATTTTTCTAATTTATGAGAAAAAAAGCAGTTGTTACATGGATATAGTGAAGAGTGCACGCAATGCCATTTTTGTGCAATTCTGGGATATTTTTTTAAGTAAAAATAAGTCGGCGTGTACATGGTTTAGTGATATTTTATTAAATGATAGTTATTTGTGAATTTATGTTTGTAGGAATTGGTATCGTTTTAAGTTGAAGTAAACGTGCATGGAAATAATTTAAATATTTGATACTAAGTATTTGTAAGCTTGCGGTATGAATTCGTTGGTGACATGTATAATGTAATAGATGATTTAGAGGTAAAAGTTTTGGATATTTTATTTATTTTTATATTGTGGAATGTTCATATTTGGAAAGGTAATACTTTTTTTCGCGATCAGGTCCTTTCATATATGTTCTTTTTACCGGGTTTAAAGATTGAGAAAATTGTCATGTATTTTCGTGAAATTTTTCTAATTTATGAGAAAAAAAGCAGTGTACATGGATATAGTGAAGAGTGCGCGCAATGCCATTTTTGTGCAATTCTGGGATATTTTTTTTAAGTAAAAATAAGTCGGCGTGTACATGGGTTTAGTGATATTTTAATTAAATGATAGTTATTTTGTGAATTTTATGTTTGTAGGAATTTGGTATACGTTTAATTGAAGTAAACGTGCATGGAAATAATTTAAATATTTGATACTAAGTATTTGTAATGCTTGCGGTATGAATTCGTTGGTGACATGTATAATGTAATAGATGATTTAGAGGTAAAAGTTTTTGGATATTTTAATTTATTTTATATATGGAAATGTTCATATTTGGAAAGGTAAATACTTTTTCGCGATCAGGTTTAATTTCATATATGTTCTTTTTACCGGGTTTTAAAGATTGAGAAAATTGTCATGTATTTTCGTGAAATTTTTCTAATTTATGAGAAAAAAGCAGTGTACATGGATATAGTGAAGAGTGTGCGCAATGCCATTTTTTGTGCAATTCTGGGATGTTTTTTTAAGTAAAGATAATCGGCGTGTACGTGGTTTATGTGTATGTGTTATTTTGAGAAACGCGTAAGGAGTATGGTATGGTGCACTTTTTCCTTTTCCCAATTTGCAGTGAATATTTGTCATGATTAAGCAGTTTTGTTAGATATAAATTTCTAGCATAAGTGTATTTCGGCTAGTAGATTGTTGGAAGAAGTGTTTCAGTAGATAAAAAGAAAAGAAACATGTCTTACTTCGTGGAGACAAAATGGCGGCGGGGAAAAAAAATAGAGGTTGCTGCCGGAGAGTTGGTCGCCAAATTTTCGCCAAAAAAACGCCAAGTTACCATAATATAAAGATCAACCGGAACATCATATAACAAAACATTTCAATAAACTTTCAAGGATCTGAATTATTGAGAGTTACTTATTAACAGTTTTTTAATAAATTATTTTATTACAAGGAGATTTTAATGATATTTGTTTTACAATAAGTAAGGCTTAAAACAGACAAAAAATACTACACCAAAAAAAAAAAAAAAAAAAAAAATGAAACCTACAATTAGACTTAGTTTAAGATCTATGCAAATAAATTTTTGCTATATTAGTGTCCCAAAACAAATGTGAACTACTGTAAATATATTTTCATAAAAAAAAAAAAAAAAAAACTCACCACATACACAACTTAGTATGAGGGAGTATTTATTATATGTACATTTTTCGATGCAAATTATCACATTATAGGACTTTTTTTCAATGTGAAAGTAACCTACATATCATCAAAAATATTAATTCCAATCACATTTTTCTAATATTTACCTTCTTCAGCCAACTGTGCAGCACTAATTAAACACTTCCCCAAAGACTCTTCCTTCTTGTATGGTATTGACCAATGATCTGTAAAAATTCTAGATTCAAGCTCATAAAGATTTGCTGTGGGAAATTCTGTTGTTTCCATACACTCATCTCCTTTCATAAGATTTGTCTGAGTAGTCTAAAAAAAACACATCAAAGAAATGAATAACTAAGAAAATCAAGACTCATATTTCATGACCTGACCTTCATATTATAAACAAACATTAATCTTAGATTATTACCTAACACTGTAATGATGTTTGTAAAGTAAGTAAGAATTTCTACAAATAGAAGTCACCTTTTTCAACAAAATATGAATAAACTAAATAATAATCTTTAAAACTGTGCTAAAATTGCAAACATCTTTTCTTATAATTAATACTGTACATAATTTCATTCATATAATGATGTGTGGTAATCATGCACTTTCGCACATACATGTAATATGCAAAAATTCGAGTTTCAAATATTTTCATTTTTCTGAAATACATTTTATGAGACTTAATAATTGTAAATTTGAAAAAGACTGTCATGAATATATTGTGTTTAAAATACAAAATAATTAAAATGCTACAGATGCAAGCATAGAAAAAGATTGACAGCTCAATATGTGTCTTAATTTTCTAAGGATTTTTCATAGTACAAATAATATTTAAATCATCATTTAAATTCTTATACAGAACTGCAATAGAAAATATTTTTAAATAATTATGTTGCATGAATTATGAGTAAAGAAGTAAAAAAAGTAATTTAAAAATAATAATAAACACAATAAAATTATAATGCAAAATATAATGCTTAATATATCATATACAAGTATCTCCCACTTCGTGAATGTTTGCCTTATACATGTTCTTTTCATAAACGAACATATAATTCTGTTAAAGAAAAGAACACATAATTTTTTGTTGACTAAAAAGAACAGTCAACAAAAAAAAATCCAAAAGGGTCAAAAATACAGGGACAACACATACATCTGCAAAACCTTTAGCAACCAATTAAAATGAAGTTAAACTAAAATTGAATCAATCTTAATCAGATCTTCCCATTCCTTCTACAGTTTTCTGTTCTGCCGTTACGAATTTCGATACTTATCTTCCTTCTTTCAAATAAATAAAGGATGTAAAAAAAAAGGTTTAAATTAACAAAAAATGGGCATATGTCTTGCACCAGCTAAGCTATGTGCATTTAAGTCAAGAAATAAAATAACCTGTCCATGGTTGTTGTTCCATCTTTATGCATCTATGTCATCATTAATTAAATAATTGCATTAAAAAATATTAGACAGGACAAAACCTGTGCTCATGCCTTTATATCTAAAATGATTACAGTGCTTAGTTCTGCAATGAAATACGATTAATTCATGTCCACAGAATTAATTTTCAGGCGATTCTATTTCAACCATCTCTTTAAATACTCATTTGCATAGCAACTTCAGTATGGCTAATATTTATTAAAAAAAAAGTCCTATCATCATTACTCAACATTGCAATACTGCAATGCTTGAAAATTAAAAACCCAAAATCTGAATCATTAACTTACAACATTACTGGGAATAAGAAGGTCATCCATCACAGCATTTACATAAAAATGCTTTCAACCTGCCTGTTCCATATATTCATCTATTTCCACTTTCTGTGATTTATGTCATAAACTGTTTCACTGTGCTAAAAACTCAAATATTTTATTGTTTTTTTATTCCCCCTCCAATAATGAAATTTTTATGTGTTCATTTTTTTAAAAGAAATTGGCCTTAGAAATGTTTGGGTAAAGTGCAGAATCACCCACTTATTTGTTTGGCGCTTTTTACAAGAGTAAAAATTGGATTTTTCTCAATTTTCTTTGACTTTTTAAGTGAAAATAGGTTGATGTGTACATGGATAAAGTTGACGGAATACGCAATGCCATTTTTGTGCTATTCTGGGATATTTTTTCAAGTGAAAATAGACCAATGTGTACATGGATACCGAGTATGTGCAAGTCTTAACCCGCGAGCACACGCAATGGGTATGTCATACCCATGTGCATTTTTCTTTTTGTATATTTCTCACCCATTCTTTCATAAAAAACTTGGTGTAGCTGAGTTCAAGGTCACATACTTAAATGGGGGAAATTCCTGAGGTGACAGGTGCAACGGTTTTTTAGGAACAGCGTTGTTCGGGGACGTCATACACCGTGCGTGTGCTCGCGTTTCTTAGTGAGTCACTTCGCACTTCTCGTTTTCAAGCTTTAGTATAGGTTTTCTTAAGTTGTAAGCATGGTGCCGTGTATTCCTTAGATGAAGAGATAAAAGATAAAATCTTCTTGAAACAATTTCTTCTGTGGGGGATTCATTTAGTGAAGACATGAAGATTTGATGATGAAGAATATAATAGTAATCATGATTCATCATAGAGATAGTGATTCAGATACAGAAACAGGAAAATGAAAGTTTGGAATGTAGCAATGAGTTTTATGTTGGAAAAAATGGAGTAAAAACGCAACAAAAATAAATTCCGGACTAATGTTAGAATTGGCACCAAAATATTATAACTAAACTCCCTGGAAATATGAAGTATTCTAAAGACGTCTCAACACCTTTAGATTCCTGGTCACTGCTTATCGATGAAGATATGTTAAAACACGTAGTCACAATACAATATTTATATTGATTCAGTATGTGGAAATTTCACTCGTGAACAGGATGCGAAAGCAACAAATGAGTTGGAAATCAAAGCTTTAATTGGATTGCTGTATTTATGTGGAGTTTATAAATCATCCCATGTGAACATAAGAGATTTGTGGGCAACAGATGGAACGGGAATAGACATATTTCGGGAAACGATGTCAGTGACCCGATTCCCCTTTCTTTTACGATGCCTCCGTTTTGATGACATTAGATATCGTCCTAGTAGAAGAGACGTTGATAAATTAGCTCTGATCAGAGAATTTTTTGGAAATTTTGTCACAAATTGCCAAAAGGCTTATACTGTAGGTGAGTATGTGACCATTGATGAGAAGTTGGACTCATTCAGGGGTCGTGTTCCTTCAACAATATATGCCCAACAAGCCAGCAAAATATGGCATAAAAATATTTGCTCTTGTAGACGCAATGGGTATTTTATACCTGTAATATGAAAATTTATGCCGGTAAACAACCAAATGGGCCATTTCAAGTTGAAATTGGTGTAAGCAAAGTTGTCAAATGTTTAATAGGGTTCCTTATACAACTTCTGGTCGAAATTTAATAGTTGATAATTGGTATATGGCATATGAATTATCTCAAGATCTCCTAAGAAGAAAATTATTACAATAGTTAGTACTATGTGTAAAAATAAGAGAGAAATCCCCCCTGAGTTTCAATTTTCGGTTTTCATAAAGAAGCAACACTTGTATCTTATGTGCCTGAAAAAACAACATTGTGATCCTGTTATCCACAATGCACTCCGGCGATCAAATCGATGAATCTACTGGGGAATCTAAAAAGCCCGAAATCATTACATTCTATAACATGACAAAAGGAGTGGTCGATGTTGTAGATGAGATGGCAGCTGTGTATTCTACAGCAAGAGTAGCACATCGATGGCCTATGGTAATTTTTTCTTTTCAGTGTTAAACGTGGCTGCCATTAATGCAAGAATAATTCTACTATCAAAGAAGGAACTGTCAATGGAATACCGTACCAGGCATACTTTTTTCCTTAGGGATGCCGCTAATAGAAATGTTCAAAATGAACGACGACGAGCAGCTGTAGTTCCTGATTCTAGACAAAACTGACCACCGATGAACATGCTGAACCCCCCAACCCCCCCCCAAAAAAAATAAAATTACTTACAAGAGGTGTACAGAGTGCCCAGAAAAAAGAGAAAAGACAGATTCATTTGGTAAAAATTGTAGCAAAGTATATGTATGGAACACATGACCTCATTTTGTAAACAATGTTCAAAAAATTGTAAATAAATAATTTTACTTCTCCTTATTCTTTCATATTTTATCTAAAATGAAGTACAGTCAAAAGTCGTTAAGTCGGACACCCATAATCTGGAATGATCTATAATCCGGATGTCAAAGCTAAAAACTTTCTGCGCATGCGCTGCATTGACCCATGCGCATAGGCATTTACGCGTGCTCATAAGACCTTTTACGACTGCGCATATGTGTGTGCGCAAGTGCAGAATAATTTTCGCGTGCGCGTTTATGTATAACGGACAGTTAAGCTAAAATTATCTATTATCTATTCAGTTAATGTGATGATTGTGTGTTCCTTAATCTTCGAATTGGATCCGGCTTATTATTTTTGCAGACGTAAGAGCAATACTATAAAAGTAAACTTGAACTTTCGATTATGTCAAATAGAATTCCGATTCTGGAGCTCCAAGGATCGTAAAACGAAGATTTTTCGATGTCCATCAAACAAAAATTGAATTGCTGCAAAAAATGGATAACGACATGAAGAATGTAACAGAGAGGTTAGTGAAAACGAAAAAAATTTCGAGTGACGTTAGAGTCGTATTCTCGGCACAGCATTAACGGGACTTGAATAGCAGAACTTTGTAACTGAACAAGAAATTATGTCCGTTATAGAATTAAAGAGTAAGTATTATCACATAAACGAAGCAACTTAAACAAATTACATTGAAAGAAGTTTATAAAAAGTAAACAAATATATTAAGCTTTTTTTTTTTTTAAAATTTTGATACCCTTTAGATCATAATTGTTCTTTATTTCATAATTACGGTTTCACATTTTTAATTTTAGAATTTCTGCATGCCATCTTACGAGATTTAAACTGTGATCTATAATCCGAAAAATCGATAATCCAGAATTGCCGAGTCCCGACGAGTCCGGATTAACGACTTTTGACTGTATTAACTTGGGTTTTACATTTTAATTCTTTTAAAAACCGATTAATTTTATTCGGCAAATTTTTAATTACAAACTTTTTATTCGGGTATGACATACCCGTCACGTGTTCTCGTGTTCGTCGGATCGGTGCGTGTGCTCGCGGGTTAAAAACGTGCCAAGCAGTTGGTGATTCTGCACTTTCGCCAGAGTTCTTTCCCACTTTTACCAGTAGTCAAGACCCTATTCAGAAGTTCCCACCAAATCAAGGTGAACTGCTTACTAGTCATAATCAAAGATGCTGAATACCATCACCCTATCCAGGAGAAAAAGTTCTTTTGTATTCCTAGTCTCTTGAGTTACAAGGGCTAAAAACTTCTAACTTTGTCTTTACAAAGCAATTGTTAAAAATTTAGAGTTAGCCTCCAAAATAAGAATGTGTATACACAAAAAGAGCAGCTATAATAAACAAAATTCTTACTTCCTCATGATTTGGCTATAATAATTAAAATATAAAATGATATTTCCTGATTATTGGTCAATGAACTGAAAGCAGCAACAATCAAAATTACTTCTAATTTTTAAAAAGTACTTCAACTGGAAAACAGAACGAATTCTTTCTTTACATCAATTAAATAAAATTTTTAAAAGATGACAAGCACAGACTTTTGTCACTGTTTAGGAATAATTCGCATATTTATTGAAAAAAAAAAGACAACAGATAATGACAAATATTTGTAATTATTTTTCCGTATTTTATAATTTATTTTCCTTTGAGTCCACTAACTATTCGTAATGGAAGGAAAATATATAATATGTACTACATGAGACTGCCGCTTTCCTTATGCTAAAAATTTCCTTCATTTTCACTGTAAAAGCCGCACATTCAAAGGATTACGTCCGATAACCTAGGTAAGATTGTACGTAGGCGGGACGATGTATTTTAAAATTTCAATTAAATTTATTTCAGAAAGTTGGACATTTAATACCCATATGCACTAAAGTAGCATACTGGTTACAAGGTAATGTATTCAGTTATAAATTATCTAATGTTCTAGCCAAAAAACCCCATCTCACAAAAAGTATTAATGTAAATAATATACACTTCGCATCAACTTACTTGCGATTCACAAAGTGATTCGTAAGGAGGAGGGGCAACATTACTGACATGACTAGTAGAGAGATCTTTCATCCCATCATCATCACTTCCTAAATGATACTCAGAATGTTCATTAGTAAGTATAGAAATTGCCTCATTAATATCATTTTTTCCTAGACGTAAGGCCTTTCTGATATGCTCTACATTTTCAAAGCCCATGCTCAATAACGTTGTAACGTTTTCCTCGTGATCCATTGCGTCGTTATCATTTCTGTACATATAATACAACGTTTTTAAAGTAGTATGTTCTTAATAAGCTATATACAATCAAAAGATTACAAAGATTAATCCCTAGCTCTATCAACAAAAGCAGAAAAACAAAGAATCTGAAATAACAATGAAACAACTATGTCAACAACTTTTAAGTTTACAAACATGTGTGCCGCCATTTTGTTCTATTTAGTAATTCAAGTAAAAGTGTTTTTCTGGAGAAATACTAATTTATGAAATCTGAGTAATGTGTTAGCATAGTTCTTTTAAATAAATAATTCATTATCTGATTAGAGGTCTTGTCAAGTTACAGGATTAAAAATCTTGATCATACTGCCAGTTTCAGGCAAACAAGCATTGACATAAGTCCAGAAATAACCATACCATTAAAAGAATTCGTAATGAAAATCTGCATGCCAATACTCGAATACAGAGCTCCTTTTTACTGAGTTGCTATAATCAATAACCGAAGAACTGAATATCCATACAACTAAAAAATAATCTGTCTAGGATTACAGAGCGTCAAGCATTATAACCGCAAAAGAGCTCTTCATATCAACTCCTCACCGACGCATCGCATCCTAAGGAGCAAAATGTATCTGCTAAAGTATCGGAGAACTGCTTTGAAATTTTTAAACTTTAAGCTCACTGGTACGCAATCTGACGCCAAAACTGCGAATTCAGCAGGCAAACATTGTTAACTTACCACTAAACACTGACAAATGAAGTATAGTGTCGAGAGCGCAAATTGTCCCGGAGCCCATCTGAGCCAAGATCATCTGAGTCAAGATATCATCTGAGCCAACTAGATATCTAGTTGGCCTTGTCTGAGCCTGAGTCCGGTATTTCTCATTATCTGAGATAAATCGTAATTCTAACAAGAGCGCTAAATAAAACTTCCAGCACTTCATTTATGTAAGTGAAATGCAGTTTGAAGGGTCAAATTTTATTTTAAAAATAAATAGGCATTAAATATCTATTATAACATCCGAACGCATACGCATCTTTCTCTGAGAAACACACTTTGATGGAGATTAAAACTTTTAAAGAAAGTAATCCACATGTCAATTACTTGTTCTCCAGGTAGTGCAATGCATTATGTGAGGGGATAAAATGTTTTGTTCTCCAAGTAAAAGTGATTACTTTGGTCATGCACGTCCAGCGCTAGTTCCTTCACGCTGCAGAGCTCCTGCAGACTTGAACTATATAACCAAACACGGGAGACAAATATTGTCACTTCTGAAAACCTTCCCTTTGTTATCATGTTGTTATCGGATCGGATATGAAGGAAATTTTTGTACCGATTCTCATTATGCTGGACAGCTAGAATTATATTGGCAGTGCATCACGGTCAGAAAGCGTTGGCCTCTTCTCTTTTTAGTTTCGAAGCCACTTTTCTCCATTAAAATTTCTTTCCATAGTCTCATATTGTTTCTAGTATTGTCTCTATTCTTGTTAGTTGTTAGTGACGCTTTAATCATTTTACTTTTTTCCATTTGTGTGCTGGAAAAAAGAGTGGTTTGTTTCTCTCATTTCTTGAAATTGTACGTTATACAAGTTAAGTTCGGGATTTTAATTTAACGGGAAGCCGGCTAAACTATTTCTTAGTTTCTGAATGAAATTGTAACTGGAGCCCCAAATAAGATGAGGTCCGGTATTTTATTTCCTATACAGAGGCAGTTTGCATCACTTTTGAGAAGATTTTCATTGTATTTTTATAATTATTTTACCTAAAATGTTTGTCTTTTAAATGTTCCATTTCATAACCCTTAATCTTCCCCATCTTTCTAACCGTAATTTCGAAGCCAATAAATCTTTTTCAATAGCGGAAGAGGTATTTTATCTCATTCCCCTTGAGCAGCTCTCCCAAGTCCAAGAAGGGTTGTAGGTCAACATCTGGACAATCAGCTTTATGAAAGTTCAAAAGTGCAAAAGAAAATCTGCGAATGATACATCAGGAAATTTAGTAGGGATATCAACGAAGGGTAGGGTCTCGATACACATTTCTTGTTCCCTTTTTTCATGAAAATAAATGTGGATTTTGACGTGTGAATGCTTGCTTTGTCTTTATGCAGTCCTACTGATTAATGGCACTGTGAGTAAAGAGAAGGTATTTCCTATTTGAAAATTGGGTATAAAATATGTTCCTGAACCATATTCTAAGATTTTTTCCTTAGGATCCCAACAACATATTTCTACTATTTTTACAATCACGTCTGTCTATCTCTACGTCTGTGATAATTTTTTCATGCAAGGTACATCCAAACATATATATTATCCGCATTTAACCTTTCTACATTCATGTAGAGTTGATTAGATTCTGGGATTACATCGATGGCGAACATAAATATAGCGAAGATTTAAAAAAAAAATGTATGGCGAAAATTAACAATGTATTGGGAATTCTAAAGATATGCTGACTTTACAGATTTTATTCTTGAATTTTATGTGGTGCTGATGCGAAGAAAGTGGTGTTCAATAAATAAAGCTAAAATGGCAAACAAAAAAGTACATTATCTTAGTAAGATAATTGAACACTAGTATGATAAACTGAGAGAAGACCGAAACGGAAATGTATGATAACATTTACACTCTTTTGAGAGTTCTAAAGATATACTGCTTTTAAAAATTTTGTGATTGTTAAGTTATTGATTTGTGAATTTGAAATACTATATGACTAGACAATAAATTATGATTAATGCAATATTTTGAAATTAAAGCATGAGAACGGATGTGTGTATAAGTACATATAGTTATCATCGTCCATTTTGCCACACTAAATTACTGTATAGATCCGAAAGGACTTTACCATCCGTCCATTTACTGCGCACAGATTGTGCGACCATAATTTCGTGACCCATTTCATCTCTCATGCATAATTAGCATGCGTTCTTGAATTCATGAGCTTGCATTTGTTTATTTGTAGTATATATTGTCTGTAACGTATTCCTGTATATACTTTTCATGTACATGTTCATACGTTACTGAGTTTTCTGATCGTTCTAGTATTTCACATTACACATTTTCATTTTGACTGCCTCCCTCACTAATTTGCCTACTCCCATATGTCAGGTCTATTTCTGACTCCTTCAGAGACCATGGTCCCCTTTTCCCTTCTCTTTCTCCTTCATTGCATCCTCCCATTGTGGGAATTCATATGATTGCTTCCATGTGAAGTGCCCTCAGGGCGTTACATCAGCAGAGCTTTCGACAGCCAAGCTTTCTTGGCTAGTAAAGCATAAGCATTCAGCATTAAAGCATCGTCCATTTAAGATAAAAAAAAAAAAAAAAAAAAACCTGAAATATTTCAGATTTTAAATTACGTCCAAAGGGGCGTTTTTTTTTTTTTTTTTTTTTTTTTTTTTTTTTTTTAAGTTTAGTGTGGCGATTTATTTATTACATATCATGTTCTTTGCACTTAAACCATAAAATTTAGTTCAATAGCAGTGTTGTGAAATAATTTTAAAATGAGCATATCTTTAGAATTTCCGATACACAGTTCGACGCGCTAGAGATAAAAAGTTTTTTTTTTTTTTTTTTTTTTTTTTTTTTTTACGTAGAGTGTTGCCATTGCTCGCTTTTAAATCGTTGAGTTTGTTTACTCAAAAATTCGTTAAAGTTTTACAAAATATGAAATCGCCAATAAAACAAATTCCAAATTTCAAATTTGGGATTCCAGATGCCCATATTCGCAGTAGGATTACGTCATTCGAAATTCGAATAGCTCTATGTATCCGTTGGTTTATCACAATGCGAGAAACATACATACATTTATGCAGATTTTTTCATTATTTAATTTCTTCAATATAATGCAGGACTCTAACATTTTGTGGCAACAGTTTGAAAAGTGAACCGACATTTATGAGTCCGACGCAAAATGCCAAAACGAAAGTAATAGTCCTTTGGGACTCAAATCCCTTTGGACTAAAAAAAAACATTAATGTTTATAACTGAGCCAATGACATGGAACTAGCCGAAGATCTTGTGCTGGCCATATCAGATTTCTTTTTTTTCATACGGAACTGCCTGTAATCCTTTGTAATCATTCCATGGTGCCTTTTGCAATGTTTCTTTAGAATCCTTAGCATAATTCTTCATATACTTCGCCTATGGTTGCTCTTTTCGAATTTTTAGGAGAAATCATTAATAAATTACAACCTAACAAGTTTTAAAACACCAAATTGTTTACGCCGAGATAACAGAATATCAACTATATACCGTATTTATCTTTTAAAATTGCTCCAAAGTGTTAATTGCGCAAAATTGTCTTCTGGGCATGCGCATGCGCAGTATGCGAAATACGTTTAACATTCCTCAACTGAATGTGTGGTCTGCCATTACGCTCACGGGAAAGATAGATTTTACAGGATTAGAAACAATTTCAACTTTGTAGAAATTATTCAAAACAAAAATCTTTTGGCTACATTATCAAATCTTCTTTTCATTAACGTTGCAATAAATGGTAGTTTCTGTTCATTAATCATCAATGTGAGAGTCCTACCGGACATGAATTGTTATTTTACGTTATGTTGAAGTTCCTGAAATCATAATGGCTTTCGATATTTCCTGCGTTGATTGATTAACTTTCTTTCATTTACTCAGTCACAAGTTTTAATTTCTTCCACCTGTTTATGTTTTTGGTAAACCTGGCTTCCGGTCCTCCTGCATACCTGACATGTCTTTCGCGGAAGCAAGCAGCCCAACACATGGCTGTATTGTAATTCTCTACGTAATTACCGCATACTCCATGATTTTTACTCTAAAACTCTTTCTTGCCCCACAAAAAAGTAAAAAAAAAAAAAAAAAAGAGAAAAAAGAAAAAAAGAAAAAGAAAATCTGAAATGTTTCAGATTTTAAATTACGTCCAAAGGGGCGTTTTTTAACATTTGTGTGTTACCTTTCTTTATTAAATATCATGTTCCTCGCACTTAAACCGTAAGATCCAGTGCAACAGCAATATCGCAAAAATAGTTTTAAAACGAGCATATCTTAGAAATATCCGATACAGAGACTCACGCGCTGGAGATAAAAATGTTTTTTCTGCACAACGTTGCCATTGCTCGCTTTGAATCCTTGAGTTTGATTCAGAAGTCAAACAACAAAATCAGCGTTAATTCACAAAATTTTCACAGGACTAGTTTCGATGGTTTTACAGAACCATCATCTTCA